ATATCTTATATTATATATATATTCGTACCTATAGCCAGAACGCACTTCTCAGCCTACTATGCAAGGCCCGATTTGCCTAATAAGCCAAGTTTTCCTGAATCAATATATTTTCTCTAATTTTTTTCTTATGAAATGATAAAGCTACCCATTTCATTATAAATGAGATCAATTTTTTTTATTGGAGTTAAAATTAATGTAGATATATGACCAAACCTAACCAACCCTACCTAACCTAACCTATCTTTATAGGTTAGGTTAGGTTAGGTAGCAGAAAAAGTTAGGTTAGGTTAGGTTAGGTAGGTTAGGTAGTCGAAAAACAATTAATTCATGAAAACTTGGCTTATTAGGCAAATCGGGCCTTGCATAGTAGGCTGAGAATTGCGTTCTGGCTACTAGGTAACATCTATATATATATATATATATATATATATATATATATATATATATATATATATATATATATATAGGTCCTATGTCATCCATGTCATGCCTATGGTACATACAGTCCATGTTCTCGATTCACAATCGAGGCAGAACAGAAGGGTTTTGGGCAGCGTTGCGTTTCGCCTGATGCCTCTATTCACCTAGCAGTAAAATAGATACCTGGGAGTTAGGCTTTGGGTTGCGTCCGGAGAAAGGTCAGTAGTTGGCCCAGGGAGACCTCGATAAAACAGGCTTCCTGTTCCCAAAATGGGAATTAAATACGATCATTAAATATTCTTCCAGACAAATTAATATCGTAAATGCTCAGACAATCCTTTTTTTCCTGGATATAATACAATTGACGTTAAACTTCCCAACATTTATTTTGTTAATTCAGTGAATGAAAAGTAGTTGTTTTTGTATTTCTCTGAAGCTGAATATATTATTTGTATTCCTCTGTTGCTTCATAAATGCAATTCATTCTCCTCTTAAGTTGTATAGATACAATTATTATTTCTCAACAGCTGAAAATGCAGCTTGTATTCCTCTACAAATAAGTAAATACAGTTTATATTCCTCTAAAGATGTATAAATAGTTTTTATTCCTGTAAGGTTGCATAAAATCATAAGAATTAAAGAAATTTCAGAAATCCTATTGGCCCATTAAAGGCAGCTCCTAATTATATCCACCCAAACTTATTCATATACATGTCTAACCTACGCTTGAGACAATCGGGTAATTTGTTGCATACATCAAAAAGCCCTAATTCTGTACCACTTAACAGGTTGCTGGAGGTGGACTGGTTGAATGACCTGTGGCGACCTGATAGCTTTTTCAAGAACGCCAAGCAAGTGACCTTCCAGACGATGACCATTCCCAACCACTACGTCTGGCTTCACAAGGATTCTACCATCCTGTACATGGTCAAGTATGTATCATGTGTGTAAAGTGTCATTTGTGTAGTGTAGTGAACTACATATGTGTAGTTCGATGTATTGCTGTAGGTCCGCGTGATTTGATTTCCTTGTAGCAGTAATCCCTTTATTGTAAGAATTTGAGAATAAAGGAAATTGTAGGATTATTGTTCCATACGAGGCAGGTCCTATTGTCCCATTTGAGTCGGGTCCTATTGTCCCATACGAGGCAGGTGATATTGTTCCATACGAGGCAGGTCCTATTGTCCCATACGAGGCAGGTGATATTGTTCCATACGAGGTAGGTCCTATTGTCCCATCCACCAAAAAATTCATATTCATATCTAACCTACGTTTGAAACTACCCAACCATCCTACTATTAAATTACCCCCAAAATTTGTTTCATAAATCAGCAACTTACAAACATGTAAATACTGGAGACTGCAGAATGTTGATTGGCACATAAGATGCAGGTTGTATTATGTACATCTTGAAGAAAATGTTTATCTTAGGAACACTAAATAAGTGGCTCAATGCCAATCAAATTATTCAATTTTTCTTTTTTTATGCCCATCTTAATGATGATCTAAGTCTACATTCTTCCCATTTTCTTCCTTGACCTAATTAGGAATACCTTACCACCAACTCCTCACCTTAATAATGCCACTTAACCTTTTCCTTTCACAATGACCTAAAGTAAAATAATGCCTTCATTAAAGTGTTCTACCTATCTTTCTCACAATGTGCGTGATGAGGGTAGTTAACAGTGTCTTCGTATCTACAGGTTGACGCTGACATTGTCCTGCGCCATGAACTACGCCATCTACCCTCACGACACCCAGGAGTGCAAGTTGCAGATGGAGAGCCGTAAGTTGAGGGGGGGAGAGAGAGAGAGAGAGAGAGAGAGAGAAGAGAGAGAGAGAGAAGAGAGAGACAGACAGACAGAGAGAGAGAGAGAGAGAGAGAGAGGGGGAGAGGGGTATAAAAGGAGAAATAGAGATACTATTTTTTGGTGTATATTCTTGCTCTGTATTATCGTGAATCTTATACAGTGATTTTTAAGCGTAAACAATTATTGATAATAATAACGACTGTGGCAGAGTGGTCTACGTTAAGTTTCCGGCCAGGACAGAAACGGTTGGATACGTTTACTTTCACCTAATGCCTCTGTTTATCTAGCAGCAAATAAAGAACCCGGGAGTTAGTCAACTGTTGTGGGGTTGCTTCCTGGTTAGAGTCAGTAGTTGGTTTAGGGTGATCTTACACCTGGTGCCTCTGTTCACCTAGTAGTAAATATGTACCAGAATAAGTGAAACTAGGAAGGATGAGTTGGGACGAGAAAAAGAATGAAGAGGGGGAGAGATAAAGAAAAAGAAGAAAAATATATTTTTATGAATCAATTTTTATGAATGTTAAAAACATTATGAATAATTTTTTTATGAATATATAATTCTATGTAAATATAAAAAATATGAACATTTAAATTTTAATGAATATTAAAAATTTTATGAATGTATATTTTTTATTAATATTAAAAATTATGAATACATAATTTTTATTAATATTTAATTTGTTATGAATGTTTCATGTTTATGATTATTTCATTTTTAATAAATATTAATTTGTATGAATAGTAACTTTTCAGGAATTTATTTATGAATCATTAATATTTTTTAATATTTATATATTTTTCCATTAAAAAATACGTTTCATAAATATTTAAAGATTCATAAAAATTATATATATTATATTATAATGTATTATATACACTATATTATGTATATTATTTATATACTTTTCATTATATTTTTATGAATACATAAACTTGTATGAATATATAAATATTATATGAATAGTATGAATATGCTGGCAGAGGAAGCCTGGGATGTCTTCCTTTGTCTTCTACAGTCAAACTTAGTTATGGATGCTGGATAATGGATCTTGGATTCACAATTTTGGATCGTGAAATCTGGATTGAATTCTGAATTCTGGATCCTGGCTAAAGTATTCTTGATACATTATCTTTTATTTGTATTTTTGATCCTGGATAATTTATTCTTGATACATTGTCTTTTATTTGTATTTTTGATCCTGGATAATGGACCCTGGATAATGTATTCTTGATACATTGTCTTTTATTTGTATTTTTGATCCTGGATAATGGATCCTGGATAATGTATTCTTGATACATTATCTTTTATTTGTATTTTTGATCCTGGATAATGGGCCCTGGATAAAGTATTCTTGATACATTATCTTTTATTTGTATTCCTGATCCTGGATAATGGATTCTGGATCCTGGATTCAGGATTCCATTGTCACAAGTCATTGTCCTTGCAATTTGACCGATACTTTTATGACATTAAAAAATGTCAGGTTAATTAGGACCAATAAGACCAGATGCTTAAAATTTGACATTTAAAGACCAGCTTAATAAGAACCGAGTGTGTGTTTGTGGTCGCTGTAGGTCACGTTGTTTGGGCAGGGGGGTCAAAGGTCACAATGGAAGGTCAGGCAAGCGATTATTCTTCGAGATGATTTTTTTTTTACCTATCTTATGAGATTGTTCTTGTAAATAACTTTCTCGTATCGAATAAAATATTATTTTTATTTTTAAAATCCTCGGTAGCTTGAGCATGTGAGAGCTGGGGGGTACCCGGCGTTACCCGGGTCTCTCTGTCTCTACCCTCTCTCTATATCTATCTATCCCATCTCCCTATCTCTTTCTCCTCCGTTCCTTCCCTCTTACCTTTTTTGCTCCCATCTCCGCCATTAAAGCCCCTTCTCCCCACCCTCCCCAGGTTTCCCCTTAACCCCCTACCTTCTTCCCCCTGTCCCCTCCAACCTCGAACAGATAAGACATTTCCCTTTATTTACAAAGTAAATTACGAAAATGCGCGGGTAAACGGCGAGAGAAACTGCTATATTTCTTATAGCATTTAACTTAGGCCTACCCCGACCAGCCTATGTCCGTCCCGTACCTCAGGTTATTTTCCCTACAGATTTGGGTGAGGTTGGGTCTAAGCGCTTGGCCTCCAACTTTAGACACACGAAGAAACAAGCAGACATTCATATTAGTATAGATATACGAACTATTATATACATTAAAAGCACAATAATATTAGTTCACTGGAAACATTATTCTGTTTTAATTATCTGAATGTTAACTATCCAGGATCCGGAATCTTAGATGTATACCTAGAAACTATTTTTAATAATAATAATTTATTTTGTCGGGGGACACGAAGACTGTGTATATATACATGTTAGACTTATATCTAGGGCCCTTCAAGGTCGAACTACTGACCCGTCCCAGGATGCAACCCTACAACAAGCTGATTAACTCCAGGGTACCTATTTACTGCTAGGTGAACAGAGACATTAGGTGATAGGAAATGTGCCCAACCATTCCTGTCTCACCCGGGATTCCCGATTGTGAGTCGAGAACGAACTCAACTGTACTACCAAAACTGACCCTCTAGCCTCTGAGCTTATCCCATTAACCCCCTGAGTTTGACCTCCAGATAACAACCCTTGACCTCCTGACTAATGATGCTGAACTCTGAGGCATCTCTCGCTGCTGTCCTTATGACCTGAGTGTCACCACTTGAACTATAACCCCAAATTTCCTACTTGCTCCTCTGACCTTCGACAGTAAACTGACTTACACGTTCAAACTACATGTCCCTGACCTTTGACCTGGGACAACCTGCTTCCCTGACCGTTGACCTGGAACAACCTACTTCCATGACCTTTGACCCTGAACCACCTACATCTCAGACTATTGATCTTAAACCACGGTCCTTGATATTTGACCCTGGAACCACCTACACACCCCTGACATTGAACCTTGAACCACGTACATTCCTTGATCTCTTTTTTTTTTTACCCTGAATCACCCATAGTCCTGAACGTTGACCTAGAATCACCTGTACAACCTTGATCTTTGACCTTGACCCCTCTCTCTTGCAGTATCCCACACGACAGAAGACCTGGTCTTCGACTGGGATGCAGATGTTCCCCTTGAAGTGGACGACAACATTGAGTTACCCCAGTTTGACCTGGTGAAGAACCACACGGCCGACTGCACCCAGGTCTACATCACAGGTCAGTAGCCCCGGGTCTACATCACAGGTCAGTAGCCCCGGGTCTACATCACAGGTCAGTAGCCCCGGGTCTACATCACAGGTCAGTAGCCCCGGGTCTACATCACAGGTCAGTAGCCCCGGGTCTACATCACAGGTCAGTAGCCCCGGGTCTACATCACAGGTCAGTAGCCCCAGGTCTACCTCACAGGTCAGTAGTCCCGGGTCTACCTCACAGGTCAGTAGCCCCGGGTCTACATCACAGGTCAGTAGCCCTGGGTCTACATCACAGGTCAGTAGCCCCGGGTCTACATCACAGGTCAGTAGCCCCGGGTCTACATCACAGGTCAGTAGCCCCGGGTCTACATCACAGGTCAGTAGCCCCGGGTCTACATCACAGGTCAGTAGCCCCGGGTCTACATCACAGGTCAGTAGCCCCGGGTCTACATCACAGGTCAGTAGCCCCGGGTCTACATCACAGGTCAGTAGCTCCGGGTCTACCTCACTAACATTCTCCATCAGACCGAGCAGATGTGTGGCAGTTGTATCCTCCCCAAAATCCACCACACCTGACTGTCTGGTCACAAACAGGTGTGCTGACAGGTGTTTGCTTCCGCAGGTAACTTCACGTGTCTGGAGGTGGTGTTCCAGCTGCGGCGTCGGCTGGGCTATTACCTCTTCCACACCTACATGCCCACCTGCCTTATTGTCATCATGTCGGTACGTGTCTTCATGTTGGTATGTGTCCTACTGTGGGAGGGGCAGGTAGGTATGTGTCCTGTGGTGGGAGGGGGCAGGATGGAAGAGAAAATGGGGAATTCGAGAAATTGACTAGAATAGGGATACATTATCTGTGTTAAAACAGATAGATTAATCGACAGATAGATATGGTGATAGATAGATAGATATAAATGTCTGTACATTAACATTTAACTTACACTACAAAATGCAAGTTTAACGTGTGCATTTACACATGGCAGTTTAGAAGCAATAACAATAATACTAACGTGGTGTATCTATGAGAAAGTATAAAGGTTAGTGTGGTGGGATCGAACTTGCGTCTCTGGACTCCCCAGACACACGCATTATCCTCTTGATCCATGATGAGCTTAATGGTAACTAAAAAAGAAGTTCCCATTGCCTCAAGATATTTTCATTATTATTTAAATCAAACAAATTATGATGATAAGAATGTTACAGTATTTTTATTTATGCAAATATTAACATGAATTATTAATATCAAAACAATATTATATTCAACAGTGTAACGAAGAGATGAGCTTCCCTCCCACCCCCTCCCCATACAAAGTTATACTACGTGAGTACATACCGCAACATACACGGCTCCCACAGCAGTCTACACATACACGTCTCCCACAGCAGTCTACACATACACGTCTCCCACAGCAGTCTACACATACACGTCTCCCACAGCAGTCTACACATACACGGCCTATACACAATAACCTGTATAGTGTCCCAAGACAGCGTACACCTCCGCCCTCCGTCTCCCAACACACACTAACCTGCGTGTCGTCCTCCACAGTGGGTGTCGTTCTGGATCAAACCCGAGGCGGCCCCGGCTCGGGTGACCTTGGGGGTGACCTCTCTCCTCACACTCTCCACTCAGCATGCCAAGTCGCAGGCCTCCCTGCCCCCCGTCTCCTACATCAAGATCATCGACATGTTTATGTCCACCTGTACGGTGTAAGTTGAGTGTGTTTGTTGTAGTGTAGCCTAACTTGTGCGTGTCTGGTCACGCACAAGTTAGTATTTAAGTACTAACAAGTACTTAGTACTATAAGTACTTGTAAAGATGAGTCCTATTATCAGCTTGTTACTCATTAGGTAGAACAGTCGGCTTACAACCAACTAGATCTGAGTTCGATTTCCCGGGCCGGGCGAGACATTTGGTAACGTATTCTTATATCTGACACCTATGTTCACCTAGTGGTTAATTAATAGGTGGTGTATCTATGAGGTACAGTTGGTTTAGAGGGTACAGTTGGTGTAGAGTTCCTGCCATGAATTTTCGCAGAGTAATAACGATTCCTTTACAGTTTTGTTGGACTTGTTTGATCCATTTCCATATGAGAACTGGAGCTGCCAAACTAGTTTGGCAGCTAGCTGTCATGGATAGCATTCTCAGCACCAGCTGTTGAGCTACGGGGTTTAGTAACCGTAACAGACTTCCTGCTCCCAACCATAGGGAAGGTATACCACTGAGCTTGGTTCTCTCCGGTTTGACGCCTATCGAGGTGCCAAGTCAAGCATATTTACCTACTTTTAGGGTACAGTTGGTGTAGAGTACCTGCCAGGAGTTTTCGCAGAGTAATAACGATTCCTTTACAGTTTTGTTGGACTTGTTTGATCCATTTCCATATGAGAATTTCCTAGCCATAACAAAGTTGATTGATGATTTTGAAATAGAATTTTGTAGCTTTAATATTTATCACTGAATAGTTTGAGCCTGCGAGCAAGCGTGTAAAAGTGATGTAGGTAAGTGGTACCTCCCATAGTATACGAGGACAAGGAGTTTATATATATATATATATATATATATATATATATATATATATATATATATATATATATATATATATATATATATATATATATATATATATGTCGTACCTAGTAGCCAGAACTCACTTCTCAGCCTACTATGCAAGGCCCGATTTGCCTAATAAGCCAAGTTTTACTGAATTAATATATTTTCTCTAATTTTTTTCTTATGAAATGATAAAGCTACCCATTTCATTATGTATGAGGTCAACTTTTTTTTATTGGAGTTAAAATTAACGTAGATATATGACCGAACCTAACCAACCCTACCTAACCTAACCTAACCTATCTTTATAGGTTAGGTTAGGTTAGGTAGCCGAAAACGTTAGGTTAGGTTAGGTTAGGTAGGTTAGGTAGTCGAAAAAACATTAATTCATGAAAACTAGGCTTATTAGGCAAATCGGGCCTTGCATAGTAGGCTGAGAAGTGAGTTCTGGCTACTAGGTACGACATATATATATATATATATATATATATATATATATATATATATATATATATATATATATATATATATATATATATATATGAATTGTGTATATACATCCGCTCCTTCAAAGACTGTTCTTCACGAGTTGGATGCTACAGATTCGTGGCACTCTGAACACGCCCGTGGTATAACATTCTTATAGCTTCTCATGTGATATTCTTAGATTACAAATACGAAGGTTGGGAGACTTGCCAAGTGTGATTGATTAAGGGAGAGACTTGAACTGTATATTTTATATACACTTGAAGTGGGAACATTGAGACAAAGTGTGAACGTTGAGACAAAGTGTGAAGGTTCAGAGACAAAGTGTGAAGGTTCAGAGACAAAGTGTGAAGACTGGGAGCCTCCTGAAGTGTGAGGACTGAGATACTCAAGAAGTGTGACTGAGAACCGCATCCCAACGTCAACACTTATCCTGAACTTTAATTCCAATAAACAAACCCACGAAGATATTTTCACTGCCAGACATACCAACATATCAACTGCCACCTCTCATCTAGCAGGGTCGGTGTTCGATCCCCGATGGTCCAAGTGACTGGGCATTGTTCCTTTCCTCCTTATCTTAATTAGCCTTACTACTGGCCCATCATGCTGCTTCTTGATAGGTGGAGTTTTTACTCATCGCTGGAGTAGACTGGTTAAGGAAACTAGTCCGTCTGGTGACTAGTTCCTTGCCTTCCCACTCACCAGGATTTTGATGTTCGTTCCGCCTCCTCTCAGGTTGCTACGTCCCTGACATACAAGCGCTGTTTAAGTCTGATATCTCTGAAGGGCCCTCCGTCCAAAATTCAGTCTTAAGGGTCCTTCAGCGCCTCTCAAAATGCCTCCGAAGTGCCAGCTTATGTCAGTACTTCCGTCACAGCGGTGATGGCTGCCTTTCCGCCTGTTGTCTTTGCAGTTTTGACCTGTGTTGATAGTCGTCAGCAGAGACTGTTGGTAAACACGACACCAGGTTCCCTAGAGGAAAGGTTACAATAACGGGACTGAAAACGGGTAACCCAACCCATGCATGTGATAGTGGAGACGTTTCAGTCCGTCTTGGACTCTTTTTATAACGACTTCATAAGGATCCAGCTCCAATTCCTCATATCCCGGCTTATTTCCTTCATATCACAGCTCTCTGCTCTCATATTCAAGCTCTTTATTCTCATATTCCAGTTCCTTATTATTATATCCCAGCTACGTATCCTCATGTCCCAGCTACTTGTTCTCGTATCCCAACTACTTGTCCTCATGTCCTAGCTCCTTGTCCTCGTCTCCCAGCTCCATGTCCCCGTGTCCCAGCTCCTTGTCCTCATGTCCCTCCTAAGTGCTATATAATCATACTGACTTAGCGCTTCCTCTTCATAATTACCAATAAGCCAAGAATATCACGAGGACCATACTACAGCACAATTAACAAAATGTTAATTGTGTTTCTGAATCACATAATATACTCATTTACATCGGTAAATGAATGCAACCTTAAGGTCCTGGGTTCGATTCTCGAGCTGTATGTAAACATTTGGACACGTTTTCTTTCCACCTGAAGCCTTTGTTTACCTAGTAATAAATAGGTACCCGAGAGTTAAGGAACTGTTGTGGGGGATGCATCCTGGGAAGGGTCAGTAGTTAGCCCAGGTGGACGTGGATAAGCCAGGCTTTCTGTCCCGGATGAAGGGGAAACCATATCATTGAGCGTATAGATTTTTCATTTACATCTCGCGAAGGCTCCGCTGGCGCCGCACTCGAACCCTGGAAACACAAACCGTAACTGGCTCTATTTTCCGCTTGTTACAACTTGTTATAAAGTTGTTACATCTTGGCTTAACGTGTTTATGACGTATTAGAACGTTGTTACAACTTGCTATATTGGTTGTTATAACTGGTTAGGAGGTGTTAAAACTTGTTCGAAACGTTGTACCAACGTTGTAGTTTCGGTGTGTGTTTGGCGGGCGATCACTATTGTCTCCTTGTGGCAGGTTTGTGTTCCTGGCGCTGATGGAGTACGCCCTGGTCAACGTTGTGCTGGGCGACGGACCTGACACTCCGCCCAAGAACCCCAAACCTACAGAGAAGGAAGCCAAGTCTCTTCATCATCATTTCTCCAGTGATAAGGTCAGTTGAAGGTTCATATGTCTGTGCTAGGGAAATGATCTTCCATTTTACTAATCCGTTCCTTTGTCGTCTTGGCTGTCAACCAACTGACCCTCGGTCACTCTAAATCAGTGGTTCCAACCGGTGGTCCATGGACCCCCAACCGGTCCATAGAAGAACCTCAAGGGATTCTTGGGACTAAAAACATGTATTGTATCGAATTCTAACAAAATAAGAACGATTTATCCGTATGTTGAGCTAAATGTTTTTTGTTACCATTTACATGCCGTTTTAACTAAGACTAACAATGCAGAGCTTGTGTCATATGACTGTTCTTGTTGACTCCATCAATCTTGCTAGCTGTCTACTTGGTTGTAGGGTCCACAGGTGAGAACGTGGTTGTAGGGGTCCACAGGTGAGAACGTGGTTGTAGGGATCCACAGGTGAGAACGTGGTTGTAGGGGTCCACAGGTGAGAAAGTGGTTGTAGGGGTCCACAGGTGAGAACGTGGTTGTAGGGGTCCACAGGTGAGAAAGTGGTTGGAAAAGGGGGAACGAGACAATGTTTTGGAACCAATTCATGGTTGTTGCAGACAGTTGCAAGCCCAGACTAATATTTTGTAAACAAAATCACCTTTTTATGTTACAATATTTATCATTTCTAATTAGATTCAGTGTGTACTTGATGAATGTTATTATATTATCAGACTTAATTACTATTATTTTGAGTCAAGATGGATGAGCAGTGATTAACTTTGACTTTCTTATACCAGCAGGACGGTGGTCGGCTTGGTTTCGGAAGTGTCTCCCATCACCCTCTGTACTCCCAAACCCACTACGACCACCACAGTGACTTGGCCGCCCACCACAGCAACCCCTATCTCCACAGCAACCCTACCCACGGTACCATCACCTTGGCCCATGGTACGCCCATACGGGGCCCTCTCACCCACGGAGCAGCACTGCACAGCCCCTACGCCCATGGGCCACAAATGCATCGCCCGCACTACATCCACGAAACCCCAGCCCACCACTACCATAGCGGCTTAGCCCACGCTACGCCTATGCATGGCCCTCTGGCCCATCCCATACACAACACTCTAGCCCACGGCACACCCATGCATGCCACCTTATCCCACGGTCCGCCCATGCATGGCGCCCTGGCCCACGGGACGCCCATCCATAGCGTCAGGGGGCACGGCAACCAGACATACGATAACGTCATGTGTCCTCCGTTGCCCAGCGTGCCCCCGCCTCCACCTCCTCCTACGAGGCTGCCGGGCCCAACGCCGGCCCAGAAGAGGAGAGCAAGAGCCATCCTCGTCGACCGCTTCTCCAGGGTGTTCTTCCCGTCCACCTTTGGCCTTATTAATGGAGTGTACTGGCTTATATTCTGGCTTTATTTATAAGCACCAGCATCACCTTCCCGGCTTTTGAATTACGATTATACTGATTTTTCTTAGATCTAAAGTGGATTAAATTGTGTAGCTCAGAAGTGCAGCGATGGTTTATTTTGACCATTTCTACTGGAGGATCTATGTGTGTGTCGGGTTTAATTCCCTGTTTGGGTTAAATCTGTTAAATCCCTTTGTAGATTCAATGTAAAACTATTACACTCTGTCATGTTCTATACATATCCCTGGGATTTATAAATCAGTTTCCAGCTCAGTTCATAAAACAAATTTTTCCCTTGTACCACCGACCAATCGTTTTCTATAAGTACCTACAAAACTTGAACCTCTCCCCCTTGCATCCCGTGAAGCCGAGGAGTGGATCGCTTGCTAGCGGCATCCTAAACAGGTTTGAATGAGTCTCATTTGTTAGTTCATCTCACGAGAGATTTGGTTGTGACTTATATTTCCTTGTAATTCAACTTTGATATGCTGAAGCAGTATGTTTCTGCTTGTATGTATATACAACTAGGGGTTTGGCATACAATTTTCTGACTGTACTGCTGTATGTAAGTCGGGATATATTGTAGTGTGTATATTTGTAAATCAGAATACAGTGTACTGTTTATATTTGTAAATCAGGGAGTATTGCATTTACTGTTAATGTTTGTAGATCAGGTTAACTGGTTAGTTATTCAAGTTATTCATCAGGTATATCTGTAAGTAGCTGTAAAGTTATTTACTTGGTAGATTTGTAAATAAGGGCCAGGAGTCATCAAACATTTACAAATCTAGTTACGAAACCTGTACATGTTTTTACAATGATGGCAACTTTATTTACATTTATTACACAGATTATGAACTTCGAAGCACAACGAGGTTGTTTATAACAATAATAACCTTGGGTTGTGATGTTTCCGAGTTCATAAAATGTTGAATTAAACAATGCTGCCATGATTGACAAAAGATGTAGAGGTTTCACAAGTTGCTGAGGTAAATAGATCAGTTGTTGTGGGTCCGTGAGGGGCCTATGCACAATGAAATCACAACAACGTGTTGACCAAACCACACATTAGAAAGTGAAGGGACGACGACGACGTTTCATCACAATCGACTTGAGAATGGTCCAGGACGGACCGAAACGTCGTCGCCCCTTCACTTTCTAGTGTGTGGTTTGATCAACATATTTAAGCCACGTTATTGTGACTCCTCGTATGCACAACAACGTGGTGTATCTATAAGAAAATAGTGGTCATGAGAGTCCAAAGACGCGTGTTGGAATCCATTGCATGACTCCACAAATTTTATCTTAGAGTTTATGTCTCATTTACTGGGATATGTAAATAATTTACTAGATTGATGAGATGTAAATGAGTGTGTGTATGTGCTCCTGGGGCTCTTGTGGCTGTGTTGGCTGCCTTAGGCTCAGGAATGATGGTTGTTTCATTGTCGACAACAATGTTGTGTTTTAATTTGTATAGATATACATTATCTGCCTTTTGTTTTGTGTGTATGCACCTAACTATTCTTGTAGGGTCGAACTCTAGCTCCTGAGCCTTGCCTTATTAGCTGCTTCGGGTTTCCAGTCATATCTTCTATTGAAAAATATGTACTGCATCATATGCTATTTCTCTTATTATTCATTAGAATTTGCTCCCTACCCTTATGGTAAATATGTTTTCCTAATATTCCTTAACCATCCATCGTCGTGAAATGTTAGTACTTCTTTAACTATGTGGTAGTAAGTACCAATATGTAATAATTAAGCCCTATTAAGCCTCTTTTTTTGTACTATAGCTAAAAAGCAGACTTAAATATTCCTAGGCCTAGTATAGCACATATATGTACTATGCTAGACCTCAGCGTGTATTAGACCTAGAAGGGTTAGGTTAGGTCTTATTACTAACATAAATAAAAACTTTTCCGGTTTGTCCAATTTCAATAATACAAAAGTTTACTTTCTAGTGGTTCGTCACGACATATTTGTACTCTTGACCACATTGTTACTATAAGTACTTTAATTTTCGAAGGATGGGCTGCCTTAACTGATTCATGTTCCCTTGTTCTACCTAGTATTAGATTGTACATGTCCTCTTTATCTATTTCCCTGAGAATCTTTTATGTCGTGATCATACCTCTTCGATTCTTTTCTTTTCTGAAGTGAGGTGAGATTTATCTTCCAAAACCTCTTCTCATCTCTGGTCTTGACCTTACATATTCCGAAGGGCTCCATTCTTAGCTTCCTAAATACTTCCACAATGAAATCATTTTCATTGTGGAAAATGCATATGATGCAGCAAATGAAGGAAGCATTTAAGAACGTATTCTTAAATGCTTCCTTCCACAAGTTCCCAAATGCTTCCTTCCATAGGTTCTTAAATGTTTCCTATGGCAACTCTATTTGGATGTCGTTCTTCTGTTGGCTAAATTATATTTGCTTTGTTTTTAAGAGATTAATGTGCAAGTGTCACTGTTGAAGACTCCTCGTCTTGATTTTATCTTCAATGAAGATAAGGGGAGGGGAGAGCGGAGGTGGATACACACACGTGTGAGTGGGAAAGGGTTAGTGCATTCCTTCGCCCTTTAATTTCATTGTCATTCTGTCTCTCCCTCTCCACTATGTCAACATACCATACTTTACTTAGTCACATATCATGACCAATGTAACAAGTGTAAAATACACAGCAACTGTATATACACAAAATGTGTTTAATTATGTATATACGTATATCATGAATTCAACCAGGTATTTATGTAATCAACGAGTATTTGTACTAGATGTGTAAATCATTATTAAATACATTCACACAACATTTTATACCTCTTGAATGTGTAAATCGTAACAACGAATTGTGCTGTGCAATTAAACTGTGCTTAGGGAACCGAAAAAAGAATCACCAGGCTTATGTGCCAAGCTTAAGCCCAGTGAGCCAACCATCCTTGAAACCTATCCTCAGGCTAGGCTCGTCTAAGCTTTTGCCTGCCTCAAAGAATAAATTTGAACGTACTGTTTAATCAAAATCTTTATTTCTCAAATATAAATTATTATACAGTATTATCATTTTGTTTATAGTTAGGGGGGTAGGTTAGGTTATGCCAAGTGTTTTAATTCTGTTGGTAATTATTTATTTTAACTACATTGGAGTACTGTTGAAACTAAATAGAGATGTGATTCAAAAGACTGTTTATGAAAAGTTTTAACGTAATCAATTGCGAGGTGCATCTAAAATATATTTTATTCATAAACAGGGAGGCAGGTGGCTAGATGGCTTTTAACCATTTTTTAAGAGGAAGGGTTGTTCTTGGTTGATTAAGGTGGACTAATGGCTATAGGTCTTGGATTCTGTTCTTGTGACCAAGGTTCGAATCTCACGTAAATGACCCAGTTTCATTATATTGTTGATATGATATTTGATGAATATCATCAACACCATCATTATTATTATCGTTATTTGTTAAATAGTTTGACAATGTACGTTTACAAATATAAAATTGAGATTTAATAAATCGTGTGAAATGTTTGTACTGTGCTTACATGAGATGTCATAAGAAGATGTCAGTGTAGTGAGGCTCAGTAGACTTCTTGGAAAGTTGAAACTGTCTGTATTTGGGGGCTGGTACCTCCTAACAGCTGAAGCTGCTATGAAATAAGTCTGTGATGGTCGAAATAGGTGGGAATTGAGAATGTTTGAGATTGAAAAATTTAAAGCCTAAAACTCTAAGAGATTGAATTTGTTGGGATATTGGTGTTGAGGAGTGTATGAACTTTTGATGCTGAAGCGTTTGGGTAAATGGCACTGTTGATGAAGAATGTAACTGCTGGGGACTGCAACTGTTAGGAACAGTGATAAGGAATGAAACACATGGGGCTCTAGCTATTGGACCCCGAACTATTGAATACTGGAGTTACTGAACGTTGGAGCTATCGATCGATTGAATTATTGGATGTTGGAACTATTGAATACTGAAATTGTTGAATATTGAAACTATTGTACGCTGGAACTATTCAACTCTGGATAATTGATTAATCATACCAGTTATTTCCATCAATGAAAATATTTCTTAATTTTATTTGCTACAATTACAATGTGTTCGCATACATATATTTTCCCGCTATATCAATATTAATTTTTTATTAGGATTACATAAATTTGTTTATTATATTTGTTGAAGTGACATCATAAAGACATCATGATTCAGTTTGTAGTGCGTGTATCTGAGGGGCTCAGGACGCGGGTTCGATCCCATTTTAGTGCCTCTGTATTTATTAATTAAGACTTTGGATTATATTCAGTGGGTTGCCTAACATTTTGGGGATTTATTTACTCATAATTTTTTTATTAAAATGTTACAATTAAAAAAAGGTATTATATTCATCACGATTTTATCCCAATTTTGAATTATATAAGTTACAGCTGTATAAAGATTTGGGATTGTATTAATTGAATTAAGATTTAGCATTTGTATAGGGTTCCAGGCTTGGAGTTTGTGTTGATGTGTAAAGAGGAAGTGTTACGTGTATATAAGAGATTTATTTTATATCATCAAGAAGGTTCAGTATACAGGCACATACCTACACAGCTACTGTATATACTTGTATTTACTTACATGTCTGTATGTGTGTGTATACATATATATGTAATTTATTAAATTAAGTGGAAGAGTAGGATTACATTTTACATATAAACATGATCCAGATTACAAATCGAAAATCTTCCAGAGCTCCTCAAAGTGGGAGAGACGTGTATCTAGAACACAAAAGTATTTCCCCACTGAAAAGAAAACTGGTTACTATTGGGTCCTTGGTTTCCGTAATGAGTTTGTCACCCGACTCATTCCATTCAGCTGGGCTCTAGGAGATTCGAACCGTGGACCCCACGCGTGTGAGGCCGAAGCTCTATCGACCGAGGTATTGAGTGGTCTTAATAGAGAAAGTTTCCAGAAGCATCATCGTGCAGCCACACTGGAATTGTCGACTTTCCCTGACTACTACTGAAGCTCAGAGGACTTAGTGATCCACACCAACGTCATATAAATATAACGTGGAAGTATGGATGACAATTCAGCCAACTCATTCACTCCTGAGTGCACTTTTACCCCCATGGGTCTAATGTATGTGAGTACATAAACACGAGTGCAGATGCTAACAAGCAGGTTTTGTTAGAACACTCGGCAAACAACCTCACTGTAATTCTCTCTCTCTCTCCTCAAAATTGTAAACAGTTTTCCTCGTGGTTTAGTTTACGTGATGTTGACGTTCATTACTCACTGAACGTTACACATGAAATTACATGAAACTTTACTGTAACATTGTGTTTTAATGAGCCCTTAACTCCGTATAAGATATATAAAACAATACGGCCCAGTTCGTCCTCAGAGACAATGGGCAATCCAGCCCCCATACCCCCTGTATACGTTAACCAGACCACACACTAGAAAGTGAAGGGACGAAGACGTTTCGGTCCGTCCTGGACCATTCTCAAGTCGATTGTGACTTGAAAAAAAACCTGTATACGACTCACAACTGATTACGTTCCAACATTTCTTGAACAATACTTTGCCAATGACCTTTGAAAGTGCTTCACCCACGTAAGATTACGTACTTTAAATATAAACAATTACCAATAATCTAATATAAGCCTAACTATACATCAATTTCTAATATACAACAACTTTATTTTACGAGAAAATATAGATTTTTAATTCACAGTAAGTAACATTTACTAATTAATGTGTGTTTTGGGTTGACTGTAGCTTGGACGAGACTAGTTTAAGGAAGGGTTGAAATACTAACCATCAATAACAGTACCAGAGTCAAAATACAGATGGCGCTAACAAAATTGGATATTAGGAGCACTAAATTTAAAATATAGATGGCGCTAAGAGTTGTATATTATTACCTAAATCACTGAACTTTAACAAAATCCGTCTCAAGAAGAATCACAAACATTATGAACTCCTTCGGGGTCAACCCTGTTGCAATTCAACCTTAGTCCATAACTTGATCATTGTATATCAGTTATTACACACATTTTCCCTGTGCCAGACTCTGGCCCTCAGGGATCCCTCAGCGTCCCCAGGGGATAGAGGGATAGAGCACAGCTCAATCGACGAGCCAGTGCAGACTACTGATCACATAGCCTTGTATGACTAACCATCCTGTATGATGGGGATCGTTTAGCATCACGTAGCTAACTCATAATACACTGTGTACTCCCGTTCATATAGTCTAGGATAGCGGCATAAATGTAGATGTACCTAAATGTGTTAATAAAAGTCGCAATGTATGCGGAATGTGCTCACGCGTAGCCTATCCTTCACAATTGTCCCACAGTGTACAATGAGGTGTGTAACACAGTCTCTGTTAGATCAATTAACAAATAACAGAGAATGGAAGAACAGAAAACAAAGTTCACAATTAAATAATCAATGAAAATTAATACAATTTACGTTAATAGCCTCGTCTGAAACTTGAATTAAGATGTCCAGTCGACTATATTCATTTGGATGCCTTTTGATCCTTAGAACTTAAATTCCTACATCATTTTCAAGCATTTTTCGAGTGTCAAAGAATAAATGCAAAGCAAGAAGTAAATCAAAGTTAATGATGCTCTCTCTACTTGCGAAAATAGAAATCAGGCAAATAAATCAATACCACTTGGCCTTAAAAGTCGTTTCACAAATCATGCAACATTAATCATATATAATCAAATGAACAAATCCACAAGGGCCGTGACGAGGATAAGGCCTTATCTGGGATCCTCTCGGACGCAGGTTCGAATCCTCGTCACGGCCCTTGTGCATTTGTTCATTTGATGCATCAGGCAATTGTGATTTCTGTGTGTAATATATAATCAAGTCAAAGACCACCGTCCCGAAATTGTTCCTCGGAACGATATTAAGTCAAAATGGGGAAAATTGAGAGACACTTGACTGACTTACACGTGTCCTGGGCCGCGCTGGTCAGCTGACTTGCGCGCGGGAAAAGTGGCCGTCACCCCGTCGTCAATTCATGATGCTGTCGGTCACCTTTCATTTTCCTGGCTCAGACGTTCACTGTAGGCTTGACGTACTCCAGACGACCTGTGTGATGATTGTAGGTACACTAATTACCCAATGAGGACCCCAGATCCTCACTGTGACTTGCCGTTGCGACCTAAAGTGGTTATCGCCACCAGACTACCATTACACACTCGTAGATGGCTCCTCACCGCTCAACTACACTATTAAATCACTAGTACTGCCCCTACTCACTTGGGCCACTGCACTGCCCTACTTAATACTGCTGATTGTCACTAGCGAAACAAATAATAGTCTCCCAGGTATACGTAGTCGGCTATGAGTCTATCACCTGTCTCACTGGATAAACGAAGTCAGTTTACATATGGTACACATATATGTAAACTGAAAAGTGGTCTGTTCTTGCTCAAATGGGCGCCTGACACCATTCCTAGTACGTCTGCCCTCCACGACGTCTCGGGGCGAACTGTCGCTCTCCACTCCAATCAGAATTTAGAAAGATACACATCAAAGACCAAATAAAATAAAATCGTAGACCAAAGAGCCGAAGCTCAACCCCGAAACCACAACTTAGTGAGTACAATTAGGTGAATAAATGTACAGATAACATGAGCCCGAGATAAAGAAAGTGAGAAAACGTGACAAAGATATAGGAAGCATGACGAACTTAAATAAAAGTAATTCTCTAACCTGCATCTGTTTATTTTATTTATTTACATATACAAGAATCTTACATTCTTGTGCAACCATTAACTACCACGCATAGCGTTTCGGGCAGGTCCTTAATCCTAATAGGTAGGAGCTGAACGCCTAGCTCAAATTATTATTTGTGCTGAACGCTTAGCCCAAATATTAATAATATACATATACGTAAGTATATGCTACACAACATTTGGGTATATTTGGTGGAAATTGCTATAAATTAGGTCAAATTTAAGTGTCATAGCTTAAATTTCACCAACTTAAACTAAATCTAGGTTTGAATATGCTAGGTCAGGTTAGGTGAGGTCGTGTAGGGAAGGACATATATAATATCTTAGGGGTAATGAAATCTACATTTCATTAAAAGAAATTTAAGCTATTCCCACCTAAATTTGACCAAATTTAAAACTATTTCCACCAAATATACCCGAATGTTGTGTATCATATCACTGTCAAAGCCTATTTTTTTTTTACCAACTTTTTCTTCTATTTCCATCCTACCCTACACAACCTCACCTAACCTAACCTAGCATATCCAAACCTGGATTTGGTTAAAGTTGGCGAAATTTAAGCTATGCCACCTAAAATTAGACCTAATTTAAGACAATTCCCACCAATATATCTAAATGTTGTGTATCATAGCATAGCCAAAGCCCATTTTTACCTACATTTCTCATATTCCATCCTATTCTACGCAACCTTACCTAACCTAACCTAGCATATCCAAACCTAGATTTGGTTAAAGTCGGCGAAATTTAAGTTATCCCACATAAATTTGACTTTATTTAAGACAATTTCCACCAAATATACCCAAAAATGTTTTGTAACATAGCACGGTCAAAGCTTATTTTAGCTAAGTTTTTCACCTATTCCAACCTGCCCTAGACAACCCTACCCAGCCTCACCTGACATATCCAAAGTTAGATTTGATTAAAGTTGGCAAAATTTATGCATTTCCCACCTAAATTCAACCAAATTTAAGCCAATTTCCACCGAATATACCCAAATGTTTTGTATCTTAGCATAGCCAAAGTTCAATTCACCCAAGTTTTCACCTATTCCATCTTACCCTACACAACCGTACCTAACCTGACCTAGCATATCCCAAGCTAGATTTGATTAAAGTTCGTGAAATTTATGCTTACTCACCTAAATTCAACCTAATTTAAGACAATTTATACAAAATATACCCAAAATGTTTTGTTGCGTAGCTCAGCCAAAGACCATTTTAGCCAAGTTTTCACATATTCCAACCTACCCCACATAGCCTTACCTAACCCTGATCTAGCAGATTTGATTAAAGTTGGGGAAATTTAAGCTATCGCCACCAAACTGGAGACAATTTCCATCAAATATGCCTAAATGTTGTGTATCATAGCACAGCCAAAATCCATTTTACCCACATTTTCACCCATTCAATCTAAACCTGGACCTAACCTCTGATACGACATATACTCAGAGAAGTGATGTTTTTTGGATATGAACCTAAATGCCCGTGCCTAACCTGCAAGGGTCTTGGAGCTTTGTTGAATATTTTATCTATTTTCTTCGAAAACTGAAGTTTTGGATATGAACCTATCCACACTGTGCCTAACCTACTAGGTTCTTTGTTGAACATTGTAACCATATTCATAGAAAAGTGATGTTTTGGATATGGACCTAACCTCCCTTTATCTAACTTCAAATTTATCGTAAATATGGGAGGAACGTGTTGTTTATGCATCAACCCAACCGCCCTGGACCTAACCTCTGATACACGGATCTTGGTTCAATATTGCATCATATTCGTAGCATTTTTCACATCAATACAACCATCCTCAACCTAACCTCTATTACCTGGGGAGGGAGGTTGATGGAAAATATGATAATAATGGGAATTTTCTCTACATCAGTTCAACTTAACCATCCTTAACCTAACCTTAGTTAGAAAGGGATATAACTCACCAAAACTATTTAATTGCCATTTACCCAATTTTCCTTATCCTAACCCATAACCAGAGGGTTTAGACTCCCCCTTACCTCGAAATTATACTATATATTAAAGGTAGGAATATATTTTCACATATAAACCTAACATTCCCTAATTCAACCCTGTACTATAATTTCGAGGTAAGGGGGGGGTCTAAACCCTCTGGTTATGGGTTAGGATAAGGAAAATCGAGAAAATTAGGAGAAAAAAATCGAGAAAACCCAGGGGCCAATGGGAAAAAAGTTCGTAAAACTCAGTGGCCAATGACCGGCATGGGAAAAAAGTTCATAAAACTCAGGGGCCAATGACCGGCAGGGATAAAAAGTTCGTAAAACTCAGGGGCCAATGACCGGCATGGGAAAAAAGTTAATAAAACTCAGGGGCCAATGACCGGCATGGGAAAAAAGTTAATAAAACTCAGGGGCCAATGTGGTGTGATGGTGTAGTGGTTATCTCACTCTTGCAACACACTTATCCCCAACCATAACATTTACGCCCCTCTGATATCTTATCAACTGAAATATAACGGTGTAGTGGGAGCCATTACCCAGATCGCTCTACGCTGTTTCTTGTCAATGTTGCCCTGACTGCCAGGGCCACCGTGAGCTGCCACCACTGCCTCTGCTGCCTTCTCTAACATCGACACTCACCAACCAATCAACCAGCTTCAGCTGCCATCACCATGTTCAGCTGTCTTTTAATTTCCCTGCTGGTGAGTGTTGGGTAATGCGACCATATACTTAACACACACATACATATTCTGTATATATGTGTGTGTGTGTGTGTGTGAAAATGTATAACCACGAAGGGAAATTAAACAAGAAATTACCTGAGCGCTTGTGGGCTAACACCTCACCAAAAGTATGATACTTTGAAAGATGTGTTGATTAATACGAAAGCGCTCAAGCAATTTCTAGTTACATTTTTCCCTCCGTAGTTATACGTGGGGATCACTACCAGGCATCGTTGTGGTGAATCATCAGGTGAGAGGAAATGTGCTCTGTCCTGCCCTCGGAGTCGGACCCAATACTTTTTGGTTGCAATATTTTTTACATAGCATTTTGACATAGTAATCCCCTGAGGCCAAAAACTTATGTACTAAAAATCACAGCGGCTCGCAATAGTGACGTGATGTCCCGTTTTCTATTCGTGGGTCCTCGGGCAGGTTAGGTTAGGGTAATTTTGTACATCACTTTAGTAACGTTGTAAACGCTGGAGTGGACGGGCTGACCTATTTATAGTCAGCCATACATTCGCATCTGTCTAAACTTTCCTTGAAACACTCCAGTAGCCTAACGTCTGTTCCGTTACCCAGTAATATGAATCATTAATTAACAACCTGATACTCAACCCAATATATTCTCAGATTTCTTATGAATCTAATTTTATACAACTTGTATACATTGTTTCGTATTGATACATTAAACCCTTATTAGTATACCCTTTGTTATACACCTTCAAGTATTTGTATTCTTCAGTCAAGTTTCCTCACACATTCTAAGCAATGTAATTTGAAGTCTGTCCTCATATTAGAACCAGTTAGACCTGGTTCTAATTCCAGGGCTAATTTTGTCATCCTGTTCATGTGGATTTATGTTCATTCTACAATATGGTGACCAAAACTGATCTGTATAAATAAAGTGAGGCCGAGCAAGGGCAAGTTGAAGCTGAATAATAACATTTGGTGTGTGTGTGAATATAGACTGATGCGTGAGTCTTTCAGGTTGGGATAGTAGCGACGGAAGGCCCCAACTCTGCTTGTTGCGCTGACCTGACAACTACCACAACCACCACAACTACCTTAACACCCACCACTGAAATTATAAACAGAGAAGCATCGCCTAAACCGGTCGCATCAACAGAACCCGCTGCAACATCATTTGAACTGGTTGAAGTTACGACACTCCCCACGAACTGCAATGAGACCATGACCTGTCGATCTGTGGGCCTCTTCCCCAGGTGTACTATTTGTTACCCTCAGTACTTCCGTTGTACAGCGGACGACATAAACAACGATGCTCAGGTCTGGACCTGTGACTTCAATCTGGTGTTCAATCCAGACACGAACTACTGTGTCTTGAATACAACGTGTCCGAAACACAAGCTTTCTCATGTAGACTCACAGATATACCTGACAGACTAACACTACGCTGACTGTGATATGCAACCCATATTATATTAATAATTATACTTAGATACATATATTATGAACAACCATAAGAATAAAGATAACTGCAGAAAGTCTATTGGCCCATACGAGGCAGCTCCTGGATCAAATACCTGAATTCTGACATACAATCCTAGTAAAAAAATGAGAATTATCTCCAAGAAAATTTCATATTTACGATATCATTCTGGAACAAGTGAACATGATGTTTATGGATAAAAAATGGTAATGTAAAAATTATGTAAATTAGATATGAAAATATTTGCATCTCTGATAGTTATGTAGGCTTCTCAGATTTGGCCGTTTGGGTTCTGCATTTAAACAAATGTTGAAATTGTGTGGCAATATGTATTTTTCAACCCCCAGACTTGGATCTTCGCAACATAATATATGTATTCTGCTATATTTAACACCTGTAAACCACAATACTTGTTATCAAGACTTGCAATAAACCACAATGCTTGCTTTCAACACATACAAAGACCGCAACATATATTTTAAAGCAACAAAAATATTTCTGTCGAAGTGAACTGAATTTTTTATTTTACATTGTCATACAGCAATACATTTTTACGTTTTTTCTTTCATTGAGTAATACAATAACAGACTGATTGTATGATATGGTTCAGTCTAAATTATTATATAATTAGCTTAAAAACTCTTAATACTGTTTGTATGGAATAAAGAAATTATTTAAATATTTTTCTTATTTTCACGTGTTAAATTTAGCGTATTACAGAAGAGCATTAATGTCTTCATAATGGTCCAAGACGGCCCGAAACATCATTTTATAATGGTCCGGAATGGACCGAAATGTCGTCACTTCCAATACTTTCAGATGTGTGGGTTGGGTCGGTCATTTTCTGCTGCGTTATTGTGACTTAATGTCTGCTTGTTAGTAGCAAAATACGTTCATTATTCCTCCTGGATATGACCACGGCATGGAAGATACTTCCAACAGTTGCATATCCATCTTTGCTATACTGTTGTCCATCCTTAGAGTATTTAGTGTAGTATGGAGTAGACACACTTTAATCCTTATGTATTTGTAGGGTAGATAGAGTCTCATTAACAGTGGACCTTCGTCTTATTTTTACCTGTAGAGTAGATTGTCGGAAAGTCCGACACCATTTAATAATAATATCATACAGACAGATAAGAGCTGTGTTGTATAAACAAGTTAACCATAGAAAACGTAACTTGTAGTGGAATTACCGTCTATAGAAAACGGGATATCATCACCACATACTATTATAATTCACCAGCTATTTTGCTGGGAATTATTCTTAAATACATTAGTCTTTGGACTTTACCATCATAAAACATCTTATATAAATTAACTTAATTATCAATATTAAAGTAGAGTAAATGTGACCCTTCTATCACTTTCTGAAATCTGGACAAAGTAGGCCAGGCGTCAGAGTGAGGAAGGAGGGCAGCCATTGTTGTGTCACCTCCGAGACGTGTGGAGCAAATTTAGCTCCTATCATTCTGGACAATGTCGGCCAGTAACGTCAATAGCATGGAGTGTTAAACAGCCATTGTATATTGAGACCAGAGGCTCACACGGGAGCAAATTCGGCTCCTGTTAATTTTACTTGGACGTAGTGTTATGGAAACCAAAGGTACCATCTCCAACACGATGTCTACAATTCAAGTTAAGTCTATCCGAAACCCGTTTATCATTCATTTATGGCCATTAATGTCAGGATATAGGGTGACCCGGTTAGATCGCGAAATCGCCTCAAACTAAAGGTAATTAAGCCAGGTCTTCATGTTCCATGTACTGTATAGTGTTTTCTCTGATATACTTGTCATATATAGGTATCTGGCTTCACAGTTAGCGCACTTTTGACAGGTCAAGACGAGGATGCAAGATTTTGTGCACCAGTTACTGGGTGATGGAAGCTGCCTCAAAGAGGATAATTTGGTGTCTACACCCTAGTTATACCTGGTGGACTAACCTGCTGTACTATAAGATAAGGAACCTCATCAATGTATGTAGCTATTACTGTAGTTTGATTGGCTGCATATATATTAATTTAATAACCCCCCCTAATGTGTAGAGGATCGATTTGTGAGATTAAGAGATTATTGCAGAAATACAGTCCACTTATCATTATACAAATTGCTATCGAAGTATATAAATTAACGTAAATATAAATTCATATAAATTAAATAAATATAAATCTCACAGGTCGGTTCCCACATTATTTGGTCCTTCGAAACCGAATTATTTGGACCTTCGGAACCGGAATATTCGGTCCTATGAACCCACATTTGGTCATCTTAGTACCGGATGAACCAGTTAACCAGTGGATTCATTAAATATACTAGTGCAGTGTTATTTAAACAAAGCCAGCAGTCAAGACGGCAACGTAGCCTCGAGGGAGCTCAGGAGCCTCCCTCAGCCCAGTTCAGCTTCGTCAGCGGTTTCATGCACACCCACAGATATTTGGTGGCGTGTTATTTCGTGAAATGACAGCGCTAATAGAAGCCAGCCAAATTAGTGACTGTGTCTTCGCGAGATTGTTCACGGATTTCGTGGTGTTACATTTCGCGAGAGATTATCTACGAATTTTGTGGAGTTTATTTCGCGAGGTCACTAATAATATTTAATACTTCTAGATAGTATTAGAAGTTTCATAGAGGCAATTAAGAGGCTATTATCAATAATTGTGTATATTATTTCTCCAAAATAGAGAATTATTTAATATATATTGCACTAGTGATCATAGTATAATATTTACTAATTGCCAACCCACAACAGGGTAGGATATTAACCATTGACTAGTTGAACTATTATTGTTCATCCTAGTCCCATTATTACCATAGTCAGTTGTACTATATTAAACAACTTAACACCATTAATGAATGGTCCAGACCCTATTTTGGGTGTAAATTTTATCAACTCGAATTGAGTTGTATATATAATAATTTACTTATGATCATTACACCTTTGAGTGATTAATTAGTGTCTCTTCCATCCTAGGGTGATATAGAGGAGCTAACCTAAAGGTACTTCCAGTGACACTGGTTTATCACTCAAATCATTAGTGTGGATGATTGTATATATATATAATGTGTATTAATTTTAAGTGCTAACCTCTAGTAGAGGTAGGATTATTGCCTAGTGAGTGCAGAATTTACCCTAGGCTACCATCAGTGCTTGTTCAGTATTATGAGCAGCCCAAGTACAAGCCCCACAAGGCTTCACCAACTAGCCAGTATGGATAATGCAGGGAGAATGAAAAGAACCCTTGCAGGTCTTAAAGGCCACTTAACAAGACAGATCAAGAAATGTGAAGATTTGTCACAACAATCTCAAGTTGATTATGCTGACCTGGAAAGCTATTATCAAGCAGCTGCAGGTAAATTTGAGCAAATCAAATGCCAAATGGCTGTCCTTGTGGGGACAGACTACTACCATCGATTCATCGGTAGCCCTACTAAATATCAGGGCATAACCATGTTAAACTCTGCAGGAGGTAAATTACTCTCAGGCCCAGTATCAAGCCTGAGGAGACCTATGCCTGCAGATAAACAATACCAATAGAAATCTAAATTTGTCAGCTGATTATATTTCTCCAGTAGCATTATACTAAGGAGATTACAGCTGACTATACCAACAGAGGTTGATGTTAGTATCATCATTTAAAGCTGAAGATGAGTTCATGAGGCCTCAGTGGCAAATCAGTGAACAGTAGCCTAAAACAGCTACAAGTCACTGCGACCAATGTCACTGAACCCACTGCAGTCTCAGAACCATACTTTACTTTAATGATGAGCTATTCAATCTTCTGAATCAATTAACTAAATTAAACCCCAATAAATCTGATGACTGATTTGATACATTTATTATTTAATCAAGATGTATTCCATGGGCCTCAGTGTTTATATATCAGTGACCAGTTACCTGAAGAAACTTCAAGTTATATCTAATGTCACTGATCTCACTGTAGTCCCTGAATCATACTTGACTGTAGTACTTGATCACATTCAGTCTTCTGGGTTAAATAATATGTAATAAGGCTTGAATATTAGCCTTTCAAGAGTTGACAGGGAAATGAAATCGCATTAGACTTCTAACCCCTGCAACTCTAGTACGGGACATCCGTCCTGTACGAACAGACACACAAATGTGTGATTACTAACTACTAACATCAAATTAATCTAATAATTCGAAGGAGGAGTATCGGTGTCCGTCTGTTCTAAATAGGACTTCGACCCGTGAGCAGCCCCCTGGGGAATTATGTCGGAAAGTCCGACACCATTTAATAATAATATCATACAGACAGATAAGAGCTGTGTTGTATAAACAAGTTAACCATAGAAAACGTAACTTGTAGTGGAATTACCGTCTATAGAAAACGGGATATCATCACCACATACTATTATAATTCACCAGCTATTTTGCTGGGAATTATTCTTAAATACATTAGTCTTTGGACTTTACCATCATAAAACATCTTATATAAATTAACTTAATTATCAATATTAAAGTAGAGTAAATGTGACCCTTCTATCACTTTCTGAAATCTGGACAAAGTAGGCCAGGCGTCAGAGTGAGGAAGGAGGGCAGCCATTGTTGTGTCACCTCCGAGACGTGTGGAGCAAATTTAGCTCCTATCATTCTGGACAATGTCGGCCAGTAACGTCAATAGCATGGAGTGTTAAACAGCCATTGTATATTGAGACCAGAGGCTCACACGGGAGCAAATTCGGCTCCTGTTAATTTTACTTGGACGTAGTGTTATGGAAACCAAAGGTACCATCTCCAACACGATGTCTACAATTCAAGTTAAGTCTATCCGAAACCCGTTTATCATTCATTTATGGCCATTAATGTCAGGATATAGGGTGACCCGGTTAGATCGCGAAATCGCCTCAAACTAAAGGTAATTAAGCCAGGTCTTCATGTTCCATGTACTGTATAGTGTTTTCTCTGATATACTTGTCATATATAGGTATCTGGCTTCACAGTTAGCGCACTTTTGACAGGTCAAGACGAGGATGCAAGATTTTGTGCACCAGTTACTGGGTGATGGAAGCTGCCTCAAAGAGGATAATTTGGTGTCTACACCCTAGTTATACCTGGTGGACTAACCTGCTGTACTATAAGATAAGGAACCTCATCAATGTATGTAGCTATTACTGTAGTTTGATTGGCTTCATATATATTAATTTAATAACCCCCCCTAATGTGTAGAGGATCGATTTGTGAGATTAAGAGATTATTGCAGAAATACAGTCCACTTATCATTATACAAATTGCTATCGAAGTATATAAATTAACGTAAATATAAATTCATATAAATTAAATAAATATAAATCTCACAGGTCGGTTCCCACATAGATATACTCTAATTCTCATTTAACATAGAGTAGACTAATTTTCATTTATCAGTAGACTCTAATTCTCGTTTACCAGTAGAATAAGTAAAATCTGTTTCACATTTGTCAATAACGTTAGTAGACTCGTTTACCCATCGACTTGATCAATTCTAATCCTCCATTATCAATAAACTACTGCTGTCTATAATTCTCATCTACCAGCAGAGTAGATGAACTGTTTCACATTTGTCAGTAGATGACAAAGTTCAGGACTAACAGGTCTACTGTTATCTGATTTACGGGTTTCCTCTCTGCTGAACGACGATATCTTATCTGATTATTGATATGAAACAAAACAATGTTTACCCTTGAAATTAGTGACAGATGTAGTGAGTTCATTCGGTTATAAGTTGACGGTGTTGTCATAGCATGGTAGTGTGTTGTTTGATGTCACTGTCAGCGTTGTGACGGACCTGCACTGCCTTCACCATCATTCTTGTGACGTTCGAGCAGTGCTCTCACCATCACTGTTGTGACGGATGTTGGCTGCTGTCACCATGAAATTCGCTTTGATTTCACTACTGGTGAGTGTCTCATATCTATCTATATATATTATATCTTACTACAGGCTTATATCTATATCTATACAAGGGGACGTATGCTTATGTGCCCAAGGTTGGAAGCAAGACACTAGGGGCAAGCCTCACTCAACTTTGCAGGGTGACTGGTGGCTACAATGAGGCAATCATAGGCGGGCCGAAGACGAGGATAATTGACTGTGGCAAAACGCATGTTTTGATGACAGACGCATTCTGGAGGCTCCGAACACTTAAACAACAGACAAGTATGTCTCTAAGTATCGCGGCCAGTCCTCATGAAGCATAAATGACCTTTATTCCAACCTCTATTTATGAAGTAATTTGGTTTTGCACGATTCACAACTGATGACGTTTGATCATTTCTCGGAGAGTGCTTCACTGATGCTCTTTATTCGACTCACACTTCAGTGAATGCTTCACCCACGTACCGCAATTTAAATAATTGCCAAGAGGACCTAAACACCGATAATGAGGAAGTAGTATGTTAAAATTTATGAAGGTATCTTTGGGGCCGGCCGCTGCTCAGACGAGCACACTCTGAGGTCAGGTTATGTGACAGAGACTATGCTCGAAACCCAGCCCCTTTGACTGGACGGTAGAGCGACGGTCTCGCTTCATGCAGGTCAGCGTTCAATCCCCGACCGTCCAAGTAGTTGGGCACCATTCCTTCTGCCCGTCCCATCCCAAATCCGTATCCTGACCCCTTCCCAGCGCTATAAAGTCGTAATGGCTTGGCGCTTTCCCTTGATAATTAAAAAATTATGCTCGAAACACACAACCTGAGGTCAGGTTCTGTTTCGTTTTTGAGTCAACACTCCACAGAGTGTTGACTCAAAAACGAAATTTGAATAACAAAATTGAAACGAAAACATGGAATATTTCAGGGAGGAAGGGAAGAAATATTCAGTGTTTTCCTTGTCCCTGTTTGTCTCAATGGCCGGTGGACATTGTTCTGATAATTACAGAATATAATATTGCTTTTCAGGTTGGGATAGTAGCGGCGGAAGGCCCCAGATGGTGTGAGCTACCAGCCAGCTGTCAGCCGGGACAGCTGGTGCCTCATCCCTGGGACTGTCACCAGTACCACCTGTGTGTGGTGGGCGGCGTGCCCCACTCCACCCCTCTACGCTGCCCCCACCGACACTACTTCCACCCCGCCTGGAGGAGGTGCCTGCCGGAGGACACCCCTTGTCTTCCACAGTGTCCACGCGCCTGCCCCTGTCACCTCCTCCGCCAGGGACGTCTTGTCCCTCACCACCACAACTGTCGGCCAGCCCAGCTCCTCCACGTCGACACCGGTCACTGCCTCGACACACGTTGTCTGAACTTCTGCGGTGACAGAGCTAAAGTTGCCCCGTTGGTGACACGGAATGTCACACGAGTGTCCGGCTCCGTCGTGGTGAGTGATCAGTGCAAGTTCTCCTGTAACGGAGACTTCAGTAAATATGCTGACCATTATGACTGCTCTCTGTACTACCAGTGCTTCTCTGGGGGGATTACTGTCCCGGCCAGTTGTCCGGGAAATTTCCCGTATTTTGACGGGGAAGACTGCGTCACCGACAACTCTGCTTGTTGCGCTGACCTGACAACTACCACAACCACCACAACTACCACCACCCCAGGAAGTACTCTTTCACCTGCCACACCGCCAACAGCAACAACCAAAAGCCCCTCTACTACACGTGCAACTAAAACTACCACAACAACAACAACAAGTTTCACACCCACAACCATTACAACACCCACGACAACCGGCGCGACCCCATCCATAGGATGTATAACAGAACCAGACTGCAGTGACAAGCCGTTCGGTCATCTCGAAGGAGATCCAGACGATTGCTTCAAATTTTATTTTTGCTTAGGGGACGGGACCATTTCTGCAAATTCAGTGAATTGTCCTATTGGGGAGTTTTTCAACCCTTCCTTTCACACCTGTCAGAAGATCGTAGGTGACACCTTCCACTGTCCACAGCCCTGCGACTCCTTATGTCCTTACACATGTGCTGAAAGCGATCGCATCTACGACCCTTTTGACTGCTCCAAATACTATTTATGCATAGAAGGAACGCCTATACACCTTCCTTGTACTGAGAGTGTACCGTACTTCAACGGTACGACCTGTGTGGCCAGCCCAGACTCCTGCTGCAGGTTCCCGTGCCCGCCGTACTGTCCTCGTGGTGGGGTATTCGTGCCCCACGGCCAGGACTGCCACAAGTACTACATCTGTGTGGACGTTGGCACGCCCCTTGACACCGCAGTGCTCACGTGTAAAGACAATCAGGTGTATGATTACAAGTTAAGGAAATGTTCAGCAACAGCTGAGTGTAAAATACTCTGTTGAGGCTCTTCCTTCCCTCAGTGGTGTATATTACGTATTAGATTATATTGGTTGTATATTGAGAACGTTCTCTCGATTTGCCCCAACGTACAAAATACCATGTCCTAACAACCAGAAATGTACGACTGGAAACCACCTACCTAGCCTAACTAGGTAGGTGTTTTCTGTTTTCATGCATAGAAAACGTAGATTTTTGTGAGCTGCTGTTTTATAGTAATTAAAGTTATAAATATAAAAATATATAAGTTGGATTGGACGTAGTAGTTGTGACGACGGGCTGAAATATTTTTGTTCTAGTGAGGTGATCTTTGGCAGCATTGCGGTGGACTTGAACTCACGTCCCGGGTCACCAGAAACCTTTCACAAGAGTTTATAATAGATCTATCACACTATTGTAATGTTTAGTCTTTGATAGAGTTTCGATGTTCTGTGTCTGAACCTTAAATGAGACACTTCTGTATGATGTTCTTATTAAATTAAATTCCTAATGATGTCAAATGGTTTTTTAATTCCTAGTAACGACTGAAAGCAAATTTACGCTTAATGCTAGGCTAGTGAGGATAATTAATGATTATTGCTAGACTAGTGGGGATAATTTATGATTATTGCTAGGCTAGTGAGGATAATCTATGATTATTGCTAGACTAGTGAGGATAATTTATGATTATTGCTAGGCTAGTGAGGATAATCTATGATTATTGCAAGACTAGTGAGGATAATTTATTATTATTGCTAGACTAGTGGGGATAATTTATGATTATTGCTAGGCTAGTGAGGATAATCTATGATTATTGCTAGGCTAGTTGGGATAATTGACACATTGCTATATAGCACTTGGAAGGGATCAGGATAAGGATTTGGGATAGGACGGGGGAAGGAATGGTGCCCAACCACTTGGGCGGTCGAGGATTGAACGCCGACCTGCATGAAGAGAACCCGTCGCTTTACCGTCCAGCCCAAGTGGTTTGGCACGAAGGTGACTTGAGACGATAGTGATGGGGGGGATATGGAGGGTCAACCTCACAGCTCTAGTAAGAAAGAGAAGAGCTTGAGATGGTAAACAAGAGAGCAGCATGCAAATGTTCTTCCCATCTTAACCTTTGTGTACACGTTGTTATTAAGGCAAATGTGCACTGTAATATTTTACTTCATAAAAGCTCCATAAAATTATTGACAGTTATGATGAGCTAAAGACACTTGAGGTGAACAGAAGTTATAAGCACTTTATTATTTTTACACACAGGTGGGTACAGGAGCAGATGATTGCGGACTCCTGTTAGCAGGCTGAGAGCTTTCCCATCACAGAGTAATACACAGTAGGGGAGATAGTGACCGAGCACCATACACACACACACCATGCCATGTCTTGTAATTGGCGTCATGTAATTGTTACTTACTATTAGGTTGCAAATTTGGTAAAATTGTAGACTATAGTGGCCAGTACTTCAGAGGATGGGTGATAAATGAACAGACGAGGCTTTTCAGAATTTTCACAGTGAAATCAGACACTGTAGGACATACATCATGTAGTGTATAATACGTATGTTATGTAGTGTTTATGTCATGTAGTGTTTAGTGTGTTAAGTAGTGCTTGTCATGTATTGTTTTTATATATGTAGTGAGCAGTACATATGTTATGTAGTGTGTCATTTAGTGTGTATATTATGTAGTATTCACCTAGTTGTGCTTGCGGGGGTTGAGCTCTGCTCTTTCGGCCCGTCTCTCAACTGTTACTAACTACTAAGCATGTCATTCAGTGTGTATATAAACTAGTCTGTCATTTAGCATGTGTATTATGTCCTTTAGTGTGTATATTATGTATTGTATAATGCCACTTATGTAGTATAGGGTGTAATTCATTTATTAAGTGTGGTTCGCTAGTTATTGTTAATTTAGCGACGACGCAGATGGCGGGCACGGCTGACCAAGTAACAATGCCAAAACATGTCAGTGAGCTAGTTACTCATCAGAGAACCATTGTTTACCCAGATATTTCATCCCATGCATGTTTTCCTTCCGTTTTGGCGGCATTGTTACGAGTCTTTGTCCATTTATAACATTCATTCTCGCCTAATGTGAGAGTTATTCCCCTATTCTGATGCCTGTGGACTGACGCAGAATTTATTTTGTTACAAGACAAACTAGAAGTTATATTGGGGAAAAGTAGGCATGTCAAAGATGTTGTAGTACCGGTTTATATTTAAAAATATAATTAAATTTGACGAGGAAGGAGGGACGACTCAAACGTTGGGGGATGACGTCACCGGTAGCCAATCAGGAGAGGCTGGGCCGTGACGTGGACCATCATGGAGCTCTGTGATTGGTCGAGGACTCACTCTGGCGGTGAAGGAGGCACGGGGAAGCTGTATTTTTGAACTTCCGAAAAAGAACTTCCTTAGTTTGATTTATCGCGAGTGTGTGTCGGTTCGTAGTGCAGTGAGATAACTGAAGAGGCAAGCTACCAGTGTAGGAGGCCCTGACGTCGTGCCTCAGGGTACTGGAGGGCGGCGGACCCGTCTAGAAGTGTCTGGGGAAGACGACGCCCGGCGCCACTGGGAGCCGCCATTTTGGATTCACAATGTGACGAATCCTAATGAGGATCTTAGATGTTCCTGGAGAGAGGTCACGTGTTGGTAACCCACGGTTGAGCTTCGGCTCTTTGGTCCAGCCTCTCAACCGTCAGCTGAGATTCCACAAGTGTGGAAGAAAACAGCCATACGACTGGTCACCACCGTAAGTGTATTATCTGACCAAAATCCGTGAGTGACAATGTGCAGTGAAGTTCAGTGATAAATAATTATCCCCGCGGAAGTATTATGTGCAGTAATTGTCTGGATAATCAGAGAAATAGACGAGATTGAGAGGTGGTGATGGCCGGAGGAGGAGAGCCGTGCGTCCCCTGCGCCACCTGGGGTGAGAGTGACGGCTGGTGGCGCGACCCGGGGTATTTATGTGTCGCGGGGAGGTGCCGAGTGTCGCCAGCGATGGTAAGGGTTTACCAGCGAGTTTACTGGAAACTGGAAAGACTACTCGACCCTTTATTTCCGCGGGTCAGAGGCCAGATTCACGAAGCAGTTACGCAAGTACTTACGAACCTGTACGTCTGTTCTCAATCTTTGGCGGCTTTGTTTACAATTATTAAAGAGTTAATGAGCTCCGAAGCACCAGGAGGCTGTTTATAACAATAACAACAGTTGATTGGCAAGTTTTCATGCTTGTAAACTGTTTAATAAATGTAACCAAAACCGTCAAAGATTGAGGAAAGATGTACAGGTTCGTAAATACTTGTGTAACTTCTTCGTGAATCTGGCCCCAGATCGTTACGCAGTGGTTAGTGTTATGAATAGTGTAACGGATATGTGTACAGTGGAATAAATACTAGTAATTTGACCAATACTCTTGAATAAGGGAAGGAAGTGTTCACTCAGTGAGTTAGAGAAACATGTTGACCAGACCACACACTAGAAAATGAAGGGACGACAACGTTTCGGTCCGTCCTGGACCATTCTCAAGTTGATTGTGAGAATGTCGAACATACATCAGCCACGTTATTGTGACTCATCGCCTGCATAGAGAAACATGCAATGTTGAGGCAGCGATATGTACACTGCGCGGTGTACACCGCTTCTGGGTCTTCATACAGTATACTGAGAGTATACTGTAGTCCTGAACCATGAACCTCAGCGCCCTCGTCCTTCAGCAAAGGTAAGCAAGTCCTTGATGCTCAAGCGTTACCTTCACTGTTTATTTATATATATGTGATTGATATGTGATTATGAAGTGATTGTGTTATAAGTGTGGTGTATGAGGAGTGAAATGTATAAAAGCATAGCACTAATTCCTAATTTGATTTCACGCCATTGCAGGTAAGAGTTGCCAAGTCATCGGGGGACAGAAGTCTACCAATTTTTAGGTACGTTAACATTTTCTTTTGTATTCATTTTTTACGTATTAGTTTTACTCTTCTCGTGTTGATATTCGTCGGATCACCTTCCGAGCCGCCGTGACAGTTGCTAGCACAAGAGTTGACCACTTGACGGCGCGCAATAGGAAACAGGCCAATTACCTGGTATGTCCTCTGACAAAGGACTCCATCCAGGGGTTTGTTTCACCTGTTTGTATTAAATAGATAATTGGCAGTTCTCGTTCAGACATTTGTATGCACTTTATCCTTCCCGCACAAGTAAATCTTATTAATATATAAATAACACAAAATGGTGTTTAAAGAAACAAGTGAAGTACCAGCTGAATATGACAGCGTAAACAATATACACCCTCATCACATCCTACACAAAGTACACCCTATACAGTACAATACACAAACTGAACACCCCAAGCGACAGAGCATACAACGTTTGCTTGCTGGTGATCAAACACTCGGTGTTCCCGGAATAACTGCGTCCAGTTCAGCAACACTCTGATGTGTTGAAATAAATGTTGCCATCTTAAGGAACAGCAGAACCTTTGCGCCTCATATCCAGTTTGCCACTGTTAGTCTGTGAGGCTCTGTTAAACGTGACTATTAAATTGCCTCTCTATCGCGGTGCCAGAGTATTAGGCAAGATCGACTGATAAGAGGTGCGGGGTCTGGTACCTCTTGGTCCGGATCCGGTCCCCACTTCAGTATTTCTGCTCCTCGTCTTTCCAGGTGGTTAGTTAACTTCAGGTTAGCTTAGGTGTAATGTTCTGTTGGGAGTTACTTTGTGTCTGCAGCATGTGGGCAACCATTGCTCAGGCCAGGCTCGTCCCAGCTGCGGCTGACCCCAAAACACGCATTCTGAATTTTAACGTACTGTTTGAAAGAAATTTGTTGTTCTCAAATTATATATTATTATTATGTGTTAAAGTTGTAGGCATAGTTAGACATATGTTAAGTTTGGAGTTTAGATTCTGTTGGCAGTAATGACAGCACGTGGGGGAAACATTCAGAAAAGTGTGATTCGAACATAGAAAGTGAGCGAAGTCTTGAGAGAGTCCTTTTTTGAGGTCTTGTTTACTGCTAAAAATGGAGTGTAAAAAAAGTGTGTGTTTGCTGGGAAGGGCCTCTCAAATTCTCAGATTGTAAATGTTTAAGTGTATGGTAGCACACTGCTCAGGGGATAAGTGCTTTCCATGACTAACGAGAATTTAAATGAGCTGCACTCACGACACAGGTGAAGCTGTTTGCACTTGTATTACGTACATAGAAAATATTCAATTGTCCCAGTTGGAACAATATCCAAGTGTAACGTGATTCAACATAGATTCAACGTTAGCTATGTTGATTTAACGTTAAATAAACGTTGATTTAACGTTTATTGAACGTATCTTGTCGATATTATGCCAACTGGGGGTGAAACTTAACTCTTTGAGAAAGTTATCTCATCATTCATATTTTTCCTCAAATTACCAATTATCAAATAGGGCCACTGTAACTTCCCATAGATTAAGGCCTTTCTGTGTCTAAATGGGTTAAATAATTACATGACAACGTTACAGGCGATACAAACTCAAAGTTACTAGTCATAGGGAACTTCAGCTATGAGAGAAAATATTGGAAATTAATAAACCCAGTGGAAACATCATTTTCTGTAACGGCTTTTTATAAAAAGAGACAAACAAGAGGCGTATATAACTTTCCAGCAAGAAGAGCGCTGATCTTTACACAGGTTGAGGTAGACATCAGTTACAGGTAGAAATATTCCCCCACCTTTCACTTGCATTAAATACACAATGAAACCACAATAACGAAATATATATGAGAAAATACTGAGGCAACGTAACGGGCTGCAACGCTCACCTCCACACCTGAGTGTGGGAGGATTTGATTGTTGCCTCCGGAGGCGGCTAGTTTATTGTGCACCCCATACCCATCCTGTGAGCGATAGCGCAAAAAGCATTACAGAGGGCACAAAAGGTCTTTATCAGACCTCATCTTAGATTATTACATAAACTATTGTATCTATCCTTCACACTTTATAGTTACAATGTCATCTAGTTGGTGCTTGTAAAACCAGGATTGTGGTACAGTCTGGTACCTTCCAATCCCCAAGTATGACATAGAGTACTGGGAAGACAGGCCACCTGTAACTTAGAAAATTACGCTTGGGTAACTATAGTGATTTTTGTTAGCAAATGGCTTGTGAGGTGTAAGCTGTGAAATAAGCCTTATGACGTAGGGAGTGTGATCCCCAGCCTGGGGTTTCCATTAGGTCAGTGAGGACGTAAAGCCTCTGTGGTTTCGTCAACAACAGTTGACGTCAACACCGGTAATTACCAGAGGCATCAGGTGATAAACACACTTGTTGTGGTTATGTGATAGAGAGTCCCGCTCCTGTGTGTGTGTGTGTGTGTGTGTGTGTGTGTGTGTGTGTGTGTGTGTGTGTGTGTGTGTGTCAGCGTGTAAGTGCAGTGCTGCTGTTTTTTACGAGCATTTTATGTTAACACACAATATAAGATGATAAAAATGTACCAGAGGAGGGAGGAGCCACAGAGACAAAACAAGATAATGACAGCACAACAACTTGTGCTACAAAAATAAAACTATGTAGTAAACCTGCCCCCCCCCACAAGCCTGTCACCTGAGGTAAACAATGACGACATATCATCAGCGGCATGTGCACACCTCTGGAACGTACGTGTGTCAAGGAGCCTGGACACGTGAGCTTTCACTACGTTTGACAACATCTATGAGAGATAATTAACAAAATATGAAGCTCCAGTGCGGAGTCAAAAAATAAAGGAGCATAGAGAAAATCAAGAGGTTTGTTACAAGACTGGTCCTAGAACAGCGAGGGTTGAGCTGTAAGGAAAGGTTAAGGGCGCTAGACCTCAGCGACGTTTAACAAACGTTGAATCAACGTTGTCACTGTATTGTTGTCTACACTGTTGTCGTTGTTTTGTGTCACTGTGTTAATAATAACTCCTCCACATAGTATCATAAGTAGGTGTGAACAGTAGCAGGAAGGTTGGAAGACAACGCAACTGACAACTGGCAAAATATAAGGCGAAGACCAGGAGCTGAAGCTCACCCTGCAAGCACATATAGGTTAGAACATGGTTAAAAGATGGAATTAGCTGGAAGATTCAAGATAACTTGTATGGTGTAGGGAAATTTTGGGAAATGACATAGATTTAACAATGAATCAACTTTGATTAACGTTAATCCTACATTCATTTAAACGTTGATCAGACGTTAAACGTTTCTCGAGCATGTTTTGCCCTCTGGGAACTGTTCACTGTGCACACAACTCTATCAAAAGCTACTCGCAGTGAGGCGATTAACCAGGCAACAAATTGCAACATAACACTAAATTATTATTGGTTATAAGGGAGATGTGATGTAATACATGTGATCCATAATGTTGTGGCTACTGGGCAAGTAACGCCTGGAGTAGAGGGGACTATAGGCACCATGGACCATTAATAAATATATATTTTTGAGGTTATAAATATATTATACAAAAGTTTTTTATGCAGCAGGTTCTGACAGGAACGTTATTTAAAAGGTTCCACAAGGGTAAAAATGTTGAGAAACTCTGCTCTTGACAGTCAACAGGTCGAATCAGTTGCGGTTTTATTCATGCCATTAAGGAAATATATATCTCAATAATGTCTTGCATATTGACCCAAATCTGAAGACTTGAGACTGTCGTCGTTTCCGAACAGTTGCAGTTCCCCTTGTGCCGTACAGCAAATAATTACAAATATTATGTTATTAACGTCTAACATTTTCATATCTTGATTTCTTTCCCGCTGACATACAAATATTATATCAAGGACGCTATGTATGTCTGTCGCAGATACACAGGTGTTTGCAGACGATATGGCTGACGAAGCAAAGTGTCCAATGAGGAATTAGATGCAGTCAGTAGGCAATCCCCAGTATGAGGAGTTAGCATGGTTCGAAGACCAGCTTTGTTCGTCTTGGACACATTACCGGACGTTACTGAGATAATATTCTCCATTATGGAAATATTCCAGTGGACCTTTTTGCAGTATTTTGAGGAAACTGTTTGAAGGTGAAGAGGTTGTAGGAATATCCTTGTGGGAATTCATATATTCTTATGTGTAGGACTCGTGAAGCCCCACACATAAGAATATATGCATCGGAGGTAAAGATAGCATTCTACGTTGCAATAATATTTATTGTCATTATATTTTACAAGCATAACATTATGATTTCATTTATATAATACATTGCATTATACAGAACCAAGATGAAAATATAGATAATTCAGTCCTGGATAAATTCACTTTATCAAAATTTAAGGATTTCTTGGCTAATGCAAATCAATTAAACAATGAATAAGCAGAGATTTTCATATTCATTGACATCAATTCTGGTACAGTGTATTATCCGGCGGACTGATCACATTCCCGCTAATAAAGTAAGCACATTGGAGGTTGTTGACCAGACCACACACTAGAAAGTGAAGGGACGACGACGTTTCGGTCGTCGGTCCAGGACGGTCTGAAACGTCGTCGTCCCTTCACTTGCTAATGTGTGGCCTAGGCAACATACTTCAGCCACGTTATTGTGACTCATCGCCTGCATGAGCACATTGGAGACAGCCAGCAAGTAGTGTAACGAAGGAAATCTTCACTCTCAAGAATTGGTAATTTATGTTAGTAATAGCGGTGGTTATTGATGTGGTTGTAGTGGTTATTGAAGTTCCCGACAGCGACGCGGTTAATAAGATGTGGAAAGGCATAAGTTAGTACAGGAAGTACCTGAGACACATCGACCAGTTTTGTAGTCAAAATGTGTCCGCTATTACAAGGAAAGTGCAAGCTTGAGTCCACTGGTCCCTCCTGAGTGCATATGTAGTACTTGGTGCAGTCTGTGGGGTTTGGGGACTGCACAATCCCTGGCTGACAGTAAGGAACACAATAGACTGTGCAACAAACTTCCTCGTCACTGACACAGTTCTCACCGTTGAAGAAGGGCGCGTCAGAGGTACAGATAACTGTTAAGTCTGGAGCTCCTCCAATACAAATATAATATTTACCATAATCGAATGCATCACTGATCAAGCTGAAGAAGCTGTTGCAGGTGATGTGGCAGTCAGTAGGCTTGCAGGTAGCTTCAACAACCGTCATCAGGCATGGGGGCACAGTCAAGTATTTCTGAATCAAAATAATTGTCATTTGGGCAGGGAACAGCGTGGTCCGAAGGAATACCATCATCAATACAGATGTAATAGTTGGCACAGTTCATGGGATCAGCTACTTTGTCTAGAGGATAATTCCCATTACAGTCGGGTTGATAGGAGTCTTGCTGGAGAATCCCAACGGCGCACACCACCTGGTTGAAGGAGAGCAGAAATATTATGATATTGTATTGATAATGATCTGACTTGATAATGGTCCAGGACGGACCGAAATGTCGTCGTTTCTTCATCTTCTAATGTGTGGTCTGGTCTTCATGATATTGTATTGATCTATCAATATTTGACGTAATAAAAAATACATAGCTCCTCCTCACCTGTGACGCATATTGTCCAATTGGGCTACGCTACAAGTTGGGTGGAAATTAATAATACATAATACAGGTATATCGTTGTTTACGAGAACAAAATCATGTTTACTATAGTGTAACTATATTCTACCTTGCTCTGTTGTGTGACTATATCTCACCTTGCTCCCTTCCTCTTTGAGAGCCAATCGACACATTTTGTTAACAGGGCATCTAACTCCCTGTTCATTGAGAGTCAAATCTTATGTCTCTAAATTAGAATTTTCTTCTACCACCTCATTTTATGTTCTTACTGAATTGGTAGATATGTTACGTGATTATATGGCATTTAATATACATGACACATTTACATATTGGTGGCTTCCAATATGTAATATGTGTTAATATTGTAAATATTTGTAAATATTGCAACTGTAATAAACTCCAGCTCCTCAAAGGTGGCACATGTGTTTAGGATGTGGCAAACATTTCCTCAATAATTGTCCCCTCCTCCACTCCCCAACAATGCCCCCTGGGTGTGTCCTGGGGCCCATACTGTTCCTCACCACCAGGGCAATGATGAGAAGACTGCGCTTGAACATGTTGCACGAGCTGCACACCTGACGTTGCACACCTGAGGTGTACACAAGAGCCTGGACCACCGGCCTCTACTGTTTCTTCGGCACTTGACCCGAGATAGGTAAACAGATGTGCTGTCGTGACTGCAGGTATGCTGTGTGTGCAGGTGTATACTGGGGCAGCTGTTGCCACGGACCCAACACTTATACCCGGAGGCTTATCACAGTGTGGGGTTTCGACAGGGGGGAGGGACCCATTGTGATCAGGCAACGTCATTCTGTACTACAGCTCTGGCTGCAGCCAACCCGTCCTCCGACCAAGTCCATTCCATCCAGCGGTCGACCTCTAAGACGCATTCATCAATTTTAACATGCTGTTCACTCAATAGGAATGTTCTGAAATATAAATTAATATTGTTATGTATTAATTTATATTAATATTTATAGATCCTATTTATATTAATAGATATTGTCCATATCTAGGCATTGGTTAAGTTAGGTATTTAGGTTCTGTTGGCGATTATTTGTATTTGTAGTACGTGGAAGAAACATTTACAGCGTTGTGGTTCGAACAAAAGTCGTCAGCGAAGCACTTGTTCCGGAAGTGTTCGGACATCATCAGTCCGAACGACGAGGTTTCTCAATAGAGAAACCTCGTACGTATAATCGCGTATAATGGAGTCTTAAGGTTATAAAAAAGCTTGTAGCGTATTATTCTGTATAGTCAAACTTTATTTAATATTAGCAGCTCTTCAAATTATTACAACACAATATACATTGGAAAGATAATGTGATCGAATGTGATAATTTGTTATGTTTATTGATTGTTTAAATAATTTGCATTGTCAAATCATTACATTTGAATAAAAGTAATATATTCGAGGCTCAGCTTTGGTTATTCAACATGTCCTCTCAACTAACACGTCTCATCCTGTACGTTATGGTCACCAACGTACAAACGAGAATGTACCATGAAAAGTAGCAGCTCACAAATATCCACGTTTTCTATGTATCGGTTGGTTTAGTTAGGTGGGTTGTTGGTTGTTGGGGTTATTGTCATTAATTAGGTTAGCAGGTTGGATTTTGCATTTTGTAGCAAATCAATAGAACGGGATATATATATATATATATATATATATATATATATATATATATATATATATATATATATATATATATATATATATATATATATATATATATATATTATATATATATATATATATATATATATATATATATATATATATATATATATATATATATATATATATATATATATATATATATATATATATATATATATATATATATATATATATATATATATATATATATATATAATATTAGGCTTGCGCAGTTTAATGAAAATTAATTATAAATATGTATATTGTTCTTTTACCTGATTCGTATATCTTCTTACAAGTGGTAATACATTATTCCAAGGTCATTGAAGGTGTCAACAGAAGGATATTATAAGAGGCCTAGAAGATACTAGGCCTCTTCTCCCTCAGTCCCCCCCCCCCCCAAAGATTGCAAATAGGTTCACCGGGATAGTTCCATCGTGGATAATATTATTTCAATAACGCTCGATCTGTATCCATAAAAGAGAATGTCTGTTCGGGTTTGGAGGCCAGATGGTTGTGGCTAGCCTCACGCAACTTTCCTGGTGAACTGTGATTGTATGGCGAGTGTCATAGGGTGGATGGGGTCCACCCATGCCCTTTTAAAGTGGGATTGGCTCCTATTGCGACACCCAGACGCTTATGATGTCTGAAATGCAGGTTTGATTGCTCATGGAGTGTTTACCTAGAGATTTCTCGCCTGTTATGAGCGTCGATAACGTTGATTCAACGTCGATAACGTTGATTCAACGTCGACAACGTTGGTTGAACGTCGAAAACGTTGATTTAACGTCGACAACGTTGATTCAACGTTTCTCTAGGCCATTATTAGCATTTACAGTAGGTGGATGAACCATTTAGAGAAGTCCGATGCAAACAGAAGCCGCGAACGAATCACTGTTCGAGAAAAATTCACACATCAGTTGCGAGTCGTGTAGTGTTTTTCATTCATAAACAGGGGGTTTGGTGGTTGGATCAACGAGCATTTGGCCTTTGTTGATGAAGACGGGTTGTGGTATGTGATATTTCTGTGGATTAATCAGTGAGTAACTGACATAACGAGTAAAGACGAATTGGATTATTCAAATTATTTATAAAGTGATCGATTTCGATCAATATTTCTCGTCACATTCCTGTTGACTGCAATAATTGGATTTATTGATGCCATTTGGGCAGTTATATCATTTATGATGTAACTTTTGAATAGCACCACTAAAAGATTTATCAATAATGTGATCTTTTATTTTATTGCATTGATTATATAATCTTATCAAGCACACATTCAGTGACCACTAAGTTCTTTATATATATATATATATATATATATATATATATATATATATATATATATATATATATATATATATATATATATATATATATATATATATATATATATATATATATATATATATATATATATATATATATATATATATATATATATATATATATATATATATATATATATATATATATATATATTATAATAATTGAGGATCAATTAAAGCTAATAATAAAATGCTCATCATTTTATATATATTTATATTTTAATATGATTAGATTGTAAGGTCAATAGACAGTATTCTATATTATATAATTTCTACGGAGAATTCAAGCGTAGTGAGCATCGCGTTAGGCTTCCCGGCGGTGGCGGACCCTCTTGTTATAGGCTACCAGTTGATTATATATTTATACTCCAGTCTACCGTGTATTTTCCTGCCCTTCCTCTGTACTGTTAGCAGGTGGTGAGATCAAAATGAATTAGTTATGGTAATGTCTTCTCACAGACATAATGTTTATGTCTTTTTTATCAAAATGAATGTCATGTCTGTGGTTTAGATAATATTTAGTTTAAGATTAGTGTGGGAAAGCCACGTGATACAGCGGTCATATGTGAGCTGCATGATCTAGTTGTATTTTCTCATTGGTATTGTTTGTATACATGTTGGGTGGTGTGTTTGTGAGGCGGAGCGCGACGAGAGCGGCTCTAAACCTCCCCAGTACGACTGAGATTCCTCGTCTTCCAGCCGGCGGTCGCGGGTTGTTGACAGTTTTGGGCGGAGAGTAGTCCCATCACTGGTAACTCCGGATACACTCCATGCGCAGCCAACTGTGCAACTGTTACAAAGTGAGAACACAGTGAAGTAATGGTATTGCAGTATGTTAGTTGTAGTTGATATAATTGTGGCTGCAGTTGCTGATAGCAATGTACGTAATAAGATGTGGAAGGGTGTTTAGCACAAGCTCGTACAAGAACTCCCTGCTACACATTGACCACTTTGGTAATCAAAGTGTTCTTCAATATCACAGGTAAAGTGTAAACTTGGGTCCACAGGTCCCTCCTGAGGGCATAAGTAGCACTTGGTGCAGTCTGTGGGGTCGAGGGCCTGCACGACCCCTGTCTGACAATAAGGAACACACGAGACTTTGCAGCAAGCGTCCTTGTCACTGACGCAGCTCACACCGTCGAAGTAGGGGTCCTCGGAAGGACAGGTAAATTCTATGTCAGGGACACCTTCAATGCAGACATAGTATGTGCTGCAATTGAATGCATCACTGATCATGCTGTAGGAGCCGTTGCAGGTGACCAGGCAGCCAGGACTCGGGCAGGCAGCTTGACAACCTTCCGGAGGTGCGGGGAAGCAGTCAAGCTCTTCCGGGTCAAAGAAGTTGTCACTGGGGCAGGCAAGGGCGTGGTCCGCAGGAGTACCATCATTAATACAGATATAATAGTTGGTGCAGTTCAGGGGATCAGGTACTTTGTCAAGAGGATTTTTACCAGTACAGTCCGGTAGACAGGAGTCTTGCTGGAGGGTCCCGACGGCACACACCACCTGGGTCACGGAGAGATATATTATGATAGTGATATAATACCGTTTGACATGAAAAAAATGGATATCCTGTTGTCAGGGACAGGAAGCCCGCATTTAGGCTTATCGAGGTCACCTCTGAGTGACCTACCTTACCTTACCTTACCTTACTTTGAGGTGCTTCCGGGGCTTAGCGTCCCCGCGGCCCGGTCGTCGACCAGGCCTCCTGGTTGCCGGACTGATCAACCAGGCTGTTGGACGCAGCTGCTCGCAGCCTGACGTATGTACCGACCGACCAGGATGCAACCCCATTGCAATTGCCCAACTCCTCATTACCTATTTTCACAGCTAGGTGAATAGAGGCATCAGTTGAAAGGTCACCTTCGACTAAATACTGACCTTCCCAAGGATGCAACCCTCAACAATAGCCTAGATCCCGGGTACCTATTTACTGCTAGGTGGACAGAGGCATGAGGTGAAAGGAAAAGTGCCCAACCTGAGATATATATATATCGCCCAAATGAACTGAACGCCGAGTTGGGTAGAAATATATATATATATATATATATATATATATATATATATATATATATATATATATATATATATATATATATATATATATATATGACAATGTCAGACCACGGAGGAAAAATGAAACAGGAAATTTCCTTAAGTACTTTCGTATATTAAATACATCTTCAGAAGGTACCTTCTGAAGATGTATTTAATATACGAAAGTACTTAAGGAAATTTCCTGTTTCATTTTTCCTCCGTGGTCTGACATTGTCACATTCTTAATCACGTGTTTATTTTCGTGATATACACACATATATATATATATATATATATATATATATATATATATATATATATATATATATATATATATATATATATATATATATATATATGCGAACAAACCTGAATGGTCCCCCAGGACTATATGCAACTGAGTGTGAGTTTTCGGGGGGGGGGAGTTTTCAGTTATATATATATAATATATATATTCACGAAAACAAAATAATGTTTGCTTTGTTGTAATTATAGAATCAATACATTCTGTATGAATTCATATTAATATTTTTTCTCCTATCCCCCATCCCCCATTTTTGCAGTTGTGAGAAATTGGTAGAGGTGCACTACATATCCTGTGATCCGTGCCATTTAACATACATGTCACTTATGATCAATTCAAAACCTCCTCCAGCTCCTTAAGGGTAAGACGTGAACCAAGGATGCAGGAAGTATTTCCTCACTAATTACCCGACAGTGCCCCCTGGGAGTGTTCTGGGGCCCATACTGTTCCTCACCGCTAAGGTGACGGTAAGAAGACTGTGCTTGATCATGTTGGACGAGCTGTACACCTGACGCTGTACACCTGCTGGACCACCGGACTCTACTTCAGGTGTATTTTGGGTGCAGGAGTGTACTGTGTCGGCTGCTGCGTAGGTGGCAACACTTATACCCGTAGGCTTATCAATGTGGGTGTCGCCAACACCGGGGCCGGAGGGAGGGACCTATTGTGGTCACGCTGTGTCATGCGGTCAGCCAACCCGTCACACAGGTGAAGTCAGGTAAATATTATAATTAAAGAACGGACAACAGTGTAGGGTATATTACTGACGACTTGCCGTTAATTAATTTAGGGACGACAAATGCATTTACGCCGATTGTGCCCAAGCGTTCCTTGCGAGGGTTAAACGCCAAGCCTCGCTTCTAGAATCACGTCGAAGTACACAAGTACACTACGGGCTCACCATATCCCGTGCTACCTGGAACATTTGTGCCGAGAAGTTGAATCTAAAACAACAACAATCACGTCGCCTGTCATATCTTTATTGCACGAGTGCATAACTTTACGCTTATTCCGGACCGTGAGACGGGTTGTTGCAGCACCGGATGACGTCTGCCGACTACAATGGGTCCCTCCCCCCTTGTTTAAACTCGCACTGTGATAAGCCTCCGGGTATAAGTGTTGGCCCCAGGGCACCAGCTGCCCCAGTAGACACCTGCAGCCTCGACCACACACCTGTTTTCCAATCTCAAGTCAGGACATAGTAGAACCCGGTTACCCAGTAGCGGTACAGCGTCAGATGTACAGCTCGTACAACATGATCAAGACCGGTCTTCTCATCGTTGCCCTGGCGGTGAGGAACAGTATGGGCCCCAGGACACGCCCAGGGAGGCAGTGTTGGGGCAATTGGTGATCCTTAGTTTGCTTCTTAAGTATTAGTTTATTTTTTATTAATTTGTTTCATTAGTTTGGGTCTTATTATTTAGGGTTTCATTAGTTTGGGTTTCATTAGTTTGGGTTTTAATTATTAGTTTTTGTCACATTAGTTTTGGCCTCGTTAATTTAGATTCATTAGTTTGGGTTTCATTAGTTTGGTTTCTTATTTTGAAAGACAAACTATTAAAAGACTCATAACTTTACAAAGAGACGATAATATTCGACAAATTCATACTTACGAGCACTTTTGAATCAGTATACATTATTAGGGGGCAAAGTGTTTAAGAGTACACTCAGTGGAAATAAGTTTTGTTAACAGAAGCAGCAAGTGTAAGCAAGTGGGATGAGTATAGGAATGAGGAGGAGAGATGTATGAGGGTATGTGGAGTTGTGGAGTGAGTGAAGCACACTACACTGGCATAGGCTTGTTCGAGGCTGCCTGTGACCTGTTTAACAAGAAGGGTTAATCATTAATCCCCTGTGTAGAGGGGAATAATGATAGTATTATATATGAGAGAGAGGCAGAAGGGTGATGTATTTTAATATAAGAGGGGAACAATACATGAGAGATAGGCTGGAGGGAGGGGTGAGAGTGTTTAAGGAAGTGAAGGAAATGGTATAGCGCCCTAGCTGGATTGTTACCTGATTGGGGATTGGCTGTCTTGGGTGCCTGGCTTGGCCATCTCATAACTGTTCTGTGAGTGGCTCAGGTCTAAGGTGTGCTTGAGAGCCATTTAGCCATTGGTTCATTTCATTTGAGGAGTGTAGCCTATGGATTCCCTCTACGCGGTGTTTCATCGGAGGGTAAAAGTAGTGTGTATCTGGCTACGGAAGTGGGTTGAGTAAGTAGTGTTAGATAATGAATAGAGGAAGTTGGGAATTGCATTAGGCTCACTGGTTATGGATTTCTTAAGGTTCCTGTATAAGAAGTAAGTGCTTGTCTCGTGCGCTCTGATAGTATTATCAATCAAAAGTGCCTGAGATTAGAATTTCATTTGCTACAATGTACCTTATTGTAGCAAATAAAAAAATTATTAATGCATTTAAAAATATCATTGTTTCTGTGATATATATATTCCTCTTGTCTGTGAATAATTATGATTGGTATTTAGAAATGTTAGTAAACTACCTTGATTTCCCTGGATTAAAGTTCAATAATCCTTCCTCTCATTATTTGACAGTAAACAAATTTATGACGTTAAAGAAAACGCACAAGACTATTGAGAGTTCCATATTTTAATATAACTTGTACGACATATAATAGTTCCTCCCCCTCACGCAGGTCGCGTCCACCGCCTGGATGCTCCAGAACGATGCCTGTTCACCTGATTGTGCTGGGAAAGCTCTTGGAGATAAAGTCCCTGACCCCCTGAACTGTACCAACTATTACATCTGTTTGGGGGACGGTATAGTGTCAGACCACGCTGTCCCCTGCTCTGGCATTTTCGACCCAGGTACATCAGCCTGTACCGGGTCGCCTGGTGACCCTTGTGACCCTGTTTGCCTGCCCGAAGACTGTCACATCACCTGCAACGGCTCGTTCAGCTTGATCAGTGATCCAAGAAACTGTAGTACATACTATATTTGTATTGCTGGTCAAGTGTCTCAGACAGTTCACTGTAACTCAGACAACCCCTACTTCAACGGTGTGAACTGCGTCAATGACAAGGAAGTTTGTTGCACAGTCTCGTGTGTTCCTTACTGTCAGCCAGGGATCGTGCAGGCCCCAGACCCCACAGACTGCACCAAGTTCTACATATGCACTGAGGAGGGACCAGTGGACTCAAGCCTGCACTTTACTTGTAGTAGCGGAGAACACTTTGACTACCAAATTGGTAGATGTGTCTCGGGTAGTTCCTGTACCAACTTGTGCGCTACAGGATCGTCTACAACAAACTCAGCAGTAACAACCACAACTCCACACACCGTTCCACCAAGCACCGACTGCGTAGACTCGCTTACCTGTACGGCTGCTGGCGCCTTCCCAAAGTGCAGCTCTTGTAAGCAGGAATATTTCACGTGTTCGGCCGCTGGTGCTGCGGGTGTCGTCCACACGTGCACGGGAAACTATGTATTCAACACCGACCCTGACTACCCTTACTGTATTCTTCCCACCAACTGTCCTTATAACCCATAACTGAGTTATTCCTGCCTCTCAGGAAGGTAGAGATAGCCTAAGCTGCTCTATTCTTTGGTGATGTATTTTATTATCTCAATGAACTTGAACTTGAATTCCTGCCTCTTTTCCGGCACGCTTCCTGTACTTGTACCCTACAAGTCCTGCCTCTACAACCAGCAATATCCTGGCCAGCTCCTACAACCATCACTGGCTCTGGCATCCTTTTGACTGGCTTACACTATATGTCTTACAAATTCAAGTACGTTTATTGAGGTAATGAAATACAATACATCTCAAGAGTATAGAGTAATGTAGGCTATTTCTATCCTCGTCTATTTAACTCAAGAAGCTCACACATCCATATAGTACACAAATATTAGTACCATTTTACATTTCGCACTCCAACAGTAACCACATGGTACACTGCGATTACTTATTGATTATGCTGCACCTGTCATTTCTTGTTTTGTTAAAGGCAGACTAAGAAATTTGGAGAGGGAACAAAATGAAGCCATGAGAATAATTTTGGGATGTCCAAGAAATGCTATGATTTCAGAGATAAATGTAGCTTCGGTGATTAGATTTATGAGTGGCGGGGGATGTAATGAATTAATTCTCTCACTTCGGAAGGTGGGAAGAAATGTGCAATGCATATTGAGGTATAACAAGAGAGCGAATATAAGATTCCTATGTAGCAATGTTACGAAGTATGATGTTATTCAAGAATGTACTGCAATTCGAAAGAAACAATAACACCATCTTGGGAGGAATGTAGCGTAGATGTAGTAACTATTCTCTCTATATTCCTCCATGACTAGTTGTCAGATGACATTGACATTTGCCGTTGAGTATTCATTAAGAACCAATAGCTCCTTAGACACAGAGTCCCAACATTTTTAACATTTCGTCTTGTTTAATACTTGTGCACTCATTACAATCAAAGGTAATGCCATTTTTTAATCATGTCTTCCAATTCAAGTTTTGTAAACCATTCTACATTATCGTTTGTCTCAATATTTTCCACCACATTGGATTGAACACTGCCATCACTAGTAGATTGTTAGCTTTCCTGAGACTCTACCATCAGTGATACACGATCCTCTTCCCCCTCCGTCTCCACTACACCCCATCTGTTTGCCATAGCTAATTCTAGAACTTCAATCCTCTTGTCCAACTTTTTGAGGTACTCCAAGATCTGTGTACCAACCTCACAGTTCACGACGCTTTCCTGAACCTCATTACCTCAAAGGTACACTTTTTCGGCTTGGTTTTCTACAGCCATTAGCATAGCCTTAGCTACAACTGCTATCCACTACTACTGCCCTTACAACGAACCTCCTCCAGTATTAATATTGATCTGTCAATGACATTCAGGTAAGAACCAGTCCGTGCAAGAAAGATCTCTTAAATATGTACTGAAGATTTCTGCAGAATAATTCATCGCTGAAATTTAGCCACATTAATTAAACAAAATTATATAGAGATTATAATTGAATTTAATCTATGATTTAAACAGCTTTTGTTTACTAAATTAGTGATTACATCATGACATTTTCGCCTGATAATTACCTTACATTACCTTCAAGAAAACATTACCTTCCAGGCTTGGTGCCTTCTTTTGATAATTACTTACATACCTTAAAAAGATGTTCTTAGATAACTTAAAGTTTATGTTTTCTAATATTGTTTTGTAAAGTCTTGAAGAAGGTTTAACAATACTGTACAAAATAGTTTATTCACTGTAAAGTCTAATAAATCAGTCGTGTTTTTCATTGCTCTTTGTAGATAAATAATGAAATGTAAGTAAATTATGTATTGACTGGGACCAAAAGTGAAGGTTTTGCATTGTTATTTTTTCTTTGTCTATTAACAATAAAGGTATACAAAATATGTCGTTCTTTTGCTTCTGTTTTATTATTATTATTATTATTATATATATATATATATATATATATATATATATATATATATATATATATATATATATATATATATATATATATATATATATAATATATATATATATATATATTTATGATCGATGTTCCCTTCGGGAATCTTAATTTTAAGATGAATAGGAAAACCAGGGATATACTGAACATCTTGTATCAGAATCTTTACTTTAAAAATCATAACGTTTCGAATACTTCTCGTATTCATCATCAGATCTAAAAGAAAAAACAGAAATCACAATCAAATAGCTGGTAAACAAAGAACTCATACTGAATATAATTGCCTATCAAAGAAAGGAAAAAGCTTAAAAAACAAAACACTTAAGCGCACTTAAAGTGATCAATACAAATAAAACTTATTAACTGTCACATATATTAAAACTAATTTAAAATCCATTAAACTACAAGATGAAATTTATAACTACTAAAACAAACCATTCTATTAAACTTACGTGAAGTGATCAGAAGTGAAACTTGATACCTAACACATAGATACTAAACACTATAACAAATATTTAATATATATAAATATATATATATATATAAATATATATATATATATATATATATATATATATATATATATATATATATATATATATATATGTCGTACCTAGTAGCCAGAACGCACTTCTCAGCCTAGTATGCAAGGCCCAATTTGCCTAATAAGCCAAGTTTTCATGAATTAATTGTTTTTCGACTACCTAACCTACCTAACCTAACCTAACCTAACTTTTTCGGCTACCCAACCTAACCTAACCTATAAAGATAGGTTAGGTTAGGTTAGGTAGGGTTGGTTAGGTTCGGTCATATATCTACGTTAATTTTAACTCCAATAAAAAAAAATTGACCTCATACATAATGAAATGGGTAGCTTTATCATTTCATAAGAAAAAAAATAGAGAAAATATATTAATTCATGCAAACTTGGCTTATTAGGCAAATCGGGCCTTGCATAGTAGGCTGAGAAGTGCGTTCTGGCTATTAGGTACGACATATATATATATATATATATATATATATATATATATATATATATATATATATATATATATATATATATATATATATAAAAACCACCGACCCCATGGGTGTGAGCCAGAAGCTAGCTCTTCCCCTGAACTTTGAAACAAAAACAATACGAAAGATTTCAGAGGCAACAATGCGCTGTCCACCTGAAATTTGATACTTTCGCCAGCTGTCATATAAATTGTCAACCTCACTATCGTGAAAATAACCATTTCGTTCACTTGGGTACTAGGAGACTGGAACCGCCGTCCCCAGGAGCTTGAGGCGAAAGCTCTATCCATCATACTATGAGAAAGCTCTAATAAGGAAAGATTAAAAAAGCAGCTACCCGCTGCCCAACTGGAATTTTATACTTTTTTGGCTGCTACTAAGTAAAGGTAAATTAGTGATCCACGCCCATGTTATGTAAATTGTCACCCACACTATTATGGAAACAAACATTTTATTCTTATTAGAGCTTTCTCATAGTATGGTGGATAGAGCTTTGGCCTCACACTCGTGGGGTCGGCGGTTCGAGTCTCCTAGTGCCCAATAAAGTTCGTCTTGGCACTTACGGACACAGTATTCATCGGACACAAAGAATGGGATACTCTAAGGGAGGATGGTATGTATACAGGAGAGTCTTGAGACCAGAACCACCAAAACAGTAGAGTATGTATACTGTACATGGTCTTTTGTGCTTGCTTGACGTTTCCTGTCTCAGGCTTCTCCTGTATATATGCTTCCTTCCTTGGAGTTTCCCTTTCTCTGTGTCTCTGACGAAGGACACTGTGTGACCATACAACTTGTCCTCCTACAAAGAACGTCGCTTGTCGCTCGTATGCGTTCCGCAAAGCCAAAAATTGTCGTACCAGAAAATGGAAGCGGCTCGCAGTAGTGGCGTACTGTTCCGTTTTCTGTTTTGGGTCCTCTGGTAGGTTAGGATAAGGCCACTTTAAATTTACTGTTTTCTTGACGTTGGTAAACCTTAGGAGGACGAGCTGGACCATAAGTGATGAGACAAAGTCCGTTTCCGTAATCAGTTGAATTATGTTTAACCGTTTTTTCTTCATAAATAAGTGATTTGGCAGCTGCATGGAATGAACATTGGCTTTTGTTGATGAGGCAACATGTTCTCAGGCCAGGCTTGTTAAAGCAGCGGCCGTCCCCGAAGACGCATTCATCAATTTTAACATAATGCGTATTAAAAATACATATTTCATTTAAGGCTGTTGTCGGATGGAGAACACCTCAGAAAGTAAGTCAACTTAGGGAGAGATAGGCATCTTGTAAGGAGGAAGAGAGCATCATGGGTATCAGTCTCGTCGAGTCTGTCTGGCATTCTCCTTAGATCAGTGATTTTTGCCTCCAGGACCTCTTCGATTGCTTGCGGGCCAATGGGGGCCCCCAGGAGGGTGCAGTCAGGTGGCTCGACAACGAGAATGTCTGGAAGAACAGTTTTTATTTGGCCAGTGATGTCTGGGTTGCGGGGACACTATTTTACATGTAGATGCGTTGAGAATGAGGCCCAAGGTGGCTCCTCACTCCTGGATTTTCCTTATATTCTCCAAAATGGTATCCGGGGTGCCGGCGAGAGTACCATCATCCAGGTACCAGATGTTTAGCTCGCGTGTCAGACTGTCAGCGACCTCTTTGACAGCTAAACAGAATATGAGAGAACCAGTTTGAGAATGGAGCAGAAAATACAATACCATCATTAACGACTATCCCCACCCCACTGGCGAGAACTCTGAACCCCGCTAGTAGGGCACCCAAACAACTCCAGACATTACTGGTACAAACAGTCTAGACAATCTTACTGTTTGTAAGACTCCCTTACCACACAACAATGTATATCTAACTCCACAGTAAATAATACATAGTATTTTCTAAATGGATGATGTAAGCCATAAACTGCTTATATATGGATGTATATTAACTGGAGAATATGTATATATTTTATCAAGGATGGCATCAATCCTATATGCTAAAGGTTTTCTGTAGAATATATATTCTATAACAATCTTCTGTAGTGACAAGAAACGAGGTACAATCATAACTGACAAGCAAAAGAAGTTACTAAATCACAATGTAAAGATACGATTGATTACTAGAATAGTGACAATGTATTAATGTACATTAAATAAGTAACTCTTGCCAGCATAACCACACATGGAAGACATGTGGTTTGATATACCAACCTACAACACAAAAGTACTCCTACAGCAAACAGTTTACACTACAGGAAATTATTTGTAAATGTCATATGAACTGATAAACAATCTTGGTAACGATATAGAAATGACTACAATGGTATAGAACACTGTTATATAAAATATATTTCTCTGCATGCACTCGTTAACGCCAGAGGTGACAAGCCTGTGCTTGGTCAGCAGAACTCTGCGCTGTTCACCACACACACACTAGCCTACTACTTGACCCTACACACAAACACACTCCCCACTCTCGTATATAATACTGGCTTTATATGATAACACATTACATTTTTATATTCAAGAATAAACTACACACAATATAAATTATTAACACCTAAGACATCATGGTCTTTATGGAACAATAAGTATGACAATTATAATCTACATTTAGGACATACAAATTATGGATCATAACTGGGTCGTAACACCTCTTTTTGCCAGAGTTGTAGATCCAAGGGTGATACATATAGGTGTATATACATATAGGTGTATATACATATAGGTGTACCCAGCTTCTCCGAGTATATTCACTGAGTATACTCGGATACATATATAAGGAGCAAGGCAGGTAATAGTACCTTGCGGTAGGAGAGCCGGTCGGCCGAGCGGACAGCACGCTGGACTTGTGATCCTGTGGTCCCAGATTCGACCCCGGGCGCCGGCGAGAAACAATGGGCAGAGTTTCATTCACCCTATGCCCCTGTTACCTAGCAGTAAAATAGGTACCTGGGTGTTAGTCAGCTGTCACGGGCTGCTTCCTGGGGGTGGAGGCCTGGTCGAGGACCGGGCCGCGGGGACACTAAAGCCCCGAAATCATCTCAAGATAACTCAAGATAAGATACTCAACTTGTCACGCCTTCACTCAAGTCTCTCCCTAACTGTGAGTTTTTCCTTTTGTGACAGGTCCTCCCTCACAGATGCTGTGTGGCCAGTTCTCCCTCACAGGTAATGAGGGAGACTGTCCCTCACAAGTTCTCCATCACACTCCCTCACAGGTAATGAGGGAGACTGTCCCTCACAAGTCCTCCCTAACACTCCCTCACAGGTTTCCTTTTTACTTTAGTCCTGGACAATGTTCAAGGTTAAAGTATATTTACTGGTTGGTCAGCTATTGTGGTGAGCCTTAATGATGTTTTCAGAGATTGATGGAACGACATCACCTGTCCACAATGGGTCCCTCCCCCCTGTTGAAAACCACACTGTGATAAGCTTCCAGGTATAAGTGTTGGCTCCATGGCAGCAGCTGCCCCAGTAGAACCCTGCAGCCCCAGTATACCTGCACCCAAACCTGCGCCCACAGCATAACCCACAGCAAACGTGCACCCACTACACACCTGCTTATCTATCTCAAATCAGGTGCCGGAAGAAACACAGCAGAGTCCGGTGTTGCAGCAGCTTGTCCAGCGTCCGGTGTTCAGGCGTTAGGTGTCCAGCGTCAGGTGTCCAGCGCCAGGTGTACAATTCGTGCAACATGATCAAGTACAGTCTTCTCATCATTGCCTTAGCGGTGAGGAACAGTATGGGCCCCAGGACACTCCCAGGGGTCATTGTCGGGGAAGGAGCAATTAGTAATCCTTTGCTTGTGTCTCAATAGTGTTTGTGTCTCATTTGTGTTTCACAAATCTATTGTCATCATCTTCAAATACTTTTAAGCTTTACACAGTAGGAATGCAAGGGGTAGTGAGCTCGAGAGTACAATATTTGGAATTGAGTTTGTAAAAATAGCAACAAGTGTATCAACCCTTGAGGAGTTCCATATTACAATATAACTTTTGCGACATATAACAGTTATTCTGCCTCACCCAGGTCGTCCCCACCGCCTGGATGGTCCAAAAGGACGCCTGTGAACCGGACTGTAGTGGGAAAAAGCAGCTTGATAAGGTCCCTGACCCTTTGAACTGCACCAATTATTACATCTGTTTAGCTGACAACATTCCTTCAGACCACTCTGTGCCCTGCCTGAACGGTCAACATTTTGACCCTGGGGACTCCAAGTGTGAAGAAGGTACAGCCTGTACACCTACCTGTGTGCCTCCAGACTGCCCCATCACCTGCAACGGCTCCTTCAGCCTCATCAGTGATCCATTCGACTGCGGTACATACTATATTTGTGTTAGTGGTCAAGTGTCAAACGCACTTCACTGTAACCCAGACACCTACTTCAACGGTGAGAACTGCGTCAGTAACAAGGAAGTCTGCTGCACAGTCTCGTGTGATCCTTATTGTCACCCCGGGATCGTGCAGACCCCAGACCCCACAGACTGCACCAAGTACTACATATGCACTCAGCCAGGACCAGTGAACCCAAGCTTCCACTTTACTTGTGGTAGCGAACAATACTTTGACTACCGGATTGGTCGATGTGCCGCAGGTACGTCCTGTACCAACTTCTGCTCTGAAGGATCGTCTACAACAACCACATCAACAACCACAACATCGACAACCACAACATCGACAACCACAACACCGACAACCACAACACCAAACTCAGCAGTAACAACCACAACTCCACGCACTGTTCCACCAAGCACCGACTGCGTAGACTCGCTTACCTGTACGGCTGCTGGCGCCTTCCCAAAGTGCAGCTCTTGTCAGCAGGAATATTTCAAGTGTTCGGCCGCTGGTGCTGCGGGTGTCGTCCAAACGTGCATGGGAAACTATGTATTCAACACCGACCCTGGCTACCCTTACTGTATTCTTCCCACCAACTGTCCTTATAACCCATAACTATTAGTTATCCCCGCCTCTCTTCTAGCCTGCTCCCCCATAACTACACCTTACATGCCCTGCCTCTTCGAACAGTAACATCCTGGCTATACAAATATCACTGACTCTTGACTTGCTTCCCATTGTCTTTCCTACCACCTCTATTCCCTTCATTCTCTACTATCTACATCTACTACTACCGTCCTTACAGTCACCCCACCATAACATAGACACTGGTTTGAGGTTGGGCTTGGCGCCTGTCAACTAAGGGAATGTTACTAAAGCAACAACATCCTAATAACTAACCAGCAAGGATACTTTAATCCTGAGCATAGTCCAAGACTAAAGTAACCTCTCAGTGTATATACACTGAGGAGCAGGTTACACCTCTCAGTGTAGTGACACTGCCGAAGCTTCATTTAAATAAAAATCCATCAATGACATTCTGGTCGGAACCAGTCCGTGTAAGAAGGATCTATGAATCATTGAATATATCTGCATAATTTATTGTTAAAATTCAGGCACATTAATTAAAAAATAATTTGTAGAGATTATAACTTTGAATTTAACGTATGATTTAAACATATTTTGTTTGCTAAGAGGCTTATAATTTTCGCCTGACAATTACCTTCCATTACCTTCAAGAAAGATGTTCCTAGATACCTTAAAGTTTGTATTTTTTGAGATTGTTTTTAATAGAAGACTTGAAGATGGTTTAACAATACTGTACAAATGACTTTATTCACAGTAAAATCCAGTAAATCAGTCGTGTTTTCATTGCTTTTTGCAGATAAGTTATGAACTGTAATAAATTTATATATTGTGTGGAACCAAAAGTTAATGTTTTATTTTGTCTATTTTTTAAGTTTGTCTAATAACAATAAAGGTACATAACATGTGTTCTTTTGCTTCTGACACAAAGCAGTGTTTACATGCGTGAGAGAACATTCATATATGTTCATTTTTTTCTGGATAATTTTCTACAAATAATATACTAATTTTCATTTATTTATATGTATATATATATATATATATATATATATATATATATATATATATATATATATATATATATATATATATATATATATATATATATATATATATATATATATATATATATATATATATATATATATATATATATATTTATGTTGCAGCTAGTAGGCCAAGTTGCCTAACAAGACGTTTTTTTCCTGAAATGTTATGTTTTCAAGCATTTTTTTTGTAGGGAATGATTAAGCATTCCATTACATCATATATAATTTGAATATTTTTGAGTTAAAACTAACATAAATTTGATCAAACCTAACCTGACTTAACATAACTAAGACAGTAATTCATATTCTTAATATAATATAATTATATGTTGTTATTTTGGCTATTAGGTATGACATATATATGAGAGCAAATTCCAAGATCAACAAATCATTGATCTCAAAAAATGCCAACAACCCATCATGAGCAGAAATCAACTTTTTTTTCTTGACACATTAGCACTTACGAACACACAGTGTCCGTCAGAGGGACAGTGAGAGGGGAAACTGCAAGGGAGGATGGGAAATATGTATTCAGGAGAGGCCAGAGACCGGAAACGCCAAGCCGCACAGTACATATATACAGCTGATAACGTCATAAAGTGTGTCAACGAGATCGTAAAGATTCTGCGGGGAGGGATTTATTTTGTTACATTACACAGACAAGTTGTATTCATTCCATCCAGCGACTGACCCCAAAGACACAATCATCAATGTTAAAATGCTGTTCATTCAAAATAAGAATTTTCTCAAATATAAATTTGGAATTTTCTCAAATACAAATTAGGAATTTTCTCAAATATAAATTAGGAATTTTCTCAAATATGAATTAGGAATTTTCTCAAATATAAATTAATATTATTATATATTAGCATATTGTGCATATTTAGTCGTAGGTTAGGTGTTTAGGTCCTGTTGGCAAATATTTGTATTTTAAGTATGTGGGTGAAGCATTTACGGAATGGCGATTCGAAAAGAGGTCGTCAACGAAGCACTCTTCGAGAAATGTTCGAACGTCATCAGTTGTGAGTCGTGTGTAAACCATTTTTCATTCATAAACAGGGAGTTTAGCAGCTGCATGAAATAAACACAAGCCTTTGTTGATATGAGGACGGGCTGACGTGAGTGAATAATTTATATACATGCAATTCGAACACGGGATGTGTGTGAAACAATGTTCAAGAATGTTCGAATGTAATCGGTTGAGACCTGTACAGAAAGCCCGTACTCATCACAACCCATTCTTATCAACAAAGACTAAATGCTCATTAATCCAGTCGCCAAACCTCCTGCTTATGAATGAAAAACAGTTTACACACGACTCTCACTGATGATGTTCGAATATTTCTAGAGTTCTTCGCTGACGAACTCTGTTCGAATCACAACTCTGGAAATGTTTCAACAACGTACTTCAAATACAAATAATCATCAACAGAACGTAAACACCTAATTAACCTAACCTACGCCTAACTTTATCAAATTAAAATTGATAACTGCATCTGGAGAAGGGGGACGACGGCCGCCGCTTTAACGAGCCTGGCCTGAGGACGGGTTGTTTATGAGGACAGGTTATGTGGCCAGGCTGGTTATGAGGACGGGCTGCGATAACCGACGATATCGAGGCTTATGAGGTGTTCAACTAAGGCGTCATTTTAAAGATAGCTGTCAATACATAAGATAACAATTTCAAACACTACATTTCTGTTCTAATTTGGAGGCCTAGGCACACTCATTATCAGATCAATCGATAACAAATATTATCCACCGCTGTTTGCCAAATTTGACTGATTTTTTTATTTGTGGCAATAGAGTAAAAGATGTCGGAAGATTAATTTTAATTCAATAATATTGACATGAAGTTAATGTGGAAATTTTCGGGAAACTTCAAGTTGTTTTTCGTGGTCCAAGATAAGTGAAAGCAGGTCCAGTCACCCATAATGCTGACTTCTGCTTTCTCGTCTCTGTATTGTATGAGTCGACTTGAACTTCCGCTTATTCCGGAAAGGGAGACTTGTTAACCTCTGTAGCCAGAGTTGTAGAAGTTGTTTTACAACTCTGTTTTTACAACAGAGTTGTAAAACAAGGGATATATATACACAGAGGTGTACCCAGCTTCCAGGTATATATATACACTGAGAGTTTACTTTAGTTCTGAACTATATTCGGGACTAAGGTATACTTGCTGGTTGGTCAGCTATTGTTGTGAGCCTTAACAATCATCCAGTCATTAATAGGATGACGTCATCTGGCCACAATGGGTCCCTCCCCCTTGTTGTCATCATGTTGAAATTCACACCATGATAAGCTTCCGGGTATAAGTGTTGGCTCTATGGCAGCAGCTGCCCCAGTCGAACCCTGCACCCACAGCACCCCTGCACCCCACGAAGATACACACACCTGTTGACCCAAGTGTCGGAAAAGATGAGCATGATGAAGCTGAGTCTTCTCATCATGACCCTGGCGGTGAGGATCAATAAGGGCCCCCAAGGGCACCCATAGGGACCATTGTTGGGCTATTAGTAACCCCTTAGATTAGTTGTCAATTGTTTGGTTCTCATTTCTGTCTCATTATTTTCGAACACTTGAAACAGTGCTCAATGCAAATGTAACGAGGCAGTGAGTCCGAGGGCACAATATGTGGGAACTGAGTTGTTAAGAACAGCAGCAAGTGGCATGAGTATAGCAATGAAGAAGTGTATTAGAGATGTGGTATGAGGGAATGATCTGTGGAGTGGGTGTAGCACACTACACTGAGGTCATATGGTCATGTTACTGGGAGTTCTAAGACCTGTTAAACAAGAAAGATGTACATGGATGTAAATAAGAAAGGTGTACATGGATGTAAATAAGAAAGATGTACATGGATGTAAATAAGAAAGATGTACATGGATGTAAATAAGAAAGGTGTACATGGATGTAAATAAGAAAGGTGTACATGGATGTAAATAAGAAAGGTGTACATGGATGTAAATAAGAAAGGTGTACATGGATGTAAATAAGAAAGGTGTACTTGGATATAAGCAAGGAAGGGTGTACATGAATCACATATGATGGAGAAAGAGGACAGGTGTCTTGTAATATAAGAGTGAAACAATGTAGGAAAGAAAGGGTGGATGGAGGGGTGAGTGTGCTGGAAAGAGTGAAAGGTTTCTGTGGTGATAGATCCTCCTGTAGTCACCGCTGCTGTTGTCACCCTTGATGGGGAGCGCCCAGGAGCGAGCACGTGGCGTCTGAGCTATAAAGATATACAGACACAGGTAAATATGCCTTATATTAATGTCTCCCACACGAGACACTGATGAGGAAGGTAGAGGCTGTAGGAAGAGACCTCTTAAATTCAGCCTATCTTCCAAAACTCACAGTATCTATAGTTACTAAGAATGAACATACTAAAAATGAACTGTTGCACATCAACAAAATCACTGTCGTGTACAATTGTGTAGAGGGCTCTAGAAAGATGGGGGGAACTTAATATAACTTTTCCTAGGCCTATTTCAACACCATTTGAGGCTCAGAACATTAGAACAGTGTAGAATGAGTTTGGGTGGAGTAGCCTCGTATGAGCCAATAGGCCTTCTGTAGTTTCCTCTATTCTTAAGAACATGAGAATTAATTAAACTGCAAAAGGCTTATTGGCCTCTGCGAGGCAGCTTCTATTTATATCCACACAAACTTCATATATGTCTAACCTGCGCTTGAAACAATCAAGAAATCAAGTTACCCGGTAATTGGTTCCGTAAATCAACAACCCTGTTACCAAACCAGAATTTACCCAGGTCTTTACCGGATCTAAACTTATCCAGTTTATATCCATTGTTTCGAGGCCTCCTTTGTCGTGATATATTTTAAATCACATTTGCATCCCCTAATTTTATATATTTCCTCTTATGGACTGGGTTCGCTTGTTTTAGTACGCCATATATTGTCCGTTGTGGCACCTCAAGAGAATGTGCTGGTGTGTGGACCCTGGAGGTGTTGTCTGCGTACATCTCAGCCCACGTTGTGTTGTGTCAGAGCTGGGTAATGTATATCCACCTTGAGGAACTGCAAATTATAACGTCTACGACATATGACAGTTGCTCTCCCTCACGCAGGTCGCGGCCACCGCCTGGATGGTCCAGAATGACGGCTGTTTACCGGACTGTACTGGGAAAACTGCCGGAGATTATGTCCCCGACCCCCTGAACTGTACCAACTTTTACATCTGCTTGGCCGACAACATGCCTACGAACCACGCTGTGCCCTGCCCAGCCGGTGAAATTTTTAACCCAGAGACATTACTGTGTGAAGCAGGTCTGAATTGTGTACCTGTCTGTCAGCCTCCAAACTGTCATATTACCTGCAACGGCTCCTTCAGCTTGATCAGTGATCCGTTCAACTGTGGTGTATACCATATTTGTATTGCTGGGCAAGTGACAGCCACAGTTCACTGTGAGGCAGATAACCCCTTCTTCAACGGTGAGAACTGTGTCAATGACAAGGACGTTTGTTGCACAGTCTCGTGTGTTCCTTACTGTCAGCCAGGGATCGTGCAGGCCCCAGACCCCACAGACTGCACCAAGTACTACATATGCGTTGAGGAGGGACCAGTGGACTCAAGCCTGCACTTTCCTTGTGATAGCGGACAATACTTTGACTACCAAACTGGTCGATGTCTCTCAGGTACTTCCTGTACCAACTTGTGCTCTGGAGAACAGTCTACAACCACAACAACAACAACAACAACTCCACACACCGTTCCACCAAGCACCGACTGTGTGGAGTCGCTTACCTGCGAGGGTTCAGGCAACTTCGCCAAGTGCAGCTCTTGTCAGCAGGAATATTTCCATTGTACGGCTGGTGGTGCTCAAGGTATCCTTAGTAAGTGCTCGGAAAACTTAGTGTTCAACCCCGACCCTGACTACCCCTTCTGTATTCTCCCATCCACCTGTCCTTATCACCCTAATTAAGAGGTATTCCTGTTTCTCTTCTTGTCGTACCTGTACCCTGTTAGTCCTGCCTCTACGACCTGTAACATTCTAACCTGCTCCTACACCCATCACTGGCTCTGGCATCCTTTTGGCTTGCTTCCACCGCCACCGTTCTGCCAAACAACCCTCCATGCAAACACTGGTTTGATTGGTGTTGAGAGTTAAGCATAGCAAACTGAAGGGTTAATATTAAGGCCACAAATACTGACCTACCACCAAGAATTCTCAGCCCGTCCTCCTGTTATAGTAGTTATAGTAACTATGAGGACCATAGTATATATACAGCGATGAACAACGACATTTTAACGTAAAAATCGGTACTATTGAGTTGGACAAACCGGAAAACTATTTATTACATGTGTTGGTTTGACAAACTAAACTAACCAAACCTTCCAAGGCCTAATACACGATATCTGAGGCCTAATATAGTACATATGTGTGCTATACTAGGCCTAGGAATATTTAAGTTTGTTTTACCTTAATTTTTAAAAGAATTCCTTACTAGTCAGTATACCCCTACTATCTAACAACTAAGTACGTATGATTCCGTGACTATTGACAACCGTCACAATAGATACCATCTTAACAGGAGGATGGGTTGAGAATTTTTCAGATCTGGACATAAATCAGACCCAATGTAAACTCAAGTGTATATATATACACCGAGAATCAAAGTATACCCTTCGTTGTATAGCGCCATATGGAATAGATTATCCTAATCTGCATTAAAAACGAACCCATCAAGGACATTCAGGTAAAAACCAGACCGTGGAAGGAGGATCTGTGAAACGAATTGAAGATTTCCGCGTAATAATATATTGCTGAAATGTAACAACACTAATCAAAACTACAACACTAAGGAGAGATTAAAGCTGCGAACTCAACCTATGATTTAATTAACCTTTGTATATCAAGTTTGTGATTGCATCAAGACTTATCAGTTTCACTTGATTGCCACCTTATCCAGCAGCGAGGCGTGAGAAAAAATGCAAGTGACACTGTTAAGATTTTTCGATAAAGATGAAGTATGAATATTAAGTACAAAATATTAATTCATTAACATATCAAATAGGAAGTAGCAACATATAATATTATTTTAACTTATCATTTTAAACACAGTTGAATGTAATTGTTTTTGACTTACGAGCGAAGTGATCAAATACAAACTTAGTTTGTATCAAGTGCAGATTTTTTTTTACTTATTCAGCACTCAACTGACAGGATGAATCTTCTATACAGGATGATAATAAAAATAATTTCTGAAATGTAAATGAACATTATTATATATTGTGGGTTTATGTATAGTTAGGTTAGGTTAGGTTAGGTAAGGTGTTTTGGTTAAGTTCAGGGAATGTTTACACTACAGGCTGAAGGTGAATGAAGCACGTGTCGAGTACAGGCTGAAGGTGAATGAAGCACGTGTCGAGTACAGGCTGAAGGGGAATGAAGCACGTGTCGAGTACAGGCTGAAGGTGAATGAAGCATGTGTCGAGTACAGGCTGAAGGTGAATGAAGCACGTGTCGAGTACAGGCTGAAGGTGAATGAAGCATGTGTCGAGTACAGGCTGAAGGTGAATGAAGCATGTGTCGAGTACAGGCTGAAGGTGAATGAAGCACGTGTCGAGTACAGGCTGAAGGTGAATGAAGCACGTGTCGAGTACAGGCTGAAGGTGAACGAAGCACGTGTCGAGTACAGGCTGAAGGTGAATGAAGTACGTGTCGAGTACAGGCTGAAGGTGAATGAAGCACGTGTCGAGTCATAGTATCGAGCATGACTTTGCCTGTAAATCAAAATACTGACTTGAGTAGAGTTTTGTAGTCAGTATTTGACTTACACGTTGTCCTTCGTCTTGATGATGGACTCACTTCTTGTATAGGAATCATAGCAATGGGCGTACATAATTATATGTATATGAATTATAACAGGTGTTCTTTTGCTTTCGATTTGAACCTGTGTTCACATGTATGAGAGAACAATTATATATGTTCAAATTTCTTCTAGATATCAATACTTTCCATGCATACATTTACATATATACTATTGCGGAAGTCAATTCTGCATCGATCAAGTCATAAGGAGCATATATATAGTCTTCAATCCTCATTTCAAATTAATACGAAACATTAATTCACACTACTCTATAGCACAGTGCCCATGGCATTAAGTCAAACTTTGTTTAATTAACAAATTGATTAAGACGTCAGTTACCACTCAATTCCAATAATCAGTTATCGTACATTGTGAAGACAAGGCATTGTAAAACACACATTTTCAGAGGTTTAATTTATAAGATAAAAATAGAGTACACAGACGAGGAGTCACAATAACGTGGCTGAAATATGTTGACCAGATCACACACTAGAAAGAGAAGGGACGACGACGTTTCGGTCCGTCCTGGACCATTCTCAAGTCGATTGTGATTCATTCTCAAGTCAAACCACACAATCGACTTGAGAATGGTCCAAGACGGACCGAAATGGTCCGGGACGGGCCGTCGTCGTCCCTTAACTTTCTAGTGTGTGGTCTGGTCAACACAGTACACAGACGACAAAGTATATTCCCATCCACCAAATATTAGTCATGAGTGTTATAGATTATATCTCACCCTCCGCTGTGATAAACATTAACTGGACACCTACCAAGCAGCCATCAGTTACCAGCTGTCACTTGCCACGATGTGAACAAAAAAGAGGTGCCATACCACATTTTTTAATTCTATTATCTCTTACCACAGAGAAAATTACAGTTTATCTATCTTTATCTGCCCCGATATCAAACGCTGTTAGTTATTCCTATTTATTTTAGAATAGGTGATTCCTCTTTTTCTATGGATCGTCTAGCTATTAACTCAATCATCTATCAGTTAAATAACAAAGAAACATTTAAAATATATCTATGAAACCTATTTAAAATATCTCTATAAAACCTATCTATCCACCTTGTTGGAAATCAACAAGCTGGATAGATAGATAGGTTTTATAGAGATATATAAATATATAGTTTGGGAAACTGCCGAATAAACCATACCTTGAGGTTACCTTGAGGTGATTCCGGGGCTTAACGACCCCGCGGCCCGGTCGTCGACCAGGCCTCCTCGTTGCTGGACTGGTCAACCAGACTGTTGAACGCGGCTGCTCGCAGCCTGACGTATGAGTCACAGCTTGGTTGATCAGAACCATAACAACATATTCCAACTTGGGTAGACAGTTATTCCTTCCAGTGAGTGAGGTCGAACTTGGGGATGCACTGGGAGGAACAGGACAGTTCCGGGTTGTAAGCCGCCGCCACCTGTAGGGGCCAGCGAAGAATCGTCTCCATATGGAAGTTCTCACACATCACCTGCGCCAGGCTCACCTGCTGGAGCTCCCGCAGCTGGTCTGGAAGGAAACAAGTCTCCTATAAGACGGTAGAATGGTATTCATTTGTGTTGTTAAATCTGTTGACCAGACCACACACTAGAAGTTGAAGGGACGACGACGTTTCGGTCCATCCTGGACCATTCTTAAGTCGATTGTGACTTGAGAATCTGGTTTGTTAAATCTGGTTTGGTTTGGCACTGGGCTTATTAACCTGTAGAGGGTTATTAAGGCCACGACAATAGCTTACCGAGCAACCACACTAGGACTATAGTATACTTTAGTAGTATATACTGGACTATAACTAGTATACTAGTTATAGTCGAGAACGAAGGTTTACTCTTAATATACACATGGAGAAGCGGGGTATACTCTTTAGTGTATAATGTGGCTGTCTAGCGGGCGACTGCTCACATTGCTATACACTTTAGCTGGATGATAATTAACTCAAGCAGATGTTTGCGGACAAAAAAATAATAAAATTGCTATAGTGGGAATAGTAACATTTGTATTAATAAAAGTAATAGAAATAGTTACAAAGAACTAATAGTTTTAGTAGTACATTAATAGCTGTGATAATAGTAGTATAAGTAATGGCAGCATCAACAGTTGATAAGCTGGCGGTTGTAGTAGTACTAAAGTAAGCAGTAACGTGTTATAAGTGAATAAGCAACACAAAACAAGATATGTTATTTAGAAGTTATTATAGAAATCGAATAATGGTTTCCTGTTCTGGTCTGAAAACAAGTTTACTAGGCTTATGGAGATCTTCCCTGACTGTAAGTACTGACCTGTCCCAGGATGCTACCCACAACAGCTGCCTAACTCCCGAGTACCTATTTCGGTGAAGGGCTCAGGGACCGGGCTTACACACGTACCTGTAGTGAAGGGCTTGGGGCTGGCCTTGTTCTCGTACCAGAAGCGGTCACCCCGCTTAAGTCTGATAAACTGGTCGGCAATTATGCAGGCGAAGGTCGGCCCGACCAGACCTCCAGGCACCGGGCGCTCCGACAACCCGCCGATGTACAGATCGATGTCGCCTACGTTCCTGTGATCAAAGATTCGTTTATTGACCAATCCACACACTAGAAAATGAAGGGACGACGATGTTTCGGTCCGTCCTGGACCATTCTCAAGTCATACAATCGACTTGAGAATGGTCCAGGACGGACCGAAACGTGGTCGTCCCTTCATTTTCTAGTGTGTGGTCTGGTCAACATACATCAGCCACGTTATTGTGACTCCTCGCCTGCAAAGATGGGGTTTAGGTTGGTGTTGGACTTGAGATCTGTCTACCTCTGGAGGGCTACTAAGGTCACCACTACAGCTTACTGACCTACCAGCAAGTATACTTTAGCCCTGAACATTGGACTAAGGTAAGCATAGTGTATATACACCAAGAAGCACAACACTCCTTACAGGTGTATATCCATGATGGCATCAAAGATATTTTTCACTGCCAATACGTCGACTCATGGCCATGCGCCACCACCATCAGAGTCTCAATAGAACTCACATATCTCACATTTGAATGGAACTCATCTCTCTCTCATTTACATAAGGTACTCATATCTCTCTCATTTACATATGGAACTCATATCTCTCATTTACATATGGAACTCATATCTCTCTCATTTACATATGGAACTCATATCTCTCTCATTTACATATGGAACTCATATCTCTCTCATTTACATATGGAACTCATATCTCTCTCATTTACATATGGAACTCATATCTCTCTCATTTAAATCGAACTCACTTGTAGACCCGTTGTAGGCTCTCTAGAGCACTGGGAAAGAGGACGTCGGCGAGGTCACTGAAGGACTTGACGGCCGGGAAGCCACAAGCCTGTCTGAGCTTGACGTAGCCAGGTACACCGTGGTCCCTTCCCCGGACGATGTTGATGGCTATGAGGTCTAGCCCCACCTGGCTGCTGCCGCCGAACAGCTTATCCGTGATCTGCACAGAGAAAGCAAAATAATGTTTTAAGACATTGAAGAAGAATGAGAAGGGATGGACCAAGTGTGACTTGGCACCTATCCTTAACTGCCCGTTCCTGTTCTCCTAGCACTAATTGGGAATCTGGTTGAAACCCGATTGGCTGGTTGTATCAAGGAAAACATGTTGGAAAAAAAGAGAGATAGCGGGTGCCTCCTGGTTTTATACCCTCCCTCCCCCCCCCCACCTTTCCTCTGATACGATAAAGGGTGAGAGATAAACGCTGGTATGCCAGGTGTGAGAGATAAGTGGCGATAAAGCAGCATTGAATGGGAGGACAACATTCAAGCCGTGCCTATTAAAATTAACGAGCCACTGTGACCCGTCTCCGAACATTACCGCTCGTGCAGTCATCAGCCAACCCGTCCTCAGGCCAGGCTCGTTAAAGCTGCGGCCGTCCCCACAAAACGTCATATCGTATTGTCTGTTAAAATAGGTTTGCTCTCATTTAAATATTAATATTGGTATATATTAAAGTGCTATGTACAGTTAGGCATAGGTTAGGTTAGGTGTTTGGGTTCTGTTGTGGATTATTTGTATTTGAAGTACATGTGTGAAGTGCTAGACATCACGTCCCAGTAGTCACTATTAGGTAAACACGTCAAACATACCTCATCAGTGAAGAATTGGTCCATGAGGCCAGAAGGTTGCGACATGCCCCCCATCAACAGAGAAGATGGGCCGCCCCTATCGTACACTTTGAATGGATGAAACACGTAGTTGTTGAGCGACGACGCCGAGGAACTGTCCTTCGTCACCTCCCGAAACTGTGTCTGGTGGTTTGAACGGTGTCTCATGTTGGTTATTAGGAACAGTTGGATATAAGGGCTAATTAAGCAACCCCATATAAGGATCGCTTAAACTGTCACACACTGACCATTTGAACATAACAGATATTGCAATCTACCGAAGGTTTATTGACCCATGTGAGGTAGCTTCAGTTTATATCCAATTATTCACCCTCATGCACTCTTCCAACCCCTCCAAGACCCATTATTGACCTCTCCCCTAGCAAAACAATGTTCCCTTCCTCCCAAGTTTCCCTTACGAACTGTCATCCTTCTCGCCCCACCAACACCCGAAGCAACACCTCCATCTACCCTCCCACCAACACCCCCCCCCCACACCCACCAACACCCCCCCCCCACACCCACTAACATCCCCACACCTACCAAAACCCCCTCACCCACCCCTTCCCTCACATCTCAGCACCCCTACACCCACCAACACCCCCCCCTACACACCAACCAACACCCATACACCCACTAACATCCCCCACACCTACCCCCCCCCCCGCCCCCTCCCTCACATCTCAGCACCACTTACGGGGATGGAACTGTGACCGAAGCGGAAGGCTGCGGCGCTGAACTCATTAGCAAGAGTTGGGTTGATCTTGGGGTCATAGTCGGTGGTGTGGACCCCACCGCTACCTGGGGTCAGCCCTGTCTTGTTCGCCAAGGCCGGACCTGGGAATAATAACCTGGTTAGGGGTCTCTTGACTTAGTCTCACCTGGGTGTAATGACCTGACCTCTGGTTCAGTATGTCACCTGGGTACAATGACCTGACCTCTGGTTCAGTATGTCACCTGGGTACAATGACCTGACCTCTGGTTCAGTGTGTCACCTGGGTACAATGACCTGACCTCTGGTTCAGTGTGTCACCTGGGTACAATGACCTGACCTCTGGTTCATTGTGTCACCTGGGTACAATGACCTGACCTCTGGTTCATTGTGTCACCTGGGTACAATGACCTGACCTCTGGCTCATTGTGTCACCTGGGTACAATGACCTGACCTCTGGTTCAGTGTGTCACCTGGGTACAATGACCTGACCTCTGGTTCAGTGTGTCACCTGGGTACAATGACCTGACCTCTGGTTCATTGTGTCACCTGGGTACAATGACCTGACCTCTGGTTCATTGTGTCACCTGGGTACAATGACCTGACCTCTGGCTCATTGTGTAGTTAACTGTTGTTTACAAGCTTAATAAAAGAGTCAAAACCGGAGATCCCCCAAGTATCTAAGCAGGGCGTGTAATTTTTACCCAAACATTTCTATCATCTCGTTACTATAGCATGATCTAAACTTTCAGTCACGTGTGATTATAAATGTAAACATTGTAATACCAAGAAATTATAAAATAATAATAATTATAATTTTTATTCAGAAGAATGTGTGAGCAGAGATCACAAGTGCAGTGTACAATTATAGGGGCAGGAGTTACACATACTAAGTTACTATTACACGAAGCATTTCTGCCAAAACTGTAAATAATTTAGGTAAAAAGTTATTTAAAGGCGTGAAGGATAAACACTTAATTTTAAAAGAGAAGTAAGCTAACAATATTAAAAATGTTAAATAAATATAAAAATTTTGAACACTAAAAATATGATAATGACAATATTTAGCAATTTAACATTTAACATGTTCAAAGATTTCAGTAAAGGAGCAGAATGGTGTCTGGGTCTAGAATTTGTTATCGTTCTAATTGGTGATTTGTGTTGAGTAATTAAGAGTCATTCTATTTCCACCCGTCCTCCTGTCCTCAACTCTCTCGCTAACCTGCCTTTATGGAGATATATACAAGAGTTGTTACATTCTTGTACAGCCACTAGTACGCGTAGCGTTTCGGGCAGGTCCCTGGAATACGATCCCCTGCCGCGAAGAATCGTTTTTTCATCCAAGTACACATTTTACTGTTGCGTTAAACAGAGGCTACAGTTAAGGATTTGCGCCCAGTAAATCCTCCCCGGCCAGGATACGAACCCATGACATAGCGCTCGCGGAACGCCAGGCGAGTGTCTTACCACTACACCACGGAGACTGGTATTATATTTAATGCGTCGCATATTTAACGCTATCCACCGATGCAAAAATGTCAGATACTTTAGTGAAATGTAGTGGACGGTAATATTGAGTCTTTGGAGTAATGAGGAGTAGATGTGAGAGGTTATGTGGATTGGCTCGTATTCTTCTCGTTAAGTAAACCTTCAAATTTGACAAAAGTCTGATCGTAAATTGTGTTGCTGTCACGTACCTCGGTGAACGTATCCAGGCACACCCCCGGTGAACGTATCTATGATCCCGGTGGAGGTACCCAGATACCCCCGGTGGAGGTACCTATAATCTCGGTGGAGGTACCCAGGCACCCCCGGTGAACGTACCTATGATCCCGGGGAGGTACTCGTAGTAGACAACGTGTTGAATGTGGGCCACTACGATCCTCCTGGTCTCCTGGTAGAGGGTGAGGTCGTCCCAGCGGGGGTTGAGGTCCTTGAGCCAGCGGGCCAAGCGGTTGTGTTGACGAGCCCACATGGTCGTCACCATCGTCAGCAACACCTGCACGTTGACCTTAGTGTCACCTGCGGCAGAAGAGGAGCAGTGACTGTGCAGTGAGAGGCTCAGCAGTGACTGTGCAGTGAGGGGCTCAGGAGTGACTGTGGAGTGAGAGGCTCAGGATTGACTGTGACGAAAGATGAAAGGGCATAACAATGGGGCTCTATTATTAACACACTAAAAATGTCACCACAAAATGGAACACGAAACATTGGCTGAAAATAAGCTTAGATTCAGGAAAGACTGGTAAATACTGGCTTGAGAAGAGGGCAGGTTATCCATACAATTGGATGGTACTTTCAAGAATGATAGTTAATCGGGAGGTGTTTGTAAGGTCGGTCTGAAGCAGTCATGTCACTCACCAGTCTTGAAGCAGAAGTGATTCTTGTTAAATTCATCTACGGTGTTGCAGCCGTCGTTGGGATCCTTGGATGCTGGCAGCAGCTCCCCGGCCTCTGTGATCTGCGCCCCACCCACAAAAAAGAGTTTAGCAGGACATTTGTAAATTGCGAAATGTAACTTTTGAACTCTAGGAAATAATATTTCCAGAAAAATTCTATCTTAAAAGTCTCTTACAGCTCGTTAGATAGCTTCAAGCATATATATTTCTTTGTTATTTTTTTATTTCTGAATTATTCAGATACGTGTGTAGATATAAAAACGGGCACAAGAAAATCACGATAACAAAATATGTCTGTGAGATGAACTAGAGGCGATATGATCACAACGTAAAAGATACTGAAGAAAAACAAACTAGAAATGGAAAGTCTTTTTTTCAGGTGAGGGGCCACCAACCCGCAATGAAACACAGGTGGTATAGGTGAACACCACAGGTGACCAAGCTTATCACCTGCACCAACCCACACCCTACCAGCCCTCACCACCCTATCCCTTACCCACCCACCCAACACCCACCCAACACCCACTCAACACCCCTCAACACCCACCCAACACCCCTGAACACCAACCCAACACCTCTCAACACCCACCCAACACCCACCCAACACCCCCCAACACCCACCCAACACCCACCCAACACCCACCCAACCAACACCCCTCAACACCCACCCAACACCCCTGAACACCAACCCAACACCTCTCAACACCCACCCAACACCCACCCAACACCCCTCAACACCCCTCAACACCCCTCAACACCCACCCAACACCCCTCAACACCCCTCAACACCCACCCAACACCCCGCAACACCCACCCAACACCCCTCAACACCCCTCAACACCCCTCAACACCCCTCAGCACCCCTCAACACCCACCCAACACCCCTCAACACCCCTCAACACCCACCCAACACCCCTCAACACCCCTCAACACCCACCCAACACCCCTCAACACCCCCCCAACACCCCTCAACACCCACCCAACACCCACCCAACACCCCTCAACACCCCTCAGCACCCCTCAACACCCCTCAACACCCACCCAACACCCCTCAACACCCCTCAACACCCCTCAACACCCCTCAACACCCACCCAACACCCCTCAACACCCACCCAACACCCCTCAACACCCCTCAACACCCCTCAACACCCACCCAACACCCCTCAACACCCACCCAACACCCACCCAACACCCACCCAACACCCCTCAACACCCCTCAACACCCACCCAACACCCCTCAACACCCACCCAACACCCCTCAACACCCCTCAACACCCCTCAACACCCACCCAACACCCCTCAACACCCCTCAACACCCCTCAACACCCCTCAACACCCCTCAACACCCACTCAACACCCCTCAACACCCCTCAACACCCCTCAACACCCCTCAACACCCCTCAACACCCCTCAACACCCACCCAACACCCCTCAACACCCACCCAACACCCCTCAACACCCCTCAACACCCCTCAACACCCCTCAACACCCCTCAACACCCCTCAACACCCCTCAACACCCCTCAACACCCCTCAACACCCCTCAACACCCCTCAACACCCCTCAACACCCCTCAACACCCCTCAACACCCCCCAACACCCACCCACCAACACCCCTCAACACCCCTCAACACCCCTCAACACCCCTCAACACCCCTCAACACCCCTCAACACCCCTCAACACCCCTCAACACCCCTCAACACCCACCCAACACCCCTCAACACCCCTCACACCCCTCAACACCCTCAACACCCCCCAACACCCCTCAACACCCACCCAACACCCCTCAACACCCCTCAACACCCCTCAACACCCCTCAACACCCACCCAACACCCCTCAACACCCCTCAACACCCCTCAACACCCCTCAACACCCACTCAACACCCCTCAACACCCCTCAACACCCCTCAACACCCCCCAACACCCCTCAACACCCCTCAACACCCCTCAACACCCACCCAACACCCCTCAACACCCCTCAACACCCCTCAACACCCCTCAACACCCCTCAACACCCACCCAACACCCCTCAACACCCCTCAACACCCCTCAACACCCACCCAACACCCCTCAACACCCACCCAACACCCACCCAACACCCACCCAACACCCCTCAACACCCCTCAACACCCACCCAACACCCCTCAACACCCCTCAACACCCCTCAACACCCCTCAACACCCACCCAACACCCCTCAACACCCCTCAACACCCCTCAACACCCCTCAACACCCCTCAACACCCCTCAACACCCACCCAACACCCCTCAACACCCCTCAACACCCCTCAACACCCACCCAACACCCCCCCCAACACCCCTCAACACCCACCCACCCCCTCAACACCCCTCAACACCCCTCAACACCCCTCAACACCCACCCAACACCCCTCAACACCCCTCAACACCCCTCAACACCCACCCAACACCCCTCAACACCCCTCAACACCCCACAACACCCCCCAACACCCACCCAACACCCCTCAACACCCCTCAACACCCCTCAACACCCCTCAACACCCCTCAACACCCCTCAACACCCCTCAACACCCCTCAACACCCCTCAACACCCCTCAACACCCCTCAACACCCCTCAACACCCACCCAACACCCCTCAACACCCCTCAACACCCCTCAACACCCCTCAACACCCACCCAACACCCCTCAACACCCCTCAACACCCCTCAACACCCCTCAACACCCCTCAACACCCCTCAACACCCCTCAACACCCCTCAACACCCCTCAACACCCCTCAACACCCCCCAACACCCCTCAACACCCCTCAACACCCCTCAACACCCCTCAACACCCCTCAACACCCCTCAACACCCCTCAACACCCCCAACACCCCCCAACACCCCTCAACCCCCTCAACACCCCTCAACACCCCCCAACACCCCTCAACACCCCTCAACACCCCTCAACACCCCTCAACACCCCTCAACACCCCCCCAACACCCCTCAACACCCCTCAACACCCCTCCAACACCCCTCACACCCCTCACACCCCTCAACACCCCTCAACACCCCTCAACACCCCTCAACACCCCTCAACACCCCTCAACACCCCTCAACACCCCTCAACACCCCTCAACACCCCTCAACACCCCTCAACACCCCTCAACACCCCTCAACACCCCTCAACACCCCTCAACACCCCTCAACACCCCTCAACACCCCTCAACACCCCTCAACACCCCTCAACACCCCTCAACACCCCTCAACACCCCTCAACACCCCTCAACACCCACTCAACACCCCTCAACACCCCTCAACACCCCTCAACACCCCTCAACACCCCTCAACACCCCTCAACACCCCTCAACACCCCTCAACACCCAACACCCCTCAACACCCCTCAACACCCCTCAACACCCCTCAACACCCCTCAACACCCCTCAACACCCCTCAACACCCCTCAACACCCCTCAACACCCCTCAACACCCCTCACCCACACCCCTCAACACCCCTCAACACCCCTCAACACCCCTCAACACCCCTCAACACCCCTCAACACCCCTCAACACCCACCCAACACCCCTCAACACCCCTCAACACCCCTCAACACCCCTCAACACCCCTCAACACCCCTCAACACAACCCTCAACACCCCTCAACACCCCTCAACACCCCTCAACACCCCTCAACACCCACCCAACAACACCCCTCAACACCCCTCACCCCTCAACACCCCTCAACACCCAACCCCCTCAACACCCCTCACACCCCTCAACACCCCTCAACACCCCTCAACACCCACCCAACACCCCTCAACACCCCTCAACACCCCTCAACACCCCTCAACACCCCTCAACACCCCTCAACACCCCTCAACACCCCTCAACACCCCCCAACACCCCTCAACACCCCTCAACAACACCCCTCAACACCCCTCACCCACCCCCTCAACACCCCTCAACCCCTCAACACCCCTCAACACCCCTCAACACCCCTCAACACCCACCCAACACCCCTCAACCCCCCTCAACACCCCTCAACACCCCTCAACACCCCCCAACACCCCTCAACACCCCTCAACACCCCTCAACACCCCTCAACACCCCTCAACACCCCTCAACACCCCTCAACACCCCTCAACACCCCTCAACACCCCTCAACACACCCCTCAACACCCCTCAACACCCCTCAACACCCCTCAACACCCCTCAACACCCCTCAACACCCCTCAACACCCCTCACCCAACACCCCTCAACACCCCTCAACACCCCTCAACACCCCCCAACACCCCTCAACACCCCTCAACACCCCTCAACACCCCTCAACACCCCTCAACACCCCCCAACACCCCTCAACACCCCTCAACACCCCTCAACACCCCTCACACCAACACCCCTCAACACCCACCCAACACCCCTCAACACCCACCCAACACCCCTCAACACCCCTCAACACCCCTCAACACCCCTCAACACCCCTCAACACCCCTCAACACCCACCCAACACCCCTCAACACCCCTCAACACCCCTCAACACCCATCCAACACCCCTCAACACCCCTCAACACCCCTCAACACCCCTCAACACCCACCCAACACCCCTCAACACCCATCCAACACCCCTCAACACCCACCCAACACCCCTCAACACCCACCCAACACCCCTCAACACCCACCCAACACCCCTCAACACCCACCCAACACCCCTCAACACCCACCCAACACCCCTCAACACCCCTCAACACCCCTCAACACCCCTCAACACCCCTCAACACCCACCCAACACCCCTCAACACCCACCCATCACCCCTCAACACCCCTCAACACCCCTCAACACCCCTCAACACCCCTCAACACCCCTCAACACCCACCCAACACCCCTCAACACCCCTCAACACCCCTCAACACCCACCCAACACCCCTCAACACCCCTCAACACCCACCCAACACCCCTCAACACCCCTCAACACCCCTCAACACCCACCCAACACCCCTCAACACCCCTCAACACCCACCCAACACCCCTCAACACCCCTCAACACCCCTCAACACCCCTCAACACCCCTCAACACCCCTCAACACCCACCCAACACCCCTCAACACCCCTCAACACCCACCCAACACCCCTCAACACCCCTCAACACCCCTCAACACCCCTCAACACCCCTCAACACCCACCTGCATCTTCAGTAGACCATCCCGCCCTTCCCTGAGGAACGTGGCGACGTCTTCATCACTGCCGTAGATGGTCGACCCGTCCAGAAAGGAAGTTATTTGGTTCAGCTGCTCCCTGGGACCTGAAGAAAAGTCCTGAGGGTGAGTGATGGGTGAGTGAGGGGGGGGGGAGGGAGAATCCTAGGGAGGGGCAGGTGGAGGGAAGGGGGTGGAGGGGGGGGGAAGGAAAATCAGCAGCATTATAAATATCATTATTATAAATCATTATCACCACTACTATCAATCTTTATCATCAATCATGTTCATTAATCATTTTTCACCATAAATCATCTTCACCACTCATTGTTCTTTATTATCATCTTCAGTATTATACTCAAACATCTTCATTGTCATTCATCATAAACCATCTTCACTAGTCATTATTCCTCATTATCATCACCAATCATTTTCAATATCATAATCAAACATCTTCATTACCATCAATCATCGCCATAATCATCAGTCATTATCACCAATCATCGCCGGCGAGAAACAATGGGCAGAGTTTCTTTCACTCTATGCCCCTGTTACCTAGCAGTAAAATAGGTACCTGGGTGTTAGTCAGCTGTCACGGGCTGCTTCCTGGGGGGTGGAGGCCTGGTCGAGGACCGGGCCGCGGGGACACTAAAGCCCCGAAATCATCTCAAGATAACCTCAAGATAACCCTACTTTCGACCTTCACGGGTCAGGAGTAGGGTGGTGGTGATTATAGGGTGTACTACAAGGCCACATGGACCATCACTGCCACACTACACCAACTCACCAAAGCTACAGGTGTGAACTGAGGCAGGAACTCACCAAAGTTGCAAGTATGTGCTGGACTGGAACGAATTAAGTCGATACAGGAGCGGCCGTAGGCGCCGAAGAAGGGGTCGTCGGGAGCAAGTATTATAGGCATACACTCCGGGTGGTGAAGGTCCGGGTTGTTGATAACTTCGCTGGTACAGCAAGGGATGGGCGCCCCCTTCACCCCTGCACTCCCAAACACACGGTAATGGTTGTATCACACATTATAATGGTAGTAACATGCATATTAGACAGCAATACTTCGTCATGGGACTAACAGGGGTAACTGGAAAGGTGTTACATAGGATTAAAAAGTACTTGTGTAACAGAAAACATGGAGTTATAAGTGACAGGAGAGACCTTACTGTGGAAGGTGGATGCATGTGGAGTACCGCAAGGGTCAGTACTTGGGTCTGTACCATTTCTGATTTATGCAAATGATTGGAACGAGGAAAGGGAATTGTAAGAAGATGGAGGACGATCTGGGTAAAGCTTCAGGTATGGTCGGAGAGAGGGCTAATAGACTTCAACCTAGATACATGCAAGTTAATGTAAATTGAAGAGAAGACGTGAATACTTATTAACAAAATGAAATGAAAGAGTTAATACCCTGGAACTTTAGAAATGAATGATCTTGGATTTTACATCATAGCACCAATGGCTCACTTAAATAGGATACAAACATCAATAAATGAAATATTGACAAATATGAATGCATTTGAGAACCCATGTTAGCTTTCAGCTAACATTTTACAGTATTGTAAAGCTCATTCTAGAATATCCCGTCCCAGCGAGGAACTCCGTTACCAAACGAAGCCTAAAACCAAACTGGGAACGTTCTAGAACTATGCAATGAGGCTCTACAACTGCAAATTTTGACCAACCTTCCTTTTAAAAAATACACTGAATTTTGTGCTTAATGATCCCTAACAGACAGAACACGGGGTGCAAAGACAAGGAACGACTCACAAACATTACCATTGTGGGGTGGAAAGAGGACTTACCACCCCATAATGGTACTGTTAGATGAGTTACCACCCGCTCTGCTTGTCTTGAAGGACTTACCACTCCACAGTGGCAGTGTCAGGAGTGGGAACGTGAACTAAGGTCAGGAATCCTTGACTAACCTTTAGTCGTTGGGGTGAAAGTGATGTCGTGATCAATGAACTGTCCCAGAGCCATGTTAAGGGCGCTGAAGCAGTTGGAGAAGGTGTTGGGGCTGCGGTTGAGCACGTTGGTGATGGTCCGAGCATTGGGCAGCTCCTCCCCGTCCACTGCCCGACGAAACGACGACACTCCTGTAGTGTGAGTACGGTGTTAGCACCCTTAGCCACGCCGTCGCCAGCAGGCCTGGTTGTCACCACTATCAACACAATCACTATGACCCCTCCATCACCATGGACCTACCATCACCGTAGTCTGGGGGAAGGAAGCGGGTAAAGGGGGTGAGGGCTGCCCCCCATGAAGGATGCTGCACGTTGTTACAGGATCCATCGGGCCTCCTGTAGGGGGCGCCCCTGTCACAGGACCCCGGCTTGAAGGGCTTGAGTTTAGAGAGACATTCCTCTATTGGACCCAACTGCTGGAGGTCTAAGGCTGTCACGTCTCCGGCCTGTTGTTTTCTCGCTTCATTCTCCTTCATTCTATTCAGTGTGAATAGAATAGAATGACAAAATGAAATATTCTATTAATAGATCAGTAATTCATAGAATATTTCATTTTGTCATTTCTCGTCACAAGAAAAATAATTAGGTTTCTTTTAGAGTCAAAAAAAGACCTGGGTAAATACTTGTTTGGAAACATGGTTGTAGATTTTTGGAGACAGTTACCGGGTAAAATAATAGACGTAGAATCCCTGGGTTATATAAAAAGTAGGTTAGACATATATGTGAATGAATTTGGTTGGATATAAATCGGAGCTGCCTCGTATGGCCCAATAATCCTTCTGAAGTTTACATTATTTTTTGTTACATAGTCTTCCCGGGTTAGTGCCTTCTTGTGATAATTACTTCCATTATTCTTATTTTCATTAAACTGTGGACATAAAAAGATAAGAATAATGGATACTGCAGACGGCCTATTGACCCTTACGAGGCAGCTCCTATTTGCATCCACACAAACTCCTTATATGTCTAACCTACGCTTGAAACAAGCCAGACATCTAAGAGATCATGGTCTATTACCTGGCAATTTATTCCATAAATCAACATCCCTGTTACCAACCCAGTATTTACCCAGGTCTTTCCTGAACCTAATCTTCACCATTTATATCCATTGTTACAAGCTCAATTTATATCTTTGTTTAGATCTCTCTCGAACTAAAAAAGTAACTTACTTTCACATATTCATATATTAAAACTGAGTGTAACCATGATATATATGTACTTCAGCCTACAGTTTAGACCTATTGTCTTGTGTATGACCCTCTGTCCTGCGTGACAGTGAATACCACCATTAGCCTCACTTTAATAAGACTTAATTGCAATCCTCAGATTAGGCAAAATTGAAGTTAATTTTGTCAATAAAGATAATAATAATAACTTACTTGGTCAATATAAACCTGGTGGAGACTCCCAAAATGTGGCCAGATTCTGCGAGTTCAGGTACCTTTTCATGGTGCGGTTTGAAGAGCCTTCTGTGTATCCATTCCGGACTTTTGGGGTCTACAGTCAGATTTTTATTGTATATCCTGCCCTCGATAGCCTTCAGGATCGCTAGCTTTTGTTTGCCCGCATTAATGGCTGAGCTGTGGGAGACAACCGCACCGTTCCCTCAACTCTCACTAAAGTAGCACGATTTAGTGAGAGAGAGAGAGAGAGAGAGAAGATTAAGCCACCCAAAAGGTGGCTTGGGCATGAATAGCCCATGAGTGGTGGCCCTTTTGAGCCATATCCAGTATCAATAGATGATACTGGACATCTGTGGAGGTGCGACTGCACCCTGCGTGACGGGAGATGTTTCCCGTGTCGATTTAATGATTGAATGTTTTAAGTTTATTATTTGTTCACGAACAGTTCCTTAGCAAGATGTACAACGCATTTATGGATAAAAGAGTAGTTAGTCGACATATACACAATTATTCACACACACGCACACACATCAAGACATAACTGGCCATAAAGACAATTTATTTAACACGGGCCACACGCACAAGGGGACACAGGTGGAAACTGAGTACCCAGACGAGCCACAGAGACATTAGAAAGAATTTTTTCAGTGTCAGAGTAGTTAACAGATAGAATGCACTAGGAAGTGATGTGGTGGAGGCTCACTCCATACACAGTTTTAAATCTAGATATGATAGAGCCTAAGGAATCTGTACACCGGTTGATTGACAGTTGAGAAGCGGGACCAAAGAGCCAGAGCTCAACCCCCGCAAGCACAACTAGGTGGTAGAGGAGGTTGTGGTAGCCTGAGGTAGTGCAGTAGCTGCCCTATTTGTCAATAATTAAACTACTAGAGCAGAGGAGTATGTATGTGTAGTGGGGAAGTTGTAACCCATTACACGCACAACCTAACCACAACATATTTGTAAAGGATAACAACTGAGCAGGGATCATATATGAAATGAATTAGGAAAAGTAAGATATTTGGGAATATTTAAGAATTATGCTTGTGATTTTAATAGTAAGAGAAGCTAGGCTTCGGGCCAGGCTTGGGGAGTAGAACTTCAAGAACCCCATCAAGCAGATACAAGCCTAAATAAATTGTATATGCCTGGGGAAGGCCAGAAACATGGGTTCGGTTCAACCATAAGGTCTCAGTAGTCTCTCGTAGGTACATTTTGTCTTTGATTTCATTGTGTATCAATATATCACTTCTGTAAAGATGTGGTTAACAAAGAGGAAAAATATTCCAAATTAAATGGATTTGTTAATTGCACTTGTATGAGAACAAATTATAGATGTTATTGTAATCACAGAGACATGGATTAATGAAGATAGTGAACTTACGTTGGTCTTATAATAGCGGTTATACATTTAACATAATAATATGGGCCCAGATTCACGAAGCTGTTACGCAAGTGCTTACGAACATGTACATCTTTTCTCAATCTTTGCCGGCTTTGTTTACAATTATTAAACAGTTAATGAGCTCCGAAGCACCAGGAGGCTGTTTATAACAACAACAACAGTTAATTGACAAGTTTTCATGCTTGTAAACTGTTTAATTAATAAATGTACCCAAAGCCGTCAAAGATTGAGGAAAAATGTACACGTTCGTACGTGCTTGCGTAACTGCTTCGTGAATCTGGGCCATGATCATAAAAATGCATGGTACCCACTCGATCACATCCTGTGGAATGTCTGGGAGGAGCGCTGGCTCCCTGTCCCAGCTGGAGGGGTCGCCGGGTAGGAAGGTAGAGTTGTCGGACTCTACTGATGACAGGTCCTCCTCCCCCTGGCCTGTTACCCGTGCGTGCAGACGACTCAAGAACCATTCTTTGTCTGTAACGTCACTGACGTCTTTAAGGCTTCAATGGTGAGTCATGCGATATACTCAGGGCATCAAAAAATATGCCCAGAGGTCAGGGAATATACCCAAAGGGTCAAGGAATATACTCAAAGAATATACCCAGAGGGTCAGGGAATATACTCAAAGAATATACCCAGAGGGTCAGGGAATATACTCAAAGAATATACCCAGCGGGTCAGGGAATATACTCAAAGAATATACCCAGCGGGTCAGGGAATATACTCAAAGAATATACCCAGAGGGTCAGGGAATATACCCAAAGAATATACCCAGAGGGTCAAGGAATATACCCAAAGAATATACCCAGAGGGCCAAGGAATATACCCAAAGAATATACCCAGAGGGTCAAGGAATATACTCAAAGAATATACCCAGAGGGTCAAAGAATATACCCAGAAAGTTAAGGAATATGACCAGAAGAAACTTATGTTGACCGTTTACGATAACGGCTGTTATCTTTCTCAAAATAATTTAGCATAAATATGTTCCTTTTATTTATTAAATTTTGTCAGTGTTCTACAGAAAGCGGGAATAGATTAATATCATAACTAAGAACGTATATGTTTAGAAATATGTATAAAACCACACATTCCCTCATATTCTGGAACAGAGTGAAATACTAGGCTAAAATTGTGCTATTTAAAATACGTTTATCAAAAGTTGTATCAATACAAATGACTAACCAGTGCTCTCATTAATTACCAATTAAGAAGCTCTACTAATGAAGCCAAATGATCTGTAAACCAGATCTGCATTTACTACATAAAGGGTGAATTAAATAAATATATAATTTAACAAGTCATAACGTGGAGGGTTGTTGAGCACATGCATCATGCCAACCTTCATTTGCACACAGGCTGGATGGATCAAGACAAACTGTGCTCTATCCTGCTGTCCTGTCAACTCTCTCTACCTTAAATTTGTGCATAGCAATGCGCCTGACTATTAAGCAACACTTAATAACCCTCCAGGTTGATAGGTCTTAAACCCAATACCAAGAGACAGAATCCATCAAAAAAGTTATTATCTCTCCCATACACGCCTTAGTGATGACATGCACCCTGTATCCTTGTGTTGTGTTCCCTGGTGCACACACTGTAGCCTAGTGCTTACATACACCCAGTGCCCTGGTGTTGTGTACCCTGGTGCACACACTGTAGCCTAGTGCTTACATACACCCAGTGCCCTGGTGTTGTGTACCCTGGTGCACACACTGTAGCCTAGTGCTTACATACACCCAGTGCCCTGGTGTTGTGTACCCTGGTGCACACACTGTAGCCTAGTGCTTACATACACCCAGTGCCCTGGTGTTGTGTACCCTGGTGCACACACTGTAGCCTAGTGCTTACATACACCCAGTGCCCTGGTGTTGTGTACTCACCTCGTCGAGGAAAGGAGAGGCTGGACAGTACTCTAAGATTATCGTCGCCAGTAAGGAAAGCAAAGTTCTGTAGAGGCTTCCTTATGTAAAGAGGGATGTCTCCGTCACAGGTAATCTTGTCCCCGGGCTGTTTGGTGAAGTCGGCGGCCATCGCCACGGTCACGGCAGCCGCCACGACTCCCAACCAACATCTCAATCTGGGTAGATTCATTCTTCTGATGTGGCAGAGAAACAATGTCCTAAGTCAGTGTAGCACACAAGAGCAACAGTTAAATGCCGAATCAATGTTGACCAGACATTATATGTTGACCAGTCGATTCTCAAGTCGACTTGAGAATGGTCCAGGACGGACCGAAACGTCGTCGTCCCTTCACCGTCTAGTGTGTGGTCTGGTCAACATACTTCAGCCACGTTATTGTGACTCTTCGCGTATTTAACGTTGATAACAGTGATTCAGCGTCGAACCCACGGTACTCGCAGACTGAGTTCCGTGGTTGTGGTAGAATTCAGGAAACTCACAATGTTTTGGGTTCATTGTCTGTTTGCAACTAGGTCCATAAAAGAGGTAAATATAATAAAATTCAGGAAAAAAAGCAATGGTTGTAAAACTAGTAAGGTATTGTAATAGTAGTATAGATGATTGCAGTATTCGTATTTTCTTGCATGAGTTTCAGATATTGCATAAATATGAGCCATCTTTGATCTGAGAGCCAAGAGGTGAGGAGAGTAGGATGAGAACCATTTTATCTTTTAAAGGATATGTTGCAGTAACCATGATAATCTCTCTCTCTCTCTTATATATATATATATATATATATATATATATATATATATATATATATATATATATATATATATATATTTATGATCGATGTTCCCTTCGGAAATCTTAATTTTAAGATGAATAGGAAAACCAGGGATATACTGAACATCTTGTTTCAGATTCTTTACTTTAAAATGCATAACGTTTCGAATACTTCTCGTATTCATCATCAGATCTAAAAGAAAAAACAGAAATCACAATCAAATAACTGGTAAACAAAGAACTCATACTGAATATGAGTATCGGAATATCGGAACTCCCGATATTCGAACTCCCGATTCGGAACTTTAAGATTAGGATACTTGAGCACCGGGGATTATCTTTTAGGACTGGATTACCATTGTCTAAACCAGCATTTTCGGAGATTAGAAACCATTGTTATGAGTTTGATCATTCTCTGCTGGAATCTGATTTTAAAATTCTGGACACTTGTATGAATGGCCAGTCAGATTTGAGAGTAATGGAATCCTTATATATAAAGGAGCTGCGGCCTCTGTTAAATAGCAACCTTTCAGCTGTTCAATTGTACACTGTATAGTGCACAGTAGGCCCTGTAATTTGATTTATAGTTCATTTTGGTAGTTTAATTTTATTATAATTTTGTTTAGTTTACCATGTCTTTGCCCTTTCTTACTTATTTCAAGTCTTGACATTGTACATTAATATAATCTTTTATTTAGGATATATAATACATTTTTTTGGTATTTAATTTTATTTAATATTTGAGTTTTTTATAAGATTCTGGTTAGTACTTTATAATTGTCGTTTATTCTGTTTGTATTTTACATACATTTTTTGTAGATTTGTAGTCATTATATAAATATTTGTTATAGTGTTTAGTATCTATGTGTTAGGTATCAAGTTTCACTTCTGATCACTTCACGTAAGTTTAATAGAATGGTTTGTTTTAGTAGTTATAAAATTCATCTTGTAGTTCAATGGATTTTTAAATTAGTTTTAATATATGTGACAGTTAATAAGTTTATTTGTATTGATCACTTTAAGTGCGCTTAAGTGTTTTGTTTTTTAAGCATTTTCCTTTCTTTGATAGGCAATTATATTCAGTATGAGTTCTTTGTTTACCAGCTATTTGATTGTGATTTCTGTTTTTTCTTTTAGATCTGATGATGAATACGAGAAGTATTCGAAACGTTATGCATTTTAAAGTAAAGAATCTGAAAAAAGATGTTCAGTGTATCCCTGGTTTTCCTATTCATCTTAATATATATATATATATATATATATATATATATATATATATATATATATATATATATATATATATATAGCATCCATTTATCCATAAGCTCAACTTTCAGATATATTCATATCTACCTTTATATAATATATGCAAGTATACTCGCATATATTATATAATTTCCATTCATTCATAAAAGTATTATGAACATGAACTCCACAGGTGTGGGAGGTATAGCGATCAAGAGTAGATAAGGCGAGGCACAGTGAGAGAAAGAGAGAGAGAGAGAGAGAGAGGGAGAGAGAGAGAGAGAGAGAGAGAGGGGGGGGGGAGAGAGAGAGTATGTTTACTATTTGTGCCTACAGGATCGAGCTGTTAGCTCTTGGATCCCGCCTTTCTAATGTACTGATTCCCCATCTTAATTTCCTCACACATCCCCAGGAAGCAAGCTAGTAGCAGCTGTGTAACTCACAGGTACCTATTTACTGCCAAGTGAAGAAAAGCATCAGGGTGAAAGAAAGTGTCATTTGTTACTTCCTCACCCGGGAATCGAACCCGGGTCCTTTGAACTACGACTCCTTAGCGCTGTCCCCCAGGACCTTTGTGTATGTGTGTGAGAGAGAGAGAGAGAGAGAGAGAGAGAGAGAGAGAGAGAGAGAGAGACCGTGCACAGTTGTAGACAAATTATAGTACGGATAAGATTAATGACAGGGTAGTGATATTGGGAATACACCTGCAAGACATGTGTCATCAGTGTGCGGTACTCACCTTTGTACCTCCCTACTGTGGTTCCGGCTCTCAATATATATATATATATATCCCGGCTTCCTGGGGATGTGTGTGTGTGTGTTAGAGAGATGTAGTAGATATAATAGAGGAAACAATAGCTTCGTTAGATGGGCGGGGTCCAAGAGCTATAGATCGATTCTGCCGACACAAATAGTATACACACACACACACACACACACACACACACACACACACACACACACACACACACACACACACACCAAAGTGTGTTTGTACAAAATGAAATCTTCAGGGAACCAGATACAATAAGAATTCCAGAGAACAACATAGAGCACATAGAGGTGTCTAGAGACGAAGTGGAAAAAATGCTCAAGGAGCTAAATAAGAACAAAGCAGTTGGTCCAGATGGAGTTTCACCATGGGTTCTGAGAGAATGTGCACCTGAGCTCAGCATTCCACTTCAACTGATTTTCAGGCATCCCTGTTTACAGGAGTTGTAGCTGATGTGTGGAAAAAAGCTAACATAGTTCCAATCTACAAAAGTGGAAGCAGGGAAGACCCCCTCAATTATAGACCGGTATCATTGACAAGTGCAATAGTCAAAATATTGGAAAAAATAATTAAAACTAAATGGGTAGAACACCTGGAGAGAAATGATATAATATCAGACAGACAGTATGGTTTTCGATCTGGAAGATCCTGTGTATCGAATTTACTCAGTTTCTATGATCGAGCAACAGAGATATTACAGGAAAGAGATGGTTGGGTTGACTGCATCTATCTGGACCTAAAAAAGGCTTTCGACAGAGTTCCACATAAGAGATTGTTCTGGAAACTGGAAAATATTGGAGGGGTGACATGGAAGCTTCTAACATGGATGAAAAATTTTCTGACTGATAGAAAAATGAGGGCAGTGATCAGAGGCAATGTATCGGACTGGAGAAATGTCACAAGTGGAGTACCACAGGGTTCAGTTCTTGCACCAGTGATGTTTATTGTCTCCATAAATGATCTACCAGTTGGTATACAGAATTATATGAACATGTTTGCTGATGATGCTAAGATAATAGGAAGGATAAGAAACTTAGATGATTGTCATGCCCTTCAAGATGACCTGGACAAAATAAGTATATGGAGCACCACTTGGCAAATGGAATTTAATGTTAATAAATGCCATGTTATGGAATGTGAAATAGGAGAACATAGACCCCACACAACCTATATATTATGTGAGAAATCTTTAAAGAATTCTGATAAAGAAAGAGATCTAGGGGTGATTCTAAATAGAAAACTATCACCTGAGGACCACATAAAGAATATTGTGCGAGGAGCCTATGCCACGCTTTCTAACTTTAGAATTGTTTTTAAATACATGGATGGCGATATACTAAAGAAATTGTTCACGACATTTGTTAGGCCAAAGCTGGAATATGCAGCGGTTGTGTGGTGCCCATATCTTAAGAAGCACATCAACAAACTGGAAAAAGTGCAAAGACATGCTACTAAGTGGCTCCCAGAACTGAAGGGCAAGAGCTACGAGGAGAGGTTAGAGGCATTAAATATGCCAAAACTAGAAGACAGAAGAAAAAGAGGTGATATGATCACTACATACAAAATAGTAACAGGAATTGATAAAATCGATAGGGAAGATTTCCTGAGACCTGGAACTTCAAGAACAAGAGGTCATAGATTTAAACTAGCTAAACACAGATGCCGAAGAAATATAAGAAAATTCACTTTCGCAAACAGAGTGGTAGACGGTTGGAACAAGTTAAGTGAGAAGGTGGTGGAGGCCAAGACCGTCAGTAGTTTCAAAGTGTTATATGACAAAGAGTGCTGGGAAGACGGGACACCACGAGCGTAGCTCTTATCCTGTAACTACACTTAGGTAATTACACATTCTCACTCACTATCGCAGCCATATCTAAGCTATATGTTCATACACTACCCTCAACAGCTCCTATATTGTGTACATACCCCTATACAACCCATATTTTGTACATCCCTCCCCCCTCCTACGGCTGCTATATGTGCTATCATGCACATGGTGGGATGACTCACCTGGGCGCCGACACGCGGACGACTGCTGCACCCAACAACCACACACCTCAAACTAACACACAGTGACGCGCTAACAGCTGTACTCATCGAGTTGTACTCACCTAGCTGTGTTCACCTAGTTGTGTTCACCTAGTTGTACTTGCTGGGGTTGAGCTTTAGCTCTTTGGTCCCATCTCTCAACTGATAATCATCTGGTGTACAGCTGTGTACAAATGGTGTACAAATAATAAAATTTTCCTGAGCCTATTGGGCTCTATCATATCTACACTTGAAACTGTGTATGGAGTCAGCCTCCACCACATCACTGCCTAATGCATTCCATTTGTTAACTACTCTGACACTGAAAAAGTTCTTTCTAACGTCCCTGTGGCTAGTTTGGGTACTCAGTCTCCACCTGTGTCCCCTTGTTCGCGTACCACCCGTCTTAAACAGTTTATCCTTATCTACCCTGTTAATTCCTCTTCAGAATTTTGTAGGTAGTGATAATGTCTCCCCGAACTCTTCTGTCTTCCAGTGTCGTGAGGTTCAGTTCCAGCAATCTTTCCTCAAAGCTCATTCCTCTCAGCTCGGGGACTAGCCTAGTGGCATACCTGTGAACCTTTTCTAACTTTGCTTTTGTGTTTGACTAGATGTGGAGTCCAGGCTGGAGCCGCATATTCCAGTGTGTGTGTGTGTGTGTGTGTGTGTGTGTGTGTGTGTGTGTGTGTGTGTGTGTGTGTGTGGAACTAAACGAGAACTTGTGAAGATATGATCACGAGATACAAGATATTTGCACTGAGTGGGCACAGATGGAAATCGTAGACTCAGATATGTCAGAACCCGTCCTCTCAGGGACAGGAAGCCTTTTAGGTTTATCGCGATCAACCCCCCCCCCTCCCCTTGGCCAGCTACTAGACTTCAACAGGATGCAATCCACAACAGTTGCCTAAATCCCGTCCACCTGTTTACTGCCTGGTAAAGAGGCATCAGGTGAAAGGAAACGTTACGCAAGCGTTTCCGTCCCGGCCGGAGATTGAACTTGGGTCACTCGGTTGTGAGCCGAGAACGTAGACTAATGTGCTACCGTGAGGGTGTTTGTAAAAAACCAGAAACGTTAAAAATGCAACTGTTTTGCCTAACTAGAAACCTATGAACCCAAGCAACCCACCTAGCCCATCAAGGCCGATGCATAGATAACGTTAATATCACGGGGCTTTAATTTTTACAAATGCGTGGCATTTTTAACGAACTGACTGAATACATATAAAATGCGACGTATCAGGTGAGAGGACAGGGTGAGATATCAGGAAGTGCACCTGTACCGCATGGTACATCCTGGTACAATGTGACTTTGTTCCTTGTGAACATCTTGTTCCACATCCATCATGTTCCTCTTAAGCCGACCGCTCCTGTGCCAGGTAAGTTACGGGCTCACCATAGCCCGTGCTACTTGGAACTTGTTTGAGTAGCTGAATCTATAACAACAACAACTCTTAAGCCTTTGCTGTGTGTCTCCCTTTTTTCCTATCTCTTTCTATTTACTTGTCTCAGTATCTCAGTCTCTATATTTGTCGCTCTGTATATTTACCCAACCGTGGGGTACAGGTACATAATACAGGGTGACCCGTCAGGTTTGGGGTGCAGCAACAAGGTACACAACGACCCACGTGGGACCCAACCTGGCATTTCCCTCCATTTAAGCACAGTCTCTCTCATCAATTCCCTCCAGGCATTATCCTCTCCATGAAGAATCTTCCTTTCCCAGTCAGTTTACCTATGGTTAAAATCACCAAGCACTAGGAACTCAACCGTCGATCAATTTGCCACCCTGACTGCTCACTGTAGCTCTTAGACCATTTCCATCCATGTCATCATACTTCTCATTATCCTTTCTGCTGTTAGATATAGGAATGTATATATAACTGCTACAATTATCCTCTCATTCGCTATGATAATTTTGATTTTATACGCGTGGGGATGCATTATAAATTAGTTTTTTATGAAAAAATCCTATGGGTCCTGAAATTGCAAATATATTTTCAATAGTAGTGCTTCTACTGTTTCAGCGTTATACGTCTTGGACCACGCAATATGCCCTCGGCACGTCTTCATTCCCTATGATCATTGTACATTTCGTTTCTGTTAGTGCAGTGGTGTGTGTGTTTGTATTTTTAAGTCCTTGAGTTCTCCTAAATTATTTGTTATACCATCTGCATTTGTGTATATTACACTTAGTGTTCATCACTTCATGATGTTGTCTGTATATTGTTCATTTACCACATGGGAATATTTGTATATTTTTCATTAGTACATGGTGTTATTACCTGTATACTGTCTCATCACAACATGGTGTTACCTGTATACTGTCTCATCACAACATGGTGTTACCTGTATACTGTCTCATCACAACATGGTGTTACCTGTATACTGTCTCATCACAACATGGGGGTTTCTGTCCTTGTGAAGGTTGTGGGGCTCAACATGGTCCATGTTGGGGGGGCAGGGGGGGGGATTTGTAATTTGTGGAGGCGTTCTTTTCCATTGTGTTGTGAGATCACGCTGTTGAACAGGAACACCTGTGTTCCTGTTCAGGTGTCACCACCTGACAGGTGTGTGTGTGTGTGTGTGTGTGTGTGTGTGTGTGTGTGTGTGTGTGTGTGTGTGTGTGTGTGTGTGTTTTCATGTGTATTATGAAAAACATGAGTGGGGGCCTCACGGCTGATTTAACAGCGCTCGGGGTTCGTAGGCCTAAGGGTCCGGGTTCTATCCCCGGCGGAAACAAATAGGCAGAGTTTCTTTCACCCCGATGCGCTTGTACACTTAGCAGTAAACAGGTACCTGGGAGTTAGACAGCTGCTACGGGCTGCTTCCTGTGTGTGTGTATGTGAAAATTAGAATTAAGGACTTGCCCGAAAAGCTATGCGGGCTAGTGGCTGTACAAGAATGTAAAAACTCTTGTATAAATATATATATATATATATATATATATATATATATATATATATATATATATATATATATATATATATATATATATATATGCCAACAAGCCTGAATGGTCCCCAGGACTATATGCGACTGAAAACTCACACCCCAGAAGTGACTCGAACCCATACTCCCAGGAGCAACGCAACTGGTATCTACAGGACGCCTTACTCCGCTTGACCATCACGACCGGACAAAAGTTGGTGTGAGTTTTCAGTCGCATATAGTCCTGGGGACCATTCAGGCTTGTTCGCATTTGTGTTCCTCACGTGTGCCCCAAAGAATGAGGTGATTTAATAAAATGCTATGCCCAAGATTACCATCAGAGTGCTGACGGGGAAGTGGTTCAAATAGCTTTGGCTATCAATTCCTTTTGTCCCGTCGTGATGGTCAAGCGGATTAAGGCGTCCTGTAGATACCAGATGCGTTCCTCCTGGGAGTATGGGTTCGAGTCACTTCTGGGGAATGAGTTTTCAGTCATATATATATATATATATATATATATATATATATATATATATATATATATATATATATATTACTGATATATACAAACGACTTACTTTTTTACATAAAATTCTACCCCTATTTGCAAACGATGCTTACTTATCAAGAAGAATAAGGGCTAGAAATCGACTAAAAAAAATCCTGCAGGACTCCTCTAACAACTTACAAAAGCTGTTTAACAAGTGATTTCGAGAATTAAATACAAGCAAATGCAAGACAACATGGATAAAACAAGAAACAAAATACACTATAAAATCAATACGACTTGAGAGGAAGACAACTGTTCAAACAGAAAAGAGAAATGGACCAAGAAGCAACCAGCACACACTTGTATCTCTCAACAGAGGAACATCCTACCAGGATAACATCAGCGGCGTACGTGATCCTTCCTAGTATAAGCCCAGCTTGTGCAACACTGGCCAAGGGTTGGCTGGTAGACCGGTTTCAGAACATATAGATGAGAATTATGAGGATAGACTAAGAGAGATGAACCTCACCTCTCTGTAAAGAGGCAGAACTAGAGATCGCGACCATCAGGGTAACCAGAAGTATCGGTAAAGTGGACTGGCATATTGCAAGTGGGAACAGATCAAGAGAATACAGGTGTGGGCAGAACAACTGCACACAGCTGAGTACATAATGGCTGTACACAGCTGGGTACACAGCGCCTGTACACAGCTGGGCACACAGCGCCTGTACACAGCTGGGCACACAACACCTGTACACAGCACCTGTACACAGCTGGGTACACAGCACATGTACACAGCTGGGTACACAGCACCTGTACACAGCTGGGCACACAGCGCCTGTACACAGCTGGGCACACAGCGCCTGAACACAGCTGGGCACACAGCGCCTGAACACAGCTGGGCACACAACACCTGTACACAGCACCTGTACACAGCTGGGTACACAGCACATGTACACAACTGGGTACACAGCACCTGTACACAGCTGGGTACACAGCACCTGTACACAGCTGGGTACACAGCACATGTACACAGCTGGGTACACAGCACCTGTACACAGCTGGGTACACAGCACATGTACACAGCTGGGTACACAGCACATGTACACAGCTGGGTACACAGCACATGTACACAGCTGGGTACACAGCACATGTACACAGCTGGGCACACAGCGCCTGTACACAGCTGGGTACACAGCGCCTGTACACAGCTGGGCACACAACACCTGTACACAGCACCTGTACACAGCTGGGCACACAGCACCTGTACACAGCTGGGTACACAGCGCCTGAACACAGCTGGGTACACAGCACCTGTACACAGCTGGGTACACAGCACCTGTACACAGCTGGGTACACAGCACCTGTACACAGCTGGGTACACAGCACCTGTACACAGCTGGGCACACAGCACCTGTACATAGCTGGGTACACAACACCTGTACACAGCACCTGTACACAGCTGGGCACACAACACCTGTACACAGCACCTGTACACAGCTGGGCACACAACACATGTACACAGCACCTGTACACAGCTGGGTACACAGCACATGTACACAGCTGGGTACACAGCACCTGTACACAGCTGGGTACACAGCACCTGTACACAGCTGGGTACACAGCACCTGTACACAGCTGGGTACACAGCACCTGTACACAGCTGGGTACACAGCACCTGTACACAGCTGGGTACACAGCACATGTACACAGCTGGGTACACAGCACCTGTACACAGCTGGGTACACAGCACCTGTACACAGCTAGGTACACAGCGCCTGTACACAGCTGGGTACACAGCACCTGTACACAGCTGGGTACACAGCACCTGTACACAGCTGGGTACACAGCACCTGTACACAGCTGGGTACACAGCACCTGTACACAGCTGGGTACACAGCACCTGTACACAGCTTGGTACACAGCGCCTGTACACAGCTGGGTACACAGCGCCTGTACACAGGAGGAATCTTGTAACTCAGATGAGTGAGAGCTTCATAAAGAAGCACAAGGCTCAGCAGACGCTCAGGTCAGGTCAATGCACCAGACACATGAACGGCGGAACCACAACACCTGTGCAAATAACAATAGAGCATAGCACATTGCACATGAGCAACGTCCCCCCATTGCATTGCATTCTATCTGTCTGTCTGGATGGATGGCTGAAAACTGCATTCGTGTCTCCAGCTGAGAGGAGGTACAGCCATACGGTACACCGGTGGTACTGGGGACACGTCAGCTGAGGGTACAGCCATACGGTACACCGGTGGTACTGGGGACACGTCAGCTGAGGGTACAGCCATACGGTACACCGGTGGTACTGGGGACACGTCAGCTGAGGGTACAGCTACACGGTACACAGGTGGTACTGGGGACACGTCAGCTGAGGGTACAGCTACACGGTACACAGGTGGTACTGGGGACACGTCAGCTGAGGGTACAGCTACACGGTACACAGGTGGTACTGGGGACACGCCAGCTGAGGGTACAGCCATACGGTACACACGTCACTACCACCAACATCAGGTCAGATAACGCGACCCGAACTTAACATCAATGTCTCTGTAATTCGACCCGGAAACCCTTCAGAAGGGGAGTGGAATGTACTCTGATGCCAGGACTACGTGGACCCACTCAGGGCTACGTGTACCCACTCAGGGCTACGTGGACCCACTCAGGGCTACATGTACCCACTCAGGGCTACATGTACACACTCAGGACTACGTGTACACACTCAGGACTACGTGTACACACTCAGGGCTACGTGTACACACTCAGGACTACGTGTACACACTCAGGACTACGTGTACACACTCAGGGCTACCTGCAACTCTTCTTTAACCTATAAAAATTTCAGTTAAATGAACTGTGGCAGTGAATGAGATCAATAAGACTGTTGTTGTGCGTACGAGGGAGTGATAGTGTGAGGGGTGGTGGTAGGGGGGCTGATGGTTATGATAATGGTTGTAGGGGTGATTGTGGTGGTGTTAGTGGTAGTACTCACCTATCAGTGACTACACGGAGGTGTGGTCTAGCTGTTTATACCCAGCTTCCTGGCCTTGTTGAACCCGTTGCTTTACAGGTTAAGTCTTCTAACGTTCAAGTTCTGTGTTGAGTCTTTAAAGTTGTGGATGGAGGTGGTTTCCACAACTTCTTCTTGCTGTGTATATACCATGTGTTGACCGCCCTTACAGGGTGAGAGTATTTCCTTGTATTTCCAGAGTCCATCTTTTTCCACTTGTCTTACTTTCTCTCAACTTTAAGACACTGTCCTTGTCTGTTGCTTTCGGTATCTCGTATGGCGTGATCATATCCCCGCTCTGTTTCTTATGCTGGGTTAGTGATGGTGGTGGTATGGAAGCACACTTGAGTGCTTGGTTACCTCACCAACCACGCGCTCTCTTCTCTAGTGTCCATATACCCGAGGGTGTGACCTCTGCAGGCTACGTCAGTGTCGCCACGGACGCTCACCCAGTTAGAAAGTCCTCCCTCCTCCCCCCCAATCTTCCGGGATTAATATTGCAATCATTTCTAATCATATTGTAATTAAACTGATCTCCAAGATGACCTGTAATTTGTTGGATCTCTGAGTTATTCTCTCACTCTTCCTGATCAACCCAAGCCCACTCGTACACTTCTAACACCACCTCTCTGTCAACCACACCTCAATTTCATTATCCCTCCCCCCGCAACACCCGTCCCCAGCCTCATCAACCCCTTGCAACCCGCAGCTCTCACGCCAGGAGTCACGTGGAGGTGGCGAGACGGAAGCCGGTCAAGTGAGAGGTGGTCACCTCGTGTCAAGTTACCCTCCACACACGGCAGGCACCTCACTCTCCCTGTCACGCCTTCTCCAGCGCCACTCAGTCACGTCACTCCCTGCCCGCCACACTCACACCAACGCCTCCACGGCTAGCACGACCATATCCTAGTACTTGAGGCTACAACTTCAAGCCCTTGTGGAGTCTAACTTCTTGCCCCGTTTCTCCTGCTCGCCGCAGTTCTCTAATTCCTGGAGAAGTGACGTTTTTCACAGTTTCAGCACCTCCGCTATAGGCACTGGTGGTAACCGCCTTGCGTATATCATTCTTGAAGCTCTGTGCCGCGTCAGAGGTCATCAGATGACTTACTTTCCATCGCTCTTTGTAGCGATCGCTGTGTCACCTAGCAGCTGAAGACTCTGGCTTGAGACACAGCGGATGCTATGCCCTTCAGAAAGGCATCTTATGGAACGAGAACTCTCTCTAATAGTGATAGTTTATAACTCCCGTTGACCCCATGAAGAAAGCTGTGAAATTACCGCAGCTAACTGACAAACTCAACCCAGCCACGGTCGCAAGAATCTAGCTTTGTTTTGTGTGTTGTCAAACGCAGTGGCGATGTGTACCATAGCATTCATGTTTCCTTATTTTTACCAGAAAGTGTAGTGCTAAAAATTCCTTAACTGAATCGCTTGTCAACATCAGGACCTTAAGATTCTTTGATAAATACAACTTGAATGAAAAATATATTGACGAAAATATATTAATAAAAATATATTGATGAAAATACATACTTCGGTTTCTACTTCAAAAAAAAAAAAAATCGCCTTGAGGAGAATGTATTGTCTTAATACTTAAAATTATTCATAATTTGGTACCTTTCAGACAGCTGGTAAAAGTAGTTCATGGTACCAGCAAATCCCGGAGGCGTGGTACCTAACCCTCAAACACATCCAGGTATCAGAAATAGACATGAATACCAACCATCTTGGAAGCTAAGAAGGACCAGCTAGGAGTTTTACCAACACAACCTTAATTCCAGAATCTTAAAAATATATAAAAGCATGACTTTTAAACTGACACACATTAAAGAATCTTAATTACAAAATATTCTTAACAACTCTGGCACCTTGCTCTCAGAATACGCGTACCACCACCAGAGTTCAAGACAAAATTTCTTACATAAGAAAGGTTCAACAGTAAGACATTTTGTAGAGTCAAGTCTCGCGAAGACGAGAGTGAGTTCCCGCGTGAAAGCCAGTCGCGAGGAGCGTAAGATCTCGCGGCTACGCAAACCAAGTTGCACAAGGTTTCAAGTCGCACAGCACAAGGAGGAATAGAGTTAAGATGTCCACGGGCGCTTACAGCGAGATTCCAGGCGTGTACAGCGAGGCTCCGCGGCCCCTGGCGGCCGCCAGGAGGGCCCTCCGGAGCTACCGTTACTGCATCTTCGCCTCCATGATGTGAGTATGAATTTACCTGAGGGCCACCATCTCTCTAGTGGCCTCCACGGGGACAGCAAGCCGCAGAGGCTCCCCCATTTTCCGCAAGGGGTCATGGTTTAAGGCCCATTAACTTCAGGGGTTATTAATAGCTTACTGACCAACCAGCAAGTTTGGTGTTGGCCTTAAGGCCTATCAACCTCTGGAGGGTTATTAAGGCCACCACAACTGCTTACTGACCAACTAGTAAGTACAGTTTAGTCCTGAACATTGTCCAGGACTAAAGTAAACTCTCAGTGTACACTGTTGACCAGACCACACACTAGAAGGTGAAGGGACGACGACGTTTCGGTCCGTCCTGGACCATTCTCAAGTCGATTGTCAGTGTACAGACTGTACAGTGTAGGATTGTCAGTGTAGGACTCTCAGTGTACACACCGAGAGTCCTCCTGTTGATTGACGGTTGAGAGGCGGGACCAATGAGCCAGAGCTCAACCCCCCCAAAGAACAATTAAGTGAGTACCGAGTAACGGGTTAAATGTCCAGGTGTAGATATAGTTTTCCAGTTGGTCAACTAAGAACTGAGTACCTTCGTGATTATATCACGCTGTAAAACCCGTAACAAGCAGTTCCTCAGCCCCTGGTGATCTCCTGCTACAAGCTGGGCAATAAGTGACGCAGACAGGCGCGTCACGTGCCGTAACGGTGATGAAACTCGAACCCATGTCTCGCGGAATGAGAGACGAGTGAGGAAACCACTAAACCACAGCCGGCCGGCGACCTGACAGCACCGGCTCACTTTCCAAACCCATCAGTTAACCCAAGACGCAAGCGCACATGATTTTAGGATAACTGGACTTGAATATCCAACTCTGATAAAAGATATATTAATATTAATTTGTATTCATAAAATATACTCAGTAGATGGACGTAATAGATGTTGAATCGGTGGATTTTTTTCAAGCGTAGGTTAGACGTTTGAATGCGAATGAGTTTGGGTGGATATACATATAAAAATTATATCTATATATATATGTATATGCATATATATATATATATATATATATATATATATATATATATATATATATATATATATATATATATAATATAAAAGATCCCAGATGACACAAACATCTGGCGAGGCTAATCTCAAGCCAGATGTTTGAAGCTAGCCTCGCCCAGTTTTGCAGAGTGAATGGTCTGGAGTGCGGGACGGACATAGGCTGGTGATGGTCCGTCCTACTGGCCCTATTAAGAGGGAATTGAACCTAATAGTGACCCCTTGCCGCACTAATCGGTGAAAGGTGGCTTGCCGAGTCCCTATTTCTTCACTTGATGTTGTGAAATCAGTATTACATTTTCAGAGACGAGAGGAAGGGGAGGTTCGAAATGAGGGAAGAAGAAGGGGGAAGTGTGAGAACGGAAGGAGAGATGGGGGAGGCAAGTGGAAGGATTTATGAGGGGAAAGCACTAAGCCATTACGACTATATAGCACTGGGAAGGGGTCAGGATAAGGATTTGGGATGGGACGGCGGGAAGGAATGGTGCCCAACCACTTGGACGGTCGGGAATTGAACGCCGACCTGCACGAAGCGAGACCGTCGCTCTACCGTCCAGCCCAAGTGTATGGTAAGGAGAGAGGGTGTATCTTGGGGGAGAAAGTTGGAGAGGAGTAGATAGATAAAAGGTGTGAATTTGGATGGACTCCACACGGAATGGCCCAAGAAGCCAGCTAGAGTGACTCCTCATTCTGTTGACCAAACCACACGCTAGAAAGTGAAGGGACGACGACGTTTCGGTCCGTCCTGGACCATTCTCAAGTCGATTGTCGTTCCTTCACTTTCTAGTGTGTGGTTTGGTCAACATATTTGAGCCACGTTATTGTGACTCCTCGTCCTCATTGTGTTCATATGCAAGACGCAGTAAAATTCAGGAAGATACGAAGACGTTTAGCAGGGATGAGAGTAAGGAGTAAGACGAGGCAGCTGAAGGCGGTGAGACACACACGTCAGCAGGCAGGAATTACTTCACCCTCACCTTAAGAGGCTTCCAACTCCCAGACAACTGCACGCGCTCTGGGCTTCAAAGGCCTCTGTAGTCACCTTGTAGTGCTGAGCCTTGTCGTCTTAGATTACAACACTTCAGATTCTGCATCTTAGACATTAATATGATAGCGTCGTAAGGGCAACACTAGGTGACACAGAGAGTTGTAAACTGTCTCTCGGTGTACAGTATACTGAGTCTACTGTAACTTTGGCCTATGTCCTCTTTATAAAAGAGGACATAGGCCAAAGGACATTCTTCATGTCCTCTTTATAAAAGAGGACATGAAGAAATTGAAATTGAAGAAAGATTTTTGACACTGATTAGCAATGGGGGTTAATGCATTTATAATTAATAATTATTAACACTAATAATTACTTTTAATTTCGTAGATAATAAGTAAACAAAAGTGCAAAGTATATATTAACGAAGACTGTATCATTACTATTGTAAATCCTTCATATTTGCTTTAATTTCAGGCAATATATGACTCATATTTCCTAATATATTTTTTTTATTTCAGTCTATGCTGTAACTATTTATTTGTACTTAACTAAATATTTCTTGTAATCGCATTTTCTATGTAGTTTTTTATTGGACTGTTCTAAATATAGGTTTGATATATTTGTTTTAAAAAATGCATTGAAAGGACGGACAATTTCTACAGTTTCACTTCTGACAATTTCTACAATTTCTACTGTCAAATTCACTTTGACAATTTTTGTAATAGTAGTAGAAAATACTACTATTTTCTACTACTAGCCCTTCTACAATTCTACTAAACTACCCACTTTCAATTTCAAAGTTCCTAAGTGTCTTGCAACCTTCTTTGGCATATTCTTGGCTAAATTTGGAGTTCATGGTAGTTACAAACTGCAGTTTAAAAGCTTGCCAACTAGTAGCACTCTAGCACCAGTATCACCACTCTAGCACCAGTATCACCACTCTAGCACCAGTATCACCACTCTAGCACCAGTCTCACCACTCTAGCACCAGTATCACCACTCTAGCACCAGTATCACCACTCTAGCACCAGTATCTATAGGGACCAGTATCACCACTCTACTAGCACCAGTCCCACCACCATCACATATCGTGACTGCAGGTTGGCTCTGGTACTGAGCTTCGCGGCCATGGTGTCCATCCTCATCAGCACCGGACTGGACGCCACCCAGCTGGACCCGCCTCTTGACCCACCTGCCAACCACAGCCTTCTCACGCTCATGGCCCTTCCCTGGCCCAGGAGAGGTGAGTGCTACCACTAACAGATGCCTTGGTCATTATCACGAAAAAGTGCTTAGGCGGGAGAGACTAAAAGCCAGGGGCCAGATTCACCAAGCAGTTACGCAAGTACTTACGAACGTGTATATCTTTCCTCAATTTTTGACGGCTTTGGTTATATTTATTAAACAGTTTACGAGCGTGAAAACTTCCCATTCAACTGTTGTTATTGTTATAAACAGCCTCCTGGTGCTTCGAAGCTCATTAACTGTTTAATAACTGTAAACAAAGCCGACAAAGATTGAGAAAAGATGGACGGGTTCGTAGGTGCTTGCGTAACTGCTTCGTGAATCTGACCCCAGGATACGAGATGGGATAGAACAGGGCCCAACCACTGTACCGACCAATCTAAATGGACGAATTATATTGGTGAAAATATTTTTTTTCTGTAAGATTGGGTTTCAAGTGTTCGGTATGAGCCTTGGAGGCGGCCCCTTGGACCACATTCACATGATTAATGATTTATTTCTGTCATTAGCTCTGTCACACTATATTTTTTCCCATCTTCCTCTTCCTCCATTGTTTCCTAACCCATTTCCTTATTCCCTTTGCTTCCCCTCCTTCAGACGAGCACTGGTACACGCGCCGGTGGCAGAGGAGTCGTACTATGACTCCGGATGACCCCAACAAAAAGCAGTATGCAGACGACCCTCTCATCCCCGACGACCCTGACGGTGAAGAATGGACCATTCCCGACCACTCTACCTTCCCTGGCCATGACAACTGGAACTGGAACCGTCGGCCAACTAAACTACCCAACTGGTCCAGCGAAGACGTCAGGTACGGAGCCCAGGCGTTGTGTGTGTGTCTCGGGCATGTCCTAGCAGGCAAAACGTTATTTCAATGTCCTTTGCCCGGGGAACTTATCTGCGGTCGAACTTGTGACCCAGCGTTCACCAATTATTTATTTTTTTTATTTTATGGCTGATGCTTTGTCAGTTATTTAATACTATATTGGTTCCTCTGTGTCAAACGCCCCCTTGCTTGCCATTCACTTAGTATCAACGATGTTTCATGGCACTGAAATCATGGTACGAATGGTTTACGTCTATGACAGGATGAGTCTGGCCCACGGCTCGACGAAGGAACAGGAGAAGGCGCTGGTGGAGGAGGACCTGGCCAAGAGGAACTTGAGCCTGGTGCCCGGCACGCCAGCCTACAAACACCAACACAGCTTTAAGAAAACAGACCCACTTGCCACCAAGATGGCCAGGCTAGGCTACCTCATGGAGCAGGCCACCTCCAACTTCAAAGACAGGTACGCATGTCGAGGACCTCGATGGAATATTATACACTTCTTACAACAAACGTTGGTCTATTCTTGTAGTAAACAACTCGTTCTATTATCGTCGACGTGTGGTTGTTTCCTCCTGCTTTCAGTCTCCCATTTGGGCTGGACGGTAGAGCGACGGTCTCGCTTCACGTCCAAGTGGTTGGGCACCATTCCTTTTCCCCCGTCCCATCCCAAATCCTTATCCTGACCCCTTCCCAGTGCTGCATAGTCGTAATTTCTTGGCGCGTTCCCCTGATAGTTCCTTCCTGCCTTCAGTCAGCACGCGCTACATAGCCTTCCCGGCCTGGTGCATTCTTTTGATAATTACTTAATTACTTGAGTCAATAATTGGAGGCAATGAGAACTTGTATAGAAGATACGCCTTGATAATGGTCCGGGACGGACCAAAGGATCATCACCCATTATTTTCAGATGTCTGGGATAGGTATCTAATTTTCAGCCCCGTTATTGCGACTTTCTGATTAAAAGAGACTTGCCAAGACAAATTTTGTATTTGTCAGGTGTTGGGCTTAAAGCCTATCACCCGCGGGTTATAACTAGGAGCTGCCTCGTATTGGCAAAAATGCCGGCTACCGTTTTCCTTATTCCAATGTACTTACAGAATATCTTTTTATTAACCTTAATTTCGCAGTGTAAGTGAACAGCAAGACGATGGCAAATATCGGTAAAAATTACGTATTTTTTGTACAGCTTCTTAGTATAAAAACACGTTTTCTATAGTCTTCTCTTAACATCAGGTAGCATCATATTTAAATTATTTTTTTCTTTTTATTTCGATATTGTTAATTTTGTTGTTAAAAATTTTGTTCACATTTAATCTCTGATAAAAAGAATCAGATATTATGTTGTAGTTGTAATCTTAAACATTCACATCACACTAAGAACCTGCCGGCAACTCCATACACTAACTACAAATCTATGAAAGACTTAGCAGCGGCCAGGCAAGCTACCCAAAGCTTCTAAGCAGTTTTATACTAAAAATTTATATCCATTTCTAATGTAAAAATAATATTAATTTTTCGTATTTACTATTTTATGTTGCTATTGAAGCTCCCAGTTTTCTGTATCCTTGTTTCGTTGGCAGGATGAACCTGACGAGGGAGGCAGCGGCACTAGATACCCAGTGGGTGGGGGACATGTCCTCGACGCCTTACTGTGAAAAGGACCTGGAACGACCGCTTCCCGCCCCCTGCACCCCTTCCAAATATAGAAGCGTCGATGGTACTTGCAACAACCTCAAAAATCCTACCTGGGGTGCCTCCTTCACCCCCTTCAGGCGAGCTCTGCCCCCGGAGTACGGTGACGGTAAGTCCCCTTCATCCAGGGGCCAGGAAGCCTCCTCATAACACACAGACAGAGTACACGACTGACAGATATAATAGTGAACGTAATCAAGCAGATGGTGTTCTGTGTAGAGTCGCGCTGAAACGCTTTCAAACACTATTATATCCTGCCTTCACGGGAACTTTCATCCCTTTTGAGCGTCTGACCCAAATCTTTTGGTTTCTGTTATAGGACACGAAGGTATTGGGACGGAATACAACTTGAATAAACTGGAGACAAGATATGAAAACTAAACCACACACCAGAAGATGAGGAGACGACGACGTTTGGGTCCATCTTGGACCATTATCAAGTCGATTATCGACTTGTTAATAGTCACAATCGACTTGATAATGGTCCAGGAGGGACCCAAACGTCATCGTCTCCTACTTGTCTGGTGTGTGGTTAAGTCTTCATATCTTCAGCCACGTTAGTGTGACTCACCGTCTGCAAATTGTAGACAATTTGAAATGGGTAAAAAATGCTAGAGAGGACATGAAATATCTCAGAAAAGTGCTAAAGGGTACTTTAAACCTAGGGAGAGTACATAAGGGCTCGGGAGACTACTGAAGGTCTTTCAGGAAAACTATAAAATGCTAGGCACACTTCTCGGCTGAAGAGACGTTTTTCTGTAAAACAATACATATGTAGGTGATGCTCAGCCGCCCACCCGCCTTGATCAGGATTCTCCAAGTATCATCTAACGTCCACAACCCATCTCACCTTACCTGGGGTCGTGAGACGGTGCAAGTGTCTCTCACTTGGGTTACTCCCGCCTCACCCTCACACACACACACACACACACACACACACACACACACACACACACACACACACACACACACACACACACACACACACACACACACACACACACACACACACAAGAAAGAACTTTTTCAGTGTCAGAGTAGTTAGTAAATGGAATGCATTAGGAAGTGATGTGGTGGAGGCTGACTCCATACACAGTTTCAAATGTAGATATGATAGAGCCCGATAGGCTCAGGAATCTGTACACCTGTTGATTGACGGTTGAGAGGCGAGACCAAAGAGCCAGAGCTCAACCCCCGCAAACACAACTAGGTGAGTACAACTAGGTGAGTACACACACACACACACACACACACACACACACACACACACACACACACACACACACACACACACACACACACACACACACATACACATACACATACACACACACTCGCATACACGCATACACCCACGTACATAAGGGGCGAAAACGTCGTTGATATTTTTACGGGCTATTCATGCCCGTGCCACCTGTTGCGTGGCTTAATCTTCATCAGTCATTTATTGTTGTTATTGTACATGATTGTACTTGTTTTTATTTAGTTAATACACCGGCAGGTGTGTCGTCATTTCGCGTGGCGTCGGACGGGAGGGAGCTGCCGAGCGCGCGGCTGATCAGCACCACCGTTCACATCAACAAACTGGCAGAGTCACAGTCCTACACCGTCCTGGCCACCACCTGGGGACAGTTTGTCGACCACGACATCACACTCACCGCGCTCTCCAAAGGTATGTCTAATTACCAACAGCACCGGTAGGTAAACACCCAGCAGTCCACATTCTGATAAAGGACATGTGCAGCTCATGAAAGATATTGCTTCTTATATATAGCAGCTACATAAGGATAATATTGGTAATGTCCTCTAGGTTTACTGTTAACTGCACCAAACGGTTAACATTGTATACTATTGACAATGATAAAAACTGAGACAATTTAAACATTTAGTATCATTAGTCGCGAGTCCATAAAGTTGACCGGCGCAGCCAGTAGTGCAGTATATTGTACCACAGGCTGGCACGTGTTGTCTTAGTCGGAGGCTGGGATGCATATGTCATAATTACTGGACTTTAAAGGTTTGTTTCTGGCATGAATAGGATAAGCACGAGAGTATTGACATATCCAACCCATCCTCAAGCTCTGTGTTGCTAAACTCTGACACACACACATCAAAGATGCATTTCCTAATTTTAACGTAATGTGTAACCAAAAAATCTTGATAAAAATTTACATTATAATTTTGTATATAATTAGGCCTATGTTAGGTGCTCTGATTTATTTGGAAACTATTTGTATTTGCATTGCGTGAGTGAATCATTTAGAAATGCGATTCGAACACAGGGAGCAAAGCGCTGTTCGGGAAAAAATCGAGAACATTATCAATCAAATCATTTCTAAAATGCTCTTCATTCATAAGCAACCCGGCGTTTGGAAAAGTACATCGCATTTTGACGTGACGGCTCTAAGGCCAATAACTAACTGCTGTACTAAAACCACAGCGGCCCGCAAAATTGACATGATGTCCCGTTTTCTATTCGTGGGACTTCGGGCAGGTTTGGGCCAGGCAATTTAGTACATCAGTTTAGTGACGTTGTGAACGCTCGAGAGGAGGGGCTGCATAAACAAGGCTTTGAAGGCTGTATTATTGAGCATTTGACCATTGTTAATGAAGATGGGCTGGAATATTCATATACTGATCCAAGAGATCGCCAGTCTCGTGCTTCAGGTTCTCACCTCAGTCTCGTGCTTCAGGTCCTCACCTCATTCTCGTGCTTCAGGTTCTCACCTCAGTCTCGTGCTTCAGGTCCTCACCTCAGTCTCGTGCTTCAGGTCCTCACCTCAGTCTCGTGCTTCAGGTCCTCACCTCAGTCTCGTGCTTCAGGTCCTCACCTCATTCTCGTGCTTCAGGTTCTCACCTCAGTCTCGTGCTTCAGGTCCTCACCTCAGTCTCGTGCTTCAGGTCCTCACCTCAGTCTCGTGCTTCAGGTTCTCACCTCAGTCTCGTGCTTCAGGTTCTCACCTCAGTCTCGTGCTTCAGGTTCAGGTGGGCAGAGTATCCCGTGTTGCTCTGAGCAAGTTCTTCAGCTGCCGTCACTCCTCCACCCGGAGTGCGCGCCAATTTCTATCCCGGCCGACGACCTCTTCTTCTCCGCCTTCAGCCAGACGTGCATGGAGTTCACCCGCTCGGCCCCGGCACCCAAGTGTCACTTCGGTGGGTTATCTTCCTGTGTTCTTTACTGCCCTTGGAGGGTCTTCCTCGTGCTATATGACCTGTTTTAGTCTACATTGTCATTTATAAGTTTCGTAAAGAGGTTTATTTTCATTCTTTATTCTCTGCTTTATATCCTAGTTTAGTAGTAAATTAATCATATTTACATATAGGCCCCCGAGAGCAGTTGAACCAGCAGACAGCTTTCCTGGATGGTTCGGTCATCTATGGTGCCAACGACCAGCAGCTTGGCGCTCTGCGCACCTTCCAGGATGGTCTCCTACGGTCACAGGTACTGACCTCCTGGGATCCTGCACCACTTGTTCCTTGATCCGTCAGCATTTTCCCTGGCCCATCCCAAAGGTGTTCCGTGGTTCATTCTAAGTTTTTTCAAAGATAGTGTGTTAATTAAGTGTTACGTGGTAATTATTCAACATCCCATACTTGCTTCTGTAATCCCAATGCCCTAATCCCCCCATCCACTGCTCATAATCCCCAGTGCCTCTGACCAACCCTTGAACGTTCAGCATTTTAAAATCAATATGTTGTCTTGATGTTATATGGATCTGTTACCTTTTATTGAAAATGTTCATTGCAAGCTTTTAATATTGGATAAATATGTACATGGTGCTATGAACTACTGTCCAGATATCCGGACGTTTTGGAAGCATCGGCGCCTTTAATATTATACGATGTCTATTATTTTTGTTGCCTTCCTGTTCCGTCATGTGGGTCACTGTGGCCGTCTCTTCCTGGTGGCAGGTGACGCTGGACGGGAGGGAGCTGCTGCCGCCGTCCAAGGAGCCTCAAGACGGCTGCAACACCCAGGACCAGTACTCCTACGACAGGTTCTGCTTCACCTCGGGTAAGCTCACCAGGCCGGGGGCAGCTGTAGGAGGAGGGGCGGCGTGCGTCCCGTCCAAGGGGTTCAGGCGCTGGCCACACTTTAATTACTATTAACATGGGTACATACACATTTATGCAGCTACCCTTCACTATATATGAAGGGTTATATTGTTTGTGTGAAGCCCTTGTCTGGTTACACTAAATTTCCATCTCGGTCATGTAATGGGCAGCCTACACTGGTCATTTTGTTAACGGATCATGAGGATATTCTTAAGAACACGAGTGGATACAGTAATTACAGTGCTTTAAGTACCTCATACCTGCAGGTCTCAGGAGAGTCTGGGAATTCAATCATTGTAGTTTTCACTTGGAGTGCGGCGGGTAATGGCACTCAAACCTGATTTAGCAATTATTACACAAGTTTTGTGCTGCCTATATACATTTTCCCGCATATATTGTCAGATATAAATAAGAGGAGTGTTTACTATTGCTTTGTCCTGTGGCCGTGATTGTTCCACTACCACACCTGAATGTATAAACAAATTGCAAAGTCTAGTTAAATTTTATCTTTGGTGCATGCTAATCTGGCTGCTATGCCATTATGTTTGAGATGATATCCACGTGAAGAGATTCTAAACACTTTATTCTGTGGAGCGAGCAGGTTAAGAGTGTGCTTCTTGATGTCTGTCTTCCCGGAGGATTTTAAAATATTTGAAGAGCAGATAGTCATAATTATTCTTGTGGACTTTAGTGATAAGCTGTAGCACGGCTACAACTAGTTAGCTAAACTAACAGTAACAGTACAAGCTAATTGTTTACCTTTACACTGATAGTCTGGGTACAAGTATTGCTAGGAAAGCAACAGACTGCTGCAGTGTGTCCTGTTGACTGTATGGTCAATGTAAACATGCAGGTCGTCAGACCTTAGCGGTTTGATAGAAGGTAATTGTTTAATACACTATAGAATAGCCTCACAAATTTGACCTTAAATACCCCGTGGGTGGAAACACTGTTAACGTGATGCATCAATGAGAATAGGTAGACGGCCATGAGGATTTGTACCTGCACACACTGGGTACTCTCGAGTATATGTTCTAAGCCCTAATCAACTCGTCTACCACATCGCTTTAAAGTAATGAAACCTAGGATTGAACTCAATCCTCTAGGGTTCCTGAGACTTTCCCTGAAGCAAAGTCAGATGTTTCATGCATTGGCTGCATGCACTCTGGCTGTAGTCGCATACACTCAAGGTCGCATACACTCAAGGTCGCATACACTCAAGGTAGGTAAGGTGGTGTAGGAGTTCTACTTGCAACGCTTTTGGTTTATGATTTATGCAGAGATAAATAACATTAACGTGATTAGGTTTAATCCCAGGTTTCATTGCCTTTGAGAATGTCGTGTGTTAGGGTGTATACTCGGGAGTAACCCAGTGTGCAGGTTCGAATCCTCATCATGGCTTCTACTGATTTTCTCATTGGTAATTTTCATTGTGGCCGCTTCTTTCCCGGCTATAGGAGACGCTAGGGTCAACGAGCAGATCCTGCTGACGACGCTACACACAGTGTGGGCCCGCCACCACAACACCCTCGCCATCGAGCTCAAGGATCTCAACCCGGACTGGGATGACGAGAGGCTCTTCCAGGAGTCTCGGAGGATCGTGGTGGCCCAGCTTCAACACATCACCTACAACGAATACGTCCCCAGCCTGCTAGGTGCGCGTGCAAGTGTCTAGAGAAGTATTTTGAGTGGCCGCAGTGTGTGGGGAATGGACCTTGGAATGTTTCTCATCAAAGGACTCTAGGTGTCACACACAGAGCAGCACTAACGTGATGCATCAAATGAACAAATCCACAAGGGTCGTGACGAGGATTCGAACCTGCGTCCGGGAGCATCCCAGACACTGCCTTATCGTCTCGTCACGGCCCTTGTGGATTTGTTCATTTGACTCTAGGTGTGTTTGAGGGTGTATGAATACATGAGCAGGGAGGCGGGCGGTTGTTGATCACTCCGCCGGTCCCAAGGGTCACATCAATCACAGGCCTCTGTGCCGGCTAATTTATCCCTCTGGAAATTACAATTTAGCATCATTTGTCTTGCTATTGTTTTACTTAATTGATAATTTGAGCTGAAACGAAAATTAACTTCACATAAATATAATAATGTTAGTAATAGTGTGTTCCAGTAGCTCCAGCAAGAGAACTTATTAGTGCTCACAAGAATATAAATGATTCAAGTAAATTGTAACTGTTGCATTATTGAAAACTGTGCTTGCTAAATTGTTGCTGTATACAGACAGATCCATGTGATCAGAATACCCAACTTCACCCCCCCCTCACAGGACCTAACTTCATGAAGTACCTCGAGCTGAGTCCGCAGTCTGAAGGCACCCAGGTCACGGACTACGATGAACTCGTACACCCCGACATAGCTAACGAGTTCGCAGCTGCTGCCTTCCGCTTCGGCCACAGCCAGATACAAGTAAGCTTAAGTTGGTCAGCGTTGCCCTACCGCGCTCTTCATAAGCCGCCTTCTATGCCACCTTTTCTCTTTCTCGCCCTCAAATATCTTTTCTTCGACCCCATATTACGTCAGGATGCTTGAGTTATGTAATGATGTTAGGATTTTAGGCATTTTGCAGGAGGTGCATAATAGCCCCAATGAAAAGCAGAGGTGCAATAGTAGGTATGACCGAAATATAATTTTACCAACATAAAGGGCACTCCCCCTTCCCCACAAGGTATCTTGCGTTCGTCCTTACATGGTAAGGAAACTGTAAATTTTACTCTATAGACCTTCATTTTGCAACTTTATGGAGCCAAATGTATTTCGCTCAACATCTCTGGCGGTAGTGAATACATATTAGCAGATTTCACATTATATATATACCATGCATGATCCATATAGTGAAATTTAACTAAATTAATCCGAGCACTTTCAGAATTCATTTTTTTTACTATTATTTATGCCCAGTCCTCTATGTAAATCTTCAATTTAATCAGTTGGCGGTGCGGTCTTGCACTTATAATGGTCCTGTAGATGGTTGGACGTACCTAAGTGTAAGCTGGCTGGTAACTGTTGAAAGTGTTTGATTTGTAGTACTTCAGCCATGTCTAATCTCTTTAAACCAAAATTATAGGATATTTATTGCAAGTATTATCATCTCTTGGGAGGACTTTGCAATGATTTAATGCCAGTTCATCACTGCCTTCCCTGTAGATTCTCAGAAAATTGAAGCCTTCCATCATCCATTAGTTTCACATAAATTGCATTAGCAGAAATAAATCTCTCCATCCGTCCCAAAAGTGGTTTATATCTGCAGACTTGTTTGCCAGGTTTGTAATGACCTATGACATTGTTCTCCTTCAGGGCCTGGTACAGAACATCGATGGTGCGGGTAAGAACATACAGTTCCTGCAGTTGAACACACTCCTCTTCCAACCTTTTGCTCTCTACGACGAGGGCAGCATGGCCAACCTCGTGAGGGGGGAGACCTCGCAAAGTGCTGCAGCCGTTGATACCTTTTTCTCAACTCAGGTGGGTGTTGCTGTAAATTTCTGTTGTATTATTGATAGGTGTATATGTGTATTATACGTGTGGTGTATGTATTGCAAAGATGAACAAAGGATTCGGCTGTGAAAATCAACTTTTTGGGCTTCATAATAACATCAGTATGAAAGTGTCAGTTTGATCTCGTAATTAACATTCATGCCACGTGCCCATAGGTCTCCGGGAAGCTGTTTCGTGGCACTGATCATTTCGGCCTGGATCTAGTGTCTCTGAACATCCAGCGTGGGAGAGACCACGGCGTGGGCGGCTACAACCGCTGGAGGATGTACTGCGGTCTCCAGCCTGCCTCCAACTTCTCAGACCTGGCTCCAGACATGGACTCCGGCGCCCTCCAGAGCATCGCGGCAGTATACAGGTAGGAAGCTGACGGCTCAGCTTAGATATCGGGTATCAAGATACCTGGTATATCAAGATACCCGGTAGCGAACAATATTAAATGCAACATTTCAGTGTTTCAGCTAGTACTATGTACAATATAGTCATTATAAGAGCATCTGTCTTTTACAGTCATGTGGACGATATAGACTTCTTCACAGGAGGTCTTGCCGAGAGACCAATCAAAGACGGTTTAGTTGGACCAACATTCGCCTGCATAATTGCTGACCAGTTTCTCAGACTGAAAAAGGGAGATAGGTACTGGTACGAGACTACCACCCAACCACAAGCATTCACCAAAGGTATAGTAGTCAATTTGGTAATGTAGGCTTCTTGATTGAGCCTGTGAGGTACTTGGCTAAAGCCTTATGACTAGTCATGTTTAAAGATGCTTATTGGGTCATGAAGGTAGGTTTAATATTTATACATGTAACCCCAACATCACTAAACGTTTCTCTGGTTCCCACAGAGCAACTGGCAGAGATACACAAGGTCTCTCTGGCTCGGATACTGTGCGATAACATACCAGAGTTGGGCTCAATACAGCGGTGGCCACTAAGGCAGTATGCCACAGGCAACCCCAGACTACCCTGCTCCTCGTCCTCCATTCCCAGAGTCAACCTCGACTCCTGGGAGGAAGATGACATATTGTAGACAAGGAAGACTTACAAGAAAGACCTGTAGAGTAGACAGAGTTTTGAAGTGTGTATCCAGGAGCAAGTAAGTAATGAAGCAGCAACAAATACACGGTAAATAAATTTCCATTTAGCCTATTCAAATTATTGTCTTATTCACCTGATATTTTCAAATACTGAACTTCGAAAGATGAAGATAAGACCTTAAAAGGTGAATAACAAAATATACAGGGTATGTATACACTAGTAAATCGCAATAACACAAGTCTGCAAAAATCATGGGAGCAGGATGCTGGTTCGATTCCCATCCGGCTCCAAAGAGTTTTGCAAAGACATGTACGATTAGATGCTTGTTAAAAAATAAATATGATGACATAAGTATAGTTAATAATTTGTTAGTGGAGCAGCGGAATGAACATCACGAGTAAAACTAAATGTGTAAATATGAGAGAGAGAGAGAGAGAGAGAGAGAGAGAGAGAGACAGACAGACAGACAGACAGACAGACAGACAGACAGACAGACAGACAGACAGACAGACAGACAGACAGACAGACAGACAGACACTCTGGGTGGGCTGGTATGTGCGTGAGTATTCATGTGTACCATTGTTAAGATAGACTGATATGTGTACCTCTGCGTGTCTATGTGTATCTGTAATTGAACTATCACGTGTACATGTAGTTAACAGTACGTATCCATATTAAATGTACGTAATAGTGGCTGTTTTTGCAGTAAGCTGACTGATATTTACGTGTATTACAAGAATTAGACAGATTAACGTCTGTGAGTGTACATTCACCTAGTTGTGCTTGCGGGGGGTAGAGCCTCGGCTATTTAGTCCCGCCTCTCAACTGTCAGTCAACTGGTGTACAGGTTCCTGGGCCTATCGGGCTCTATTATATCTACATTTGAAACTGTGTATGGAGTTTCCTTCTCCCAGCTCCTTCATCAATCTGCCGTGTGGTCGGATTGTTCATATGACAGCTGTGATGTGCATTATTATGCCCTACACACAAGGTCTCGCATTTTTCAATATTAAATTGCATGTGCCAGTCTTCGGACCATTTATGGAGTACACGTTTTGCGAGGCCTCGTCGTTGTTAGCCTACTTTACCACAGATCTTTGTGGCATTGGAAAATTTGATGATGTGCCTTGAAGTATTCTCATCTGTCATTGATATGCTCGTCTTTTTTTGTTATTGATGTAACAAAAAAGTTTGACACAAAGATGGAACTTCAGGTACTTCTCTCATAACATTTTTTTTCAGTCAGATTTATTTTCATTTAAGATGACCAGTTGCTTTCTTTGTTTTATCCGTTATTTTAAACATTTCAGTATTTTACCATTTATTCTATGCTTGTAATTTCTTTGCCAGTCTTTTATGTGAAACCTCATCAAAAGCTTTAGCGAAGCCTGTATATACTACGTCTACTGGAAATCCGTTCTCTAAATAACTGGTTACTGTTTTCAGAAATGTAAGCGGGTTACTTAGGCAAGATTTATTTTTAACAAAAACATGCTGTGTTGATTTTACAAGATTGTGTAATGTGACGTGTTGAATGATTCCCTTCCTTAGGATTCTCTCCATGATCTTGCATATATACTTTCTCCAGGAGGTATATTATAATTCCTCTCTCAATCTATGATAGTCACCTCGAAGGTGTAATAATAGCCAAAGTAGTAGTCGTCCTGAGACGTTTACTCAAGATGAGGACTGCTCTTACCTTGGGTGAGCTGTCACATGCTGTATAAGAAAGGAGTCCTGCACTAGATACCTTAATTGCTCCCCTTTCATTTGTGGTGTTAGATTTGCCCAATCTATTGTCTCGTGACTAAAATTCCCTATTATAAGAACTTGGGCTACAGGAGTTACCTATTACGGAGGTCTGTAACTACTGTCATTACAACATACCACTTCATTTTGAATAAATAACCTGTGAGATACATGTGTATATTTTATCTTTCAGCAGCAGCAATTTAATAGTAATAATTTGATATAAGATATCTTTGATTAAGGATTTATGTAAGAATAAAGAACACACTTGAAATAAAGCAGATTTACTGGTAAAATGATTACATGTATTAAGAATCACTCTCATTCCATGACATCAATTTTAGCAGAGACAAAAATTAATCTGAATTTCTGGATAAAAATCTATTATCATCCAGATTAGTTTCAGGTGACTAGCCAAGAAAGATGTCTATGACGAGCTGGCCTGCTGGGTCCAGCAGACGCTCAGTGCAGGAATACTTAAGACTCGATAGTTCCACGCTATTGTGCTTCCATTGAAGTAGCACATCCCAGTAACCAGTCGCTTGCTGGAATGTGTGTCGTCAGGTCCTGCTGGTGCAAGGGTCGTCAGGTCCTGCTGGGGCAAGGATCGTCAAGTCCTGCTGGTGCAAGGATCGTCAGGTCCTGCTGGTGCAAGGGTCGTCAGGTCCTGCTGGTGCAAGGATCGTCAGGTCCTGCTGGTGCAAGGATCGTCAGGTCCTGCTGGTGCAAGGATCGTCAGGTCCTGCTGGTGCAAGGGTCGTCAGGTCCTGCTGGTGCAAGGGTCGTCAGGTCCTGCTGCTGCAAGGGTCGTCTGGGTCTGCTGGAGCGAGAGTGTCAGGGCCTGCTGGTAGCAGGGCCTTACTGGGTGCCAGGGGCGGGAGCGTCGTTGATATGGTGGGAGGCGTAACCCAGACCGGCAGGGAGAGGAGCGATGTGTGTGGCACCTGGAGTCTTGGCCATGTAACCGGCCTTCACAGCTTTTGTGTTAGTGGGCTTGTACATGTAGGGCACAGTGCCGGGTTTACGATACATGGAGGGCTCGGCCTTTTGATACATGGAGGGCTCGGCACCTGCATACATGGGGGACTCTGCGCCGGCATACATGGAGGGTTCGGCTGTTTGATACATGGAGGGCTCAGTCTTTTTATACATAGAGGACTCAGCGCCGGCATACATGGAAAGCTCAGCTTTAGCAGCATACATGGAGGGATTCCCGGCGGTATACATGGAGGGATCTGCGGCGGTGGAGGGCTTTACAGCAGTATACATGGAAGGCTCCCCGGCGGTATACATGGAGGGATTCCCGGCGGTATACATGGAGGGATTTCCGGCAGTATACTTGGAGGGCTCTTCGGCGGTAGAGGGCTTCTCGGCGGTATACATGGAGGGATTCCCGGCAGTATACTTGGAGGGCTCTTCGGCGGTAGAGGGCTTCCCGTCGGTATACATGGAGGGATTTCCAGCTGAATACATGGAGGGATTTCCAGCTGAATACATGGAGGACTCCCCGGCGGTATACATGGAGGGCTCTGCGGCGGTAGAGGGCTTCCCGTCGGTATACATGGAGGGATTTCCAGCTGAATACATGGAGGGATTTCCAGCTGAATACATGGAGGGATTTCCAGCTGAATACATGGAGGACTCCCCGGCGGTATACATGGAGGACTCTGCGGCGGTAGAGGGCTTCCCGTCGGTATACATGGAGGGATTTCCAGCTGAATACATGGAGGGATTTCCAGCTGAATACATGGAGGACTCCCCGGCGGTATACATGGAGGGCTCTGCGGCGGTAGAGGGCTTCCCGTTAGTATACATGGAGGGATTTCCAGCTGAATACCTGGAGGGCTCTGCGGCAGTAGAGGGCTTCCCGTCGGTATACATGGAGGGCTCCCCAGCAGTATACATGGAGGGCGCGGCCTCCTTAGACTTATAGTTGGATTTCTTGGGAGCGGCGGAGGCGGCTCCCAGGACACACAGAGCGAGGAGGACCTGTGAGGGATAGCAACAGCCGGGTGAACACAACACAACAGTCACACTAAACTCCTCTACCACCAATTAGTTTCAAGATTACAAGAAAGTGTCAAGTGTGAACTGTCACTTAAACGTTTGGGTGTGAGAGCATTACAATGAACAATTTAGGATTGGCGTATAATGAAAGGCTTTCAGTGACAGAGTTAATGTGTGATATATATTTTACGTAGCATGTTACGAAGCGAACACACATGCAAGGTTAATGAACGTTAGGACTATCTTCATGTATCCACAAACAAATCTTTACATACGCTAGACTCGTTCTAGAATATGCAACGTTAGCATGGAAGCTCTAGTTTTCCAGCTCATAATGTAGGTAAACACACTATTGAAGTGCGCCACCACCATACTGCCCCCAGAGGTAAGAGGAAAGACTAAGCCTCACGTCACTGGAGGAGAGAAGAATCAAGGAAGTCTTGCTGCCGAAGATCTTAAGCTTGCCGGCAATGTCGCACGCGACAACAACAACTGTATCATCCTCCGTGAAGTTCGCCGTCCGCGATGATCAAGAACTGAACAACCTTCTGTCTGGCGTAATCACTAATAGGTTACCAGACACCAGCTAGGATACACACACTAGCCACCCCAGCCAATGCACTGACAACCCTACATATCACCCAGCCAAACTAACTCACGCTAACCAGACAAACGACCCACACCGCATGTCAACCCATGGTGGACAGGCACTGACATAACGTACAAAAGAACTCTGTGGAATCTACATTTAGGTAGGCAGACTTTGGTTATGGCGGGGGATCAGGTAGCGGTGAGACGTGGAAAGTACTCAGTGCAGCCCGTCCTCCCAACGTCAAGAAAACTAATTTTAAAGTGCCCTTATCCCAACCTACCAGAGGACCCAAAGCAGAAAACGGGACAGTACGTCACTTTCGCGAGCCGCTTCCATTTTCTAGACGACCTTTTTTGGCCTCATATAACGCATACGTTCGAAATGCGACGTTCTTTGTAGGAGGACAGGTTGCTTAGTGAGCCAGAAGGACGCGGTCATTAAAAAAACCTGTGTGCCAGGGTTGTGACGACGTAAAAAATAAAGTATTACATGATGTGGAGGCAGAGACCATTCATGGATTCAATGTAGTTGCCAGATTCACAAACAATTGTACTAGTTGATATAAAGTGTGGTTGAAGTGTGTGATATAGTTCTAATCCACAAGAATAGATATGTGACTACATCCCCCAGTTATTTAAACCTACTTAGAAGTGATTACATATTATTGAAAGTATTGTATCAAGTTAATTACAACTTGTATAATGAGAAACTACAAAACACTGATTAGAGCGGTAGAATTATATGAGAGGAATATATGCTAGAGTAATATTCCAGAATAACTAAATGTAATCGAGAAGAACAGATAAATAGTATATATTAAACATTTAACAACTATAATATAGAAACCGAGGCGCAAAACATTTCTGTCCGAAATTTAGAAAACAAACGAAATGACAAAGATTCGTTCAACAACAGGTGTTGGAAAACCCCTAGTAAAGAAATAATGATGTGAACTAAAACAAACACCATCCCATTCCACAAAGCTTCCAGAGACTCAAACAGACTAAACACGAAAGCATCAAGAGTGTCTTCACGCCTGGTGGATGGGTCTCCAAGCCTAGTGGATGGTCACCAAGCCTGGTGGATGAGTCTTTAGGCCTAGTAGATGGGTCTTTAAGCCTCACAAGCGAACCTTCAAGCCTGGTGGATGAGTCTTTAGGCCTGGTATATGGGTCGTTAAGCCTGGTAGATGGGTCTCGAAGAGAAGACAATAGGTACACAACCGATGCGAAGTTACATACAGAAGATGCACCAAATAGCCTCATTCCTATCAAACCAATAGGCAGATACAAATAGGTGTCCCCAACTCTACGAAATATGCCAATGTGCCAATTTAGAAGGCATTTCGAAATGCATACATCGGACAATAATAGAAATTGTAATATTTTTGTTTTGATAATACTTGTTTATACTTATAAGCTACAAGTAATAGAGTTAAACTGTCACTGTCTTTATCAAGTGTTTTGGTATAATTAAGTTCTCAAAATCCACATAAAATATAGTTGGTATATTAGTGCACAATAGCCTGAGATTCTTTTAGTTAGTCAGAATTTGTAAGTTTAAAAATATTTGTTTAATTGTTGCCTCGTGGGGCAAGAGGCAGACTACGGCGAGCCACAACCCCATCAAGGTGTCCTACACACACACTAAGACACTTACCTTCATGGTTGAGACTTGAGGTCAGCAGTGACTAGCCATGGCGTGTCCCTGCCCGTGTATATATACGCAGGTGGTCAATGCTACTCCCTTCCCCCCCCCACCCTACTCCCACGTTTGTTCTGCCCCCCCCCCCCACTAAATCTGCTCCCAGTTGTTGTTGAGTCCAGTTCCTCTTACTCTACTTTCTTACTCAACCTGACCCACTAATTCTTCCCTAAGTCATCCCACTCACTCAACCCTAACGTACCTCACTCATTCACACTATTTTTTTCCCCTTAACTCCCCTTGCCACTTCCGGGGGAGGGGATAAGGGTATTGATCAACTTACTTACCCCATCCCATCTACCCTAATTTACACCATTCACTTTACCCAACCTTAAAACACTCACTCAACTCACACTTACCCCATTTACTACTCAGATGTACCCAGCTACCTAGCCGCTTGTTCCTCATCTCGTCTCTTCTTCTAACAACTTATTTTTAGCCTTTAATGGAAATGATTTTTTTTGTCTCATAAGTAAAATCATCACATCCAGGTTCATTAATACGTATTTGGCTTGAATCAGTTTTTGCGAGGATTTTGTCACTACTGCGGAGTAGTAGCCTAGTGTGAGTATGTTAATACTTTTATGTCCTTCAGAAGTGTATCTTGTTTAAAGTTGACATGATGTTTTACCCTATGTTTCACCTGTCAGTAAAGTTTTATCTTCTGCTTAGTGAAACAAGTTCTTTCTTCAACTTAGTTTATATGTCATGTCTTAAATAGTTCACGAGGCTACTCAAACGGAAAAGTAAACATGAATGGCCACTTGGCGCCAGGCTCAGGACAGTTTCGTGACAGACGGCCATTACGAGCTGTTAAGTGAGGTCTAAGCACCATTGGTGAGACATTCACAATTACATACCTGGTTGGAGAGTTAACCTTGGGCTCCAGGTCACTCGAGGCAGTGTAATCACAGTGCCTGGAGTGGTATAGGTCACTGTTGACCAGCGGCAGGGAGCGTGTCAGGTGCCAGGAGAGGCATTACGTGTACCAAGGCTTCAGGCATTTTGGAGTCTCGCCATTCCTCAGAACGTCATGTGGAGGTGAAGGAAAAACGAGAAAGGTCACTAAGTTCCAGGCGCGTAAATCAATACATCCTTGGATGGTGAACCAGGTGAGACAAGTTCTTCAATGTCACAGCTGTGCTACATGTCTCTCACCAACCAGATGGAACATCCTCAGAGCTATGCTACAGATCTGTCACCAACCGGTTGGTACATCCTTAGAACTGTCTTACAGATCTGTCACCAGCCGGATGGTATGTCCTTAGAACTGTCCTAAAGATCTGTCACCAGCCGAATGGTACATCCTTAGAACTGTCTTACAGATCTGTCACCAGCCGGATTGTACGTCTTTAGAACTGTCCTAAAGATCCGTCACCAGCCAGATGGCACGTCCTTAGAACTGTCCTACATATCTGTTACCAACCAGATGGTGCGTCCTTAGAGGCTCTTAGGTAATTATATACGTCTGATTAATTAATAATTCATAATTCAAGGTCCCCCCCTTGAGTTTGAAGGTTATTCAAACCAATTTTAATCTTCAAGTTTCATCTTGAAGCAAGTGTAACAAGTTTTATCTTGAAGTTAGTCTAGAAAGTTTCAACTTGAATCTAGCGTATAAAGTTTATTCTTTAAGTTGGTTTAGCAAGATTCGCCATTATGCTATCGTAACAAGTTTCATCTCTAAACTAATATAACTAGTTTTAAATTGGTGATAATTTAACAAATTTCATTTTAAAGCGGGTGTAACAAAATTCATCTTGAAGCTACTGTAGGAAGTTTCATCTTCAAAGTGTACCGAGTTTCATCTTAATGTTATTATAAAAAAAGTTTCATCTTCAAGTTAGTGTATCAAGTATCATTTTTACCCTAGTGTAACAACATTCATCTTCAAGCTAGTATAACAAGTTTTATTTTAAAAATATTGTAACAAATTTAATTTTAAAGCGTGTCACAACTTTATTATTGAAACTAGTGTAATACGTTTAATTTTGAAGCTAGTGTAGCTAGTTTCATGTTTAAGCTAGTGTAACATGTTTCAAATTGAAGCAAGTGAAATAAGGTATATCTTCTAATTAGTTCAACAAGTTTCATTTGAATGATAATATGACGAGTGAAGTTTTTCACGCTAGTGTAACTAGTGTAAGTTCTTCACACTAGTGTAAGTTCTTCACGCTAGTGTAACTAGTGTAAGTTCTTCACGCTAGTGTAACTAGTGTAAGTTCTTCACGCTAGTGTAACTAGTGTAAGTTCTTCACGCTAGTGTAACTAGTGTAAGTTCTTCACGCTAGTGTAACTAGTGTAAGTTCTTCACGCTAGTGTAACTAGTGTAAGTTCTTCACGCTAGTGTAACTAGTGTAAGTTCTTCACGCTAGTGTAACTAGTATAACAAGAGTCATCTTCACATTAGTACAACGAGCCATAAACTGAAACAAGTTTAATGTTTTGTAGGTAGTGTAAAAAGTTTCATCTTGAAGCTAATCTAACAAGTTCCAGTATAAAACTGGAGTAAGAAGTTCCTTCTTGAAGCAAGTGTAACACTTTTCATCTTTAAGCAAGTGTAGCAAGTTTCATCTCGAAGCTATTGTAACACATTTCATCTGGATGCTTATGAAACGAATTTCATCTGGAAGCCAACATAGCCCACATCAACTTGAAGTACGTTATATCCCAGCCTGAGATAGAACTACTAGAACTATATAAGAACATCAAAGCCACTACTAGCCAACAAGAACAAGACAGCAGTTGAATTCATAAATAACTTTGAAAATCAGTGGAAAATACGTACAAATAAACAAAGCTTCCAGATAATACACATTGCAACAAGAAACCCAGACCACATTATCCTTGACAACCGCCTGATCCAATATGCGGATGTAGGCAGAATACTGGAGCAATAGAATATAGATCAATAGAACAGGTATAAAAATTCACGTCAAGGATAGAATAAACAGAGCAAAAACGGCCTGATGAAAACTGAGAAGATTCCGAAGCCTCAGCACAAACATACAGCCACACTTATATAAGGCTCTAGTCCGGCCGCATCTAGCATACCCTTCAGTACCGCTACTGGAGGTAGCTTACAGAAAACAAACATGCAAAAACTAGAAGTAGTGCAAAATAAGGCGCTAAGGAGAGAAGCAAAACACCGTCCACCATACGATCAGACAATCTAGGAGCTCGATGAATTCCAGAATTGAAGAACTTGGATTTTGACTCCAAGGTCTTTTTCTTCAATCTGCTGTAATGTTATTAATTTGGTAGTTGTGGCTTGGGTTGTTATGCCCCACATGCATGGTCGATATTAAAATCTGCAAATTTGATGATATAGTTTGTAATATTCTCAACTATGTCATTGATGTATGATATAGTTCACCTCCAACTATGTCATACTTCTAAGAATTTACAAATTCTTTAATTCAGCTCTTACATCATTAAGCTCGTGCAGCTCTTGTCAATCTTGACACAGCCAAGGACCCCTTGTACTGTATTTAAATTAATTTTCCCATGGACTTTGAAAGGCTCGTGTAGTCAACAAGTCAATTTTATTATTAAAAACAGAATCGTGTTTGCAGTTTCATCTCTCAATTGAAAGAGATGTAGATGTAATAATAGAAAAAGATGAGTAGAAATAGATGCTGTAGCTATTGTAGCAAGTTTATATTATATTACCGTAGCATCATCAAGCTAATGTAATACTTTCATCAAGCTAACGTAATTCTTTCATTTTAGGTAAGTTCAACAAGTTTAATTTTAGGCTATTGTAACAAGTTTCATCCTGATGATAATGTTACATTTTTCGTTTTCATGTTAGTGATGTAAGTTTATTCTTGAAGTTACTGTAAAAAGCATCATTATCATCTTGCATCATTAATTTAGTGTAAAACGTTTCATCTTAAATATAGTGTTACAAATTTCATACTTAACTTATACAACAAATTTATTTCTTAAGCTAGTTAAATAGCTTTCAGCCTGAAGCTAATATAACAAGTATCATCTTGAATCTATTGTAACAAATTTAATCTTGAAGGTTATGGAACAAGATTATGTTAATACTAGTTAATCATGGTTCATTTCTAACCTAGTTTCATCTTCAAGTTAGTGTTTCTGGTCATCTTGAATCTAGTGGACCAAGTTCCTAATTGAAGCTTGTGTAACAAATTTCATCTTGAAGCAAGTTTACTCTTCAACTGGTGAAACAAGTTTTATATTAAAGCTAGTGTACCGTTTCATTTTGATGGTAGTGTAACAAGTGTCAACTTTAAGCAAGTGTCACAAGTTTCATTCTCACAGCTAGTATAACAAGTTTCATCTTGAAGGTAAAGTTTCATCCTGATGATATTGTAATAGGTTTCACTGTGTAACAACTTTTATTTTGAAGCTAGTATTCCAAGTTTAAGCATTAAACTTTTGAACATGTTTCGCCTCGAAACTAGCTTAACAAGATTCGTATTGGTGCTAGTGAAGCAAGTTTCATTTTTAAAATCTGGTGTAACAAGTTTAATTTTCATGCGAGTGTAACAAGTTTCGTCTTCAAGCTTGTATAACAAGTTTCGTCTTTAAGTTAGTACAGTAAATTTTATTTTGAAGCTTGTGTAATAACCTTCATTTATGAGCTAGAGTAAAAAGTTTCAACTCGAAACTAGTGTAGAATGATTCGGGTTGAAGCTTGCATAACGAGTTTCACGATGATGCTAGTGAACCAAGAATCATTTTGCAGCATGAGTAAGAAGTTTCATCTTGAAGCTAGTGAATCTAGTCTTGTCATGATGCTAGTGCAACACGTTTCATCTTTGTACTAGTTGTAACATGTTTTAGATTGAAACTAGTGTAACATGTTATAGATGGAAACTAGTGTAACATGTTTACTTTTGTTGCTAATCTAACAAGTTTCATTTTTATGTGAGTGCTGTAAATTTCATCTGCAAGTTGGTGGGGGGGGGGGTAGAAATAGCCTAAGCTACTCTATCCCTTTGAGATGTATTTTTTTCTTGTCTCCATAAACATACTTGAACTTGAACTTGAACTTGCAAGTTGGTGTAACAAGTTTGATATTAAAGCTGATGTAACAAATTTCATCTTGATGCTATTTTAACAAGATTTTATATTGATTCGATTGTAAAAAGGTGTATCCCTAAGCTGATGAAATAAGTTTCATCTACACAAGTGTAGCAATTTTTTTTTATCTTTATTTATTTATTTATTTATTTATGCATATACAAGAATGTACATAAGGAATGTGAGGATACAAATATGGTAATTACAGTCTTGTAAAGCCACTAGCACGCGCAGCGTTTCGGGCAGTTTATGATAGTGTAGCAAGTTTCAACTTTAAACTAACGAAACATATTTCATCAAAAGGTGTCAGGTTTCATGTCCAAGACAGACATACAGAGATAGACAGAGATAGACAGGAAGAGAAGGAAGAAAAAGGGGAAGAAGAAGTATGTTTGAAGACAGTCAGTCTCTCTCTCTCTCTCTCTCTCTCTCTCTCTGCCTCTCTCTCTCTCTGCCCCTCTCTCTCTCTCTCTCTCTCTCTCTCTCTCTCTCTCTCTCTCTCTCTCTCTCTCTCTCTCTCTCTCTCTCTCTCTCTCTCTCTCTCTCTCTCTCTCTCTCTCTCTCTCTCTCTCTCTCTCTAATTACCATAACATGCGAATGTCACGTAAATTTGAACAAATGTTATGCATAATACATTCTGAACTAGAGTCCTATTAGTTTGACATCAGTGTTTTGATAAAAAACAATTACACACAATTTATTCAGGAACTATATGCAGGAACACACAAAATTATTAATTATGCAGGAACATGATAGTATTATTCTAGTTGATCCCAACTCATAATGACTGATAACCAACATAAGTTTCGTAAAAAATATTCCTGCCTAACAAATCTATTAGAATTCTTCATTTACATGCACAAAAACTGGGACTCCAAACTTTGCACTTTGCGTAGATGTAATTTACCAAGACTCTCAAACAGTCTCAGACAAAATTGGAGCAAAAGATTACTTAATAATTATGCTTCATTACCATGATATTAAGTGTGGATTACGAGCCTCTGTTCAAGACTTTTTCGAAAGAAAATTTAATAATATTGAATACAGAATTGTCCAACTGTAACGGATGTGGTGACTCAGGATACTGTACTATGTGAATGAATGATTTAGAAGGTAAAATAACCTCAAAAATCCATATTTTTGCTGATACATAACTGCGAAAAAATATTACAGTAAGGCAGATTGTATATTTAAGTTGCCAGGTTTCATCTGGTACCATCCTTCTTGTAGAAGTTAGTGGGCGACTCCTGACGCGAATTACCGTACTTAACTTCCTCAATTAGGCTCTTGAATTCTACAGTTGTTGTTGTTTTAGATTTAGCTACTCAGAACTAAATGTCCATGTAGTACGGGCTATAGTGAGCCCGTAAATTATACAATCTAGGATTGAATTAAGTAGCTACAGTGAAGACTGGGTTGAGGTGGGGCGCTGACTCCAGCCTCACAAAATACGCTAGGCTGCCAGGTCCCGTTCTCACTCTGCTGATCTCAAAAGCCCGTTTTCTCAATTGTCACAATGTAAAAAATGGAGCAGTTTTACATAAGTAGGAGCAACCCACCTAACCTTCCGGAGCCGATATCAATGAGTCGTAGGAAACATCAAAATTGCGGTAATGTGAATTTATCCAAACCACCGCAGTTCTTACGTTAGGATCGAGTATAAAAAAATGTAATGTGTTCAGTACAAAGTTAATTCAGTTCATTTATACCCATTTTTTGGACTGTAGTGGAAAGGGTTACAGCGGCACATAATGGACTCAGGGACTGAGCCCCAAAATTCATTTAGCTAAGCAAGTTACAATCTTGATGAACTAGTTACAAAATTCAATGCACCTCGTTACATCAACAATGGGTTCGAGACCGACCACAAGTAGTTTCTAAACTTAGCAACTGACATGTAGAGAGCTAGTGTAACAATTGATATGTTTGTCCTGCACACCGCCCCCCATCCAGTGGGCAGCGGTGGATAGGTCAGTCACTTAGTACTACCTACAGTTAGCAAACTGAGGATATTTGGCTAAGATTTCTGGCAGCTTATCATTTTAAATAAAATATTTACACATCTCTTGAATATATGCTAGAGTTGTTTCTGAATTCACGTATCTTTTCACATTCCATCACATAGTGACGGAGGGTGTGCGAATAATTTTGTTGACAGTTTAAATTTGGTCAGGTCTACATCAGCAAGTAATGAGAATTCCCAGAGATACTTGTAACCGAGTCTAAGCCGAGCAGTAGTAACATCTAGAAGTCTGCTGATTTTATTGGATGAACCATAAATGTGTGGCTCCTCTTGCATGATAGTATGATGATAGATGGAATTACTGGTGTCGATTTACTTTGCTTCAGATCTACAAGATAGGCTCCAACTTCACCACACTTCATTACCATGTCATAATCTGCTTCAACGTGATTGTCTTGTGGTGTTGAATTATCCAGCTCTTCACACTTATCACATTTACATTTTGTCCTCAACACAAGCTGGATATGCAGTCATTTGGCTTTTCCTCACTCGGGTCCTCTAGATTCCTTCAAAAGCTTTAGATGCCTTCAAAAGCTGTAAAAAACTTTTGAAGCTTCCTTCAAAAGCTTCTTCCATCGCCAGCTGCGTCTTCTTCATTCACGCCGACTATTTCTTGTGAGTTTTTTTTTTTTGTAATGACTTTAAATGACTTGTAATGACTTGCAAACTTTTGCACCTTTTCCAGCTTCCTTGTATGTTTTTTAAGAAGGGGCTCGATGATGGGGACGGCATACTCTAAAACTCGTCTCACATTGGCGGTATACAGTGATCTAAAACCCTCCTCATTTAAGTTTCTCGAGGATGTTCTGACTTTTGGTAGGGTAGAGTATGCAGTTGCTTTTATTCCATTTATATGATCCTCTGAATTTAGGTTTGGTATTATGTCCACTCCGAGGTCTTTGTATTGGCCTTTCGGTCTTCTGGTTCCTGTTTCCATTTCCATCACCTTGCACTTGCTGGTATTGAAGTCTAGCAGCCCTTTCATGGATCACCTCTACAGCTTGTTTAAGTCATCTTGGAGAATCTTACAATCCTCATCAGTCTCAACCCTTCTCATTATAAGACTCAACTCTTGCAGTCAAGGCGTTTACATAAATGAGGAATAGTACGGGTCCCAGCACCGATCCTTGAGGCACCCCGCTTGTTACTCTACGCCAGTCGGACTCCTCACTGTCACTCTCTGATACCTGTCTGATAGGTAATTCCTTACCCATGTTAGTGCTTTTTCGCTTACTCCCGTCTACCTTTCAAGTTTGTATAGTAGCCTTCTTTGTGGTAGTGTATCAAAAGGCATGTTGGGAGTGCAGAGATACGCAATCTGCCCATACTTCTCTGTCTTGCCTTATTTTCCTTACCTTATCATAAAACTTCAGGAGGTTCGTTAGGCATGATTTCCCTTCCCTAAGGTCATGTTGATGTCTCCTTGTAAACCTCATTCTTACCAGGTGTGCAACTAGTCTTAACCTTATAATTGTTTCCAGTACTTTACAAAGGATGCTTGTGAGTTACCCTGTCTGTAGTTAAGTGACTCTTCTCTAGCTCCTTTCTTTCCATCATTTCTTCGGACTGCACCACATTTGCCTTCTTCCAGCAGCTGGGCAATTCGCCCTTTGTAAGTGAGATTAAAGATCACTTCCAGAGGTATGCTGAGGGCCTGTGGAGCTTGATTTATCATCCATGGTGTTCAAGTTCAAGTAAGTAGATTGAGACAATAAGATACATGCCAAAAGGATGTATGTTGACCAAACCACACACTAGAAAGTGAAGGGACGACGACGTTTCGGTCCGTCCTGGACTGGACCATTCTCAAGTCGATTGTGATGTAATATAACACAATCGACTTAAGAATGGTCCAGGACGGACCGAAACGTCGTCGTCCCTTCACCTTCTAGTGTGCGGTTTGGTCAACATATTTCTACCACGTTATTGTGACTCCTCGTCTGCAAAAGAATGTATGTTATTGTCTCGCCTGCCGAGAACCGCCTACCCGCAGAAACCGTAAATGCCAAAACTTCAATTCTAAAATCATGGAGACAAATGAGGGAACCTTTGACACGCCACTGTCTTCCTGTCCTCGTCAAGGCCACTTGAGTGTTAGTGACCGTCAGGTAAATTTCAGGTAAATATGAGGGCGAGGAGCAGCGATGTGAGGACAAGGGGCGTGGACAAGTGAACAAGGAGCTGGGATACGAGGAGAAAGATCTAGGATACGAGGACAAGGAGCTGCGATATGGGGACAAGGAGCTAGGATATGATGACAAGGATCTGTAAAATAATGCTAATGAGCTGAGATACGACGAAAGGATCTGGGTTATGAGAGCAAGGAGCTGCGGTATGAGGACAATTACGTAGCTGGCATGTAAGAACAAGGAGATCGGATATGAAGATAAGGAACTGAGAAATAAGGACAATGAGCTGGGATACGAAGGCGGGTGAAGGAACGGTGCCCAACAACTAGGATTTGAGAACAAATTAAATCACATACTACGGTTAACAAATTTATTTAAAAATTTATCACAAAATGTAATATAACAAAATCGCTGTCATGTCGTGCTAGTAAAACTGACAACCAAAATTCAGTCTGAATACAAAAATAATGTTTTTGTCTATAGTAACATTCTTGATAAATTTGGCTGATATGACGTTATGACGAGGTGGAGTCTGGGGGTCGTGCAGGCTGCTGGAATAGCGAGAATATGTCACCTACAGTCCCATCTTCTACTGCACGCGGCTGCCTGCTAGTCCCAGGGTCGTCAGAGCCGGCTGGTACCAGGGTCGTCAGAGCCGGCTTGTGCCAGGGTCGTCAGAGCCGGCTAGTACCAGGGTCGTCAGAGCCGGCTGGTGCCAGGGTCGTCAGAGCCGGCTGGTACCAGGGTCGTCAGAGCCGGCTGGTACCAGGGTCGTCAGAGCCGGCTGGTGCTAGGGTCGTCAGAGCCGGCTGGTGCCAGGGTCGTCAGAGCCGGCTGGTGCCAGGGTCGTCAGAGCCGGCTGGTGCCAGGGTCGTCAGAGCCGGCTGGTGCCAGGGTCGTCAGAGCCGGCTGGTGCCAGGGTCGTCAGAGCCGGCTGGTGCCAGGGTCGTCAGAGCCGGCTGGTGCGAGGGGTCGTCGGGGGAGGCCGGTGCGAGGGTCGTAACGGAATGTTGATCACTGAGTCGTCGGAACCTGCTGGCGCCAAGCTTACTGGGTGCCAGGGGCGGGAGCCACATTGATATGGTGGGAGGCGTAACCCAGACCGGCAGGGAGAGGAGCGATGTGTGTGGAACCTGGAGTCTTGGCCACGTAACCCGGTTGCACAACCTTCGCCTCAACGGGCTTGTACTGTACTGGTACAGAGTACACGGAGGGGAACCCGTAGCCGGAGTGCGCGACGCCGGCGTAGGGGATGACGCCACCGGTGTAGGGAAGAACGTTAGCCGTGTTAGGGATGACTCCAGCCGTGTATGGGATCACACCAGCAGTGTAGGGGAAATTGCCAGCAGTGTAGGGGAAGGTGTAGGGGAAGGCGCCGTAGGAGTAAGGGCTGCTGACATAGTTGAGAGCGGCGGAGGCCACACCCAGAAGGCACAGAGCGAGGATGACCTGTGGATGACAAAAACGTTGTTAGACAAAAGACTACTCTTTGCGCCCTGGAGAGGCCACTCCAGACCGACAACCAGAGCGCAACTCCATAGTCTCCTGAGACTGATGGATGCCTACATACTCTTACCCCCAAGAATCTTCACGATAACATGCATGTGACACGTTATAACTGACACTCACTTACACGAGGAAGTGATCACATCAATGAGTAACTTATACTTTACGTTCTGTGGTCAGTGTTTAGTGACAAAACTTAATGGTTAGTTATTATTACTATAGACTCGGGATACCATGAAATGTGGACCAACTCTGTGTGGTGTCTCATCTCTCACAAGTAATGAGACCCGAGGGAACCATAGCCCAAGTAAAGTGAGTAAAGTGATCGACTTACATCACTTACTTCTCCTCTACTTTTATTTTATATAAGAAACTTTGTTAATTTAGATTTTTATTTTGTTTTGGTGTTGGACTTAAGGCCCATGAAACTCTGGAGGAATATTAAGCCTACCACAAGAGAACAAATCCACAAGGGTCGTGACGAGGATTCGAACCCACATCTGAGAGCATCCCAGACCCTATCCCATCCCTACCACAAGAGTTTGTTGATCAAGCAGCAAGAAAATTATGATCAGGGTTAATGAAGATGAAAGAAAGACCCAGTATATGTATAAATGTATTAAAACCAAAATTTTTGGATGTAACCTACATCCTTTTTGAAAGTATTGTATGTAATATTCAGAACATTGTATCCAGTATTCATTGTATACAGGATACAATGTTCTGAACATTGTATACGGTATCTTGTGAAAGGATGTCGGTTCCGTCCGAAAATTTGGTTTTAAATACTTTTACATGCAGGCGATGAGTCACAATAACGTGGCTGAAGAATGTTGACCAGACCACACACTTGAAGGTGAAGGGACGACGACGTTTCGGTCCCTCCTGGACCATTCTCAAGTCAAAATACTTTTACATATATATTGGGTCTTTCCTTCACCTTCACTCAAAGACTAGAGCATTGTATAGTGAGTTTCACCATCATAGTTAATGTTAACTCTCAGTGTTTACACATGTGGATGGTGAATGCTCCTCAGGGCCTATATATCCTCCTTATAATGTTGTTAAGTCCACCATTTGGTCACCATTTGGTCACCATTTGGTCCGGGAGACATCTCCCGTCACGCAGGGTGCAGTCGCACCTCCACAGATCTCCAGTATCAGCTCTTGATACTGGTAATGGCTCTAAAGGGCCACCACTTACGGGCTATTCATACCCGTGCCACCTTTTGGGTGGCTTAATCTTTATCAATCAATCGTTGTTAAGTCAATAACTGGTTCACCTTATGGCTCCCCATCATCGGGGACAGGAAGCCTGTTAGGCTTATCGAGGTCCCCATAGGCCTACCCCCAGATGTGTCCACCAAACGGTTGCCTGATGAACATTAAGTCACCCAAGAGGTGGCACGGGCATGAATAGCCCGTAATGCCTCACTCCCGAGTGCCTTTATACTGAACAGATGCATCAGATGAGAGGAAACGTGGCCTAATCGTTTTAGTCCTGCACCACAGGACCCGTATACTGGTTATGCATACAATGATAAACTATGTGATTAAACATTTCATTATCCAAAGACCCTGATGCTTACACACAGAAATTACAATAACGTAATGCATAAATGAACTAATCCACAAGGGCCGTGACTAGGTTTCGAACCTACGCTTGTGAGCATCTTAAGGCAGCGTCTGGGATTCTCACAGACGTAGGTTCGAATCCTCGTCACGGCTCTTGTGGATTTGTTCATTTACCCTGATGCTTGTTGAAACATGTCTTTATTATTTCCTATATATATATATATATATATATATATATATATATATATATATATATATATATATATATATATATATATATTAAGATATGCGAACAAGCCTGAATGGTCCCCAGGACTATATGCAACTGAATACAGTATTAGGATATACATAAGATAAAGTGGGTGAGGACAGGAGACCCAGACACTTACCTTCATGGTGAAGACTTGAGGTGAGCTGTGAGTGTGTGTCCAGGTGTGTTCCTGCCCGTCTATATATACCCAGGCAGGTGAGACCACGCCCTCACCCTACCCCCACACACTGCCCCAGGCACACCCATCATCAGTGTCACCCTCCTCTCTCAACTACCATCACCCCATCTCCCTCCAGTGTTGCGGCTCTTATACAACCATCACTTAAATGGCCCAAACGTTTACGAAATTTGTAGACTCTTACTTATGTATTTAAATGATCATATATCCTGGTTGGGAACTCTAAATGACCCACCCAGGATTCGAACCCATGGCGTCCAGGATCAAGGCCGTCCTCATAAACAAAGGCCAAAGTCGATTCCATGCACCCGCCAAAAACCCTGTTTATGAATGAGAAACGGTTTACACACGACTCACAACAGATGACGTTCGAACACTTCTGGAACAAGTGCTTCGCTGACTACTTTTGTTCGAACCACAACGCTGTAAATGCTTCACCCACGTACTACAAATACAAATATTCCCCAATAGAACTTAAACACCTAACCTAACCTACGCCTAACTATACACAATATGCTAATATTCAATAATATTAATTTTTATTTGAGAAAATTACTATTTTTGTTCAACAGCATGTTTAAATTAGTAAATGCGTCTGTGGGGTCGACCGCTGGATGGAATGGACTTGGGCTGAGGACGGGTTGAAATGCTTCACCCACGTACTACAAATACAATATTCGCGAACACAACCTTAAGACTGAACCAAACCATTATATAAATATGCACAATATGCTTATATAATTAATATTAATTTATATTTGAGAAAATTTCAGTTTTGAATGAACAGCATGTTAAATTTATGGAAACGGAAGCTAAACTGGCAGGACTTAACATGTTGAATGTTGCAAGATAGGAGTAGACCTGTTTGTACATAATCTGTTCTAATAGTGTTGATAGGTTTGATATTGGTTTGTAATTGTTTGTCGGCTGTATCGCCTCCTTTATGAACTGGAATTACTCTTGCTTTGTTAAGGACATTAGCCTGTTGTTTCTGTGAGCAGCGTGGAGGTGGTATAGGCTGCCTACCTCATGGAGTATGATGCTCTTGGGGTCACAAACTTTCATTTATTTGGGACGTTTGCCAGGAGGTGTGGACGGTGGCCAGGTGCTGGAGGTGGTGGCCAGGTGGTGATGGAGGGGGCCAGGTGGTGATGGAGGGGGCCAGGTGCTGGAGGTGGTGGCCAGGTGGTGATGGAGGGGGCCAGGTGGTGATGGAGGGGGCCAGGTGGTGATGGAGGGGGCCAGGTGCTGGTGAAGGTGGCCATGTGGTGATGGAGGGGGCCAGGTGCTGGTGAACCTAACGTCTAATTCGCTAAACTATTCTGAGTGTATCTTAGCTCACTGATATGTTACTGTATTATGTTTAAACAAATAACATTCAATTATCTTCCTTAAACTCTCACCCTTTGCACAAAATTCACAATATAATCGCTCTTTGTTTAGGTTTACAAAAGACCTGTACAAAAGATGGAGATGTGTGAGGGAAGAGCATGCAGAGGTGTAAGTGTGGGTGTAGACTGGAGTGTTCCTGATCCACAGTGGTGCTGCGGGCCATTGTAACCCAGGGTACGCCAGGCCGGCGGGCCGGCAGAACCATCCCCACACACGCCCGGCCTTACAAAGCATCCTCCCTAGCGGACGGGGCCAATGTTCCCGGTCGACCTTGGCTTTACACATATATTCCTATTGTTGCTTTACATGGGGTTTTTACCATTTGTTTGTGTACACATAATGGTAAACTGCCTCATGTGGAGTGTATGAGCTACATATCCGGGTTTCTTTATGCGCTCAAGTAATAATATGTTAAATAATAGCTTTTGGTGAGCGTTGGTGTGACGCTTCCTCAAGGACACGCTCCAGGTCCCACGTTGTTCTTTGTTGTGTGTTCATTTAGGACTGTTTTAGTGTCTTATACATTTATGTCATTCATTGATTTATTATGCAACCCATACCTATCCTGTGAGTGGTAGTGGACACTATACCTATCCTGTGAGCGGTAGTGCACCCCATACCTATCCTGTGAGTGGTAGTGGACACTATACCTATCTTGTGAGTGGTAGTGCACCCCCATACCTATCCTGTGAGTGGTAGTGCACACCATACCTATCCTGTGAGCGGTAGTGCACCCCATACCTATCCTGTGAGTGGTAGTGGACACTATACCTATCTTGTGAGTGGTAGTGCACCCCCATACCTATCCTGTGAGTGGTAGTGGACACTATACCTATCTTGTGAGTGGTAGTGCGCCCCATACCTATCTTGTGAGTGGTAGTGCACACCAGAGGTATGACAATGGAGTCCCCATAGGCGGTCTTGTTCGCCCAGTCATTCATGTCTCAAGTTGAGTCGTCCATTATACAGAGGGAAGGGCTGAACCCTAGTATCTACTGCAGATATGTCGGCGACATATTCGTAGTGTTGACAATGATAACACATTGGAGAGGCTACAATTCTTGGATTGCAAGAGGCAATTCTTAGCAAGCTCCAAGAATTCTCAGGCTTGAGGATCACTTTTGAGAAAAGTGAAGGAGGCAGGATTCCATTCCTCGATGTTCTCGTTGATGGTAATTCGAGTAGGTGTCTCACAGATGTGTCTCCTAAACCAGCTGATGCAGGTGAATGTATCAACGGTAGGAGTGACTCCACTGACTAAGAGGATTCGTCCAGTCATTTATTATATCAACCCTCGTCCAGCTTCCCTCATTATGAGAAGTAACATCTGTGGCTCCTCTGACACACTGAGGTGTACCAATGTAGTGTATCAATACAACTGCAGCTCTGGAGGTTGTGCGCACCGAAACATATGTAACATTGGACATACCACGAATACATTGAGTACACGTCTTACGCTTCATCTGCAAGTGGGAGGTATTAAGCAACATCATTCTCAGCACCACGACACCATCCTGGATCACCAAGACATAGAGATACGACCATAATCACACGCACCGACGATCGTAGGAAGTTTCGTACACCTGAGGCTGTGTTCATTCGGGAGCTGACACCAGTCATCAACATCCAGATGAATTTGACTTGGAGGAGCGTACAGGTGTTTGATGGTCCTCCATTGACCTAGAGGGAAGATGTAAGACCTGGCGGACAGCTTGAAGCCAGAGTCAGGCAACACCCACGTCACCCCTATCCTTCGCCGCTCCCTACCATTAAGGTGGCTAGGTGAATCGTAGAGTGAGGTGTACCCACACTTATAAATGTCTAGATTTCCTTGTAAGCGATGTACATGTTCCTTGACCTCACAAAGTAAGATCCTGTTGCGGTCACTTGGCTGCTTTTTGTATAGCTTTTGGACTTCTCAAACTAGACCTTCTGCTTGGAATAGAGCAGACATAGTGCCGATCCCAAAACCCAAAGATCCAGCTAATCCCAGGCCCATCTCTCTTCAAAGCTGTGCAGCCAAGACGGCTGACAGAATGGCACTCAACAGACTGGAGTGGAAAATGCCTAAACTGCACCATGATATGTATGCCTATAGAAGAGGGGTTGGCACAGTGGAATGTATTACAACTTTGTTAGCCCACATGAATGACAGACCAGGAATGCTGATATTCCTGGACCTCGAAAAAGCCTTTGAACTGGCTAGCGCCCCAGCTATTCTCTGCTGCCTCATTGACAAAGAGGTCAGAGGCAACCTGCTCTCCTGGACCAAAAACTGTCTCATAAACAGAGAAGCAAGAGTGAAACTTCATGGCACAGTCTCTGAGTACAAAAGACATGAAAATGGTACACCGCAAGGAGGTATTCTCAGCCCTCTTCTCTTCAACTGTTTAATGGAAAGAATAATGAGGTTGAAACTCCCACATCACTGCAGGCTGCTAAACTACGCGGACGACTTTGTCATCATCATAAAAGGAAGGGATGCGGCGCGCCTTGCACCCAAATGCTTAGACTGCATCAGTAAAGAGGCAAAACAGATTGGGATCAAACTCAACCCCTCAAAGTCAAAGGCCATGCCCATAAAAATAGCGAAGCCCAACATCCAACTTACAGTACAGGGTCAACCAATAGAATGGGTCGACACCTATCAGTATCTAGGAATCATCCTGGACACACGCATGAATTTCAATGCTGAGGTCACTTACTTGAGAGAGCGAACTGCGGCCCGGACGGCAATCCTCAGGTCGCTAACCTCCCTTTCTGGAGGAGCCAATCTGCAAGTCCTTCGCACATACTATGTACAGGCAGTCAGATCAGTGATCGATTATGCCGCACCTGCACTCACAAATCTATCACACCAACAGTGGAAAAAGCTTGAAGTTGCCCAAAACAATGCTATGAGAGCTGCACTGGGAGCCCCCATGTGGACCAGGCTTGAAACTCTTAGACTGGAGACGGGTTTGCCCTCTCTACAAGAAAGAATATCACAAAGGACAGCTACAATTATCAGTAAGATAATTATTTCTTCTGATCCAATCCCAGTACGGCAGGCCTTGGTGGTTGGACTAGGCCAAAACAATGGAAACTCTTGGGTTGCAAGAGCAGGAAAAGTCCTAAACAGATTACATTTTAAAAACATGATTCTTGATAGAGAGGGTGATCATCCACACCCAAATTACACTTCTTCCGCGCCGTGGGAAGAGCCTACTTTCAAAATAGTAGTAGAAAGCCTCCCAATGAAAAAGGCTGGTTATGATCCGACAATCCTAAGGCGCATAATAGAAGAGCAAATGTATAGCATAGCAGTAGCAGGAGCCACCCACATCTTCACAGACGGATCGGTGGACACAGAAAATGAGAGTGCTGGCGCTGCTCTTTGCACGACCAGCGTACAGGCATATTGGAGACTGGGAGGACTAGTATCATCAACCCAAACTGAGCTGTTTGCCATACAACAGGCATTCGCATATGTGATTGCACAAAACACTCAAAATGCAATCATACACACAGACTCAAAAGCTGCACTTCAAATACTAGGACAAAAACAGTGGAAAGATAATGTGGAAATAATTACCACCATTTTGTATCTTGGAGCAGTCGTTAAAGGCAAAGGACTCAACATAACTTTAAACTGGATCCCATCCCATATTGGA